CTGTGTGTTCACAGCATCAAATCAAACGTGTTTCCAGCAACCCCTCAGGAAACAGGGCCATGTAGTAGCTTGTATGTAAGGGTGGCCTCTGAGTAAGGGTTGTTGGTTTGTTGACTGGGCCCAAAAGTTTCTTTAAAAAAGAATTGCGCTTGACTTCTAGGGCATTTACCAACACTGTCTCACCAGTGAGGTGGGAAGCCCTGGACAGCACGTGGAGCTAAGAATCTAGCAGGAGTCTACATGCGGGCTCGCGGAAGTTGGTAATGCATTACCTGTAAGTGCACTTAAATTCACTTAGAACTGGACTCCTTGTACTTGGGTTGCATCAGGTTCAGATTTGTTGCTATGGTACAAGTAGCGCAGAGATACTATCAAGGCTTGAGGGACACTGGAGCCTGAGCAGTCAGCCCACCGTAAATTACCACTTTCTGAAGAGAAAATAGGTGGTGAGGTGGGGCGGGGATGGGGGGGGTGGGATCTAGCCTTTGCCCACAAGGTTCAGTTAAAAAAAGCAGGCAAATTTAGGGTCATTGAAATAATAATCCTTATCACGTAATTAAGTAATTATATAAAATACTTGCAAGAAGTTAAAGCTTTTTTCTATCTGTTCTGTTTCCGTTAGAACAAATACTCGTACCTTAAATAAGCAAAGGCATTTTATTTTTCACCGAGCAAAGTCAACATCCCTTGCCAGAGTAAACTGTCTAACCTAGGCCACTGCCAAAGATCCAGTCAAGTTACATGATTAAACACAATACATATTAGATTAGTTCCTGGAATATGGTGCTTGTTGATTCTAGTGTTGTTTTTATACAGAAGTGTAGCAGTTTCACTCAAAACAGCATTATGATGTGAAAGCAAAAAGCCAGAATTATACTTTCCATAGGTGCGTAACTTTCAAATCATTTTTTTTTCAATGTTAGTTAAAGAGCCTGTTTGATGAGAAGCTCCTTGTTAATGTTTTAAGAATTCGATTGAAAAAATGTGAGCTTTCCAATAGAGGGACTTTCCAATGCAGCAAGTGAAAGTTTAATTCATAGAAATCCTGTTTGTATTGATAATATCAGAATGATTCAGAGTGGATTATACATTTGTGGACATGTACTCATACTGGTATGCAGGGCCAAAGTCCCAATGCGTAAGGTAGGATTTCCTAGAGAATTATTCTACAGTGCGGTTACTATTGTTTCTTTCCCAGATGTATTATAGATTTTTTTTCAAACCCTGAATGTCATAATCTACCCACAACAGGAATTGTTCTAATGATTGGAACTTCAGATGATGTGTGTGACGTTCCAAACTAATACATGTCACTTTAATTCATGAGAACTTTTATGGATTATAGATAATATTCAAAATGCTTGATTTTATTGACTAGGTCTGACTATGCTAACTCCCTGCTCCCAACTCTTCCCGCCACAAACTGCAGATTACTTAAGAGTTCTCCTGCACCACATTCCAGGAGCTGATCACCTCCATCAATTCACCTCCCTACCTCTGCAACCTACAAATACATTCCCAACTTTCCCCTCCCTCCTGCTCCACTGTCTCCCACCCTGCCCTCCCCACCATCGATGGTTGAGCCTTCAGCCTTTCTGCCCCCATTCTCTGGAACTCCAAACTAGAATCCCTTAACCTCACCTCCACCCTTACCTCCTTCAAGGCCAGTCTTTAATCATGCCTTCATTCATCCTCCCACTCCTTGCTCTGCATCCCTCTTGATTCCAACCCCCAGTTCAGGTGTAAACCTTTGACTGTCCGGGGCCTTGGGAGGTCCTCCCAACATGAAAAGCGCTATATCATTTGCTGTCTTTGATTTTTATCCACTGCACCAACAGGTAAATATAAAATTAGTTAACCCTTTTGCAGGCCAAACTGTCTCTTGTCTATTGAAATAAAAGAGAAGCAGCTGTGTCCTTTTCCCTACAATAACAGGAAATATTAGTAATATGTAGACTCAAGCGGGCAAAGACTCCTTAATGATGTCAGAAAGTGCTGGCCATCTCACTTCCATGGGTTGATGATATCCAGAATTACTTAAAGCTGTGGTATTCATTCAAAACTTTAAAAAGAATATTTCACTACTACTGCTAAAATTTATTGGCGTAGCGATGAAATAAAACTGAAGAAATATTTTCTTGCACTAGTTCTCTATTTTGGATCAATAAGTGAATGTGTGTGTAGTATTACTGTATCATTGCATATTTAGCAAAATGTCACCATCCACCCCCTACTTCTCTCTTCCAATTGTCCAAGAGACCTCTCATATAATGAGAATTTTATTCATTCAAAACGTTACAAATATTTATTCCTCAATCATGAAAAGGCGCTTTCAATTTTCAAATAATAATCCTTGCATTCGATATAGCATTTTTCACGTCTAGATGTCTCAAAGCACTTCACAGAATATACTGAAGTGAATTGACTGTATATTTTGTGGGCAAGACATTAAAGCAAGGTTTAATTTCAGTGTTGGTCCTCAAAACACATTTGCCAAATCACACACTAAGCTAAGAATTGAAACTAGGGGTATAATTTGTGGTTGGTGAGCAATAATATACAGTCTAGTTCTGGAACAATCATGATGTCTCATCCACTTTTGCCCATAGTTTGCTATTTGAACCAGTTTTGTTAAGAGTGGACTGAAATTTATAAAACATTATTCTAAAAGGTTAACCTAAAAATCTATGATTCATTCATTGTCAGATAGTTACACATCAGAATAATTTCAATGCAATAATAGTATCACGGGAATGTTTAAGTTTCTTTTGCTCACAAGCTCACCTTTTCAGCTAATAATAATAATATAATAATAATCCTTGCATTTGATATAGCGCTTTTCACGTCGGGAGGACGTCCCAAAGCGCTTCACAGAACACACTGTAAAGTGAATTGACTGTATATTTGTGGGCGAACGCAGAAGCCAATTGCGCACAGCAATGTCCCACAAACAGTCGTAGATTGAAAATTGACCAATTTATTATTGTTTTTGGTTTTGGAAGGATTATTATTAGGCGTGTGGAGTAAGGAAACTTGCCCAAGGTTTCGCCCTCTGCCTGGAATTGAACTCAGGTCTCTCGCTTGCAAAGCGAGTGCTCTAACTACTGAAAAGGTGATATAGCGTCTTATCACCCAACAAGGTGATAAGGCGCTATATTACATGCAAAGATTATTATTAAAAAATATGGGGATGTAAAGTTTTTTTGCAGAAGAATACCTCTGAAGGGTTTTCAAGTATGTCTTATGTTTTAGACTAGAAATTTATGCATCAAACTGCATACATTCAATTTGATGATTGTGGCAGAATTCACATGAGCGGCATAGGTATCGAAAGCGGAGTAATTTGCAGGGGTATGTTGAAAAGGCTGTTTATAAGAGTGAAAAGAGCTAGTGCAGAAACAATGGTCCAAATTGGCCCCCTTCCATGATTCTACAGAGATGGTAAGTTCTCTGTAAGGGGAGAAAATGGATCACAGTAATAAATCAACAACTTGTAAAGTGACAAAGGAAAATATTACATCAGTAAAAATTAATTTCTCAAAACTTCAGAAATGTTGATTTCCAAGAATAAACTATGGTAGAAACATGTAAAACGCAATTTATTTCAAAGAAGAGATGGATCAGGAATGAATGAGCTTTCATTTAATTGTTTTTGTCTATAGCTATAGGAATGAAAAATAATAATGGTCGAGTTCTAACCCAATCTCAAAGACATGATTAAATCACGATTATCCAGCTGTTTGTTTAAAACAAACTTTGTTTACTGAAGTCTGGAATGATGCAGACCATAATCATGGGACCTTAACAAAATAAAGATTTCATAGATGGTAAAGATACTGCTGAGTAACAACCCAAATAGCCCCCATCAATAAGAGTCCCTTCCTGTTTAGAATCTTTTCCATTGCATTTGAGTCCAAAATGATGGGTTATTTTCGTAGTTAACCCAAAACACAATTGGAGGAAATAATTTAACAGAACATTTGCAATCTGGTCACAATCTAACATTTTGTGTTAAAAAAAAACAAAAACTGCAGCAGAAGGGAAACAAAGTGCAGGCAGTTGGGTCAGAAAGCCCATGCGGAATAGGCTTCCCAAGAATGGAGGCAGATCGATTTTAAATGAAGTATCCCTGCTTCAAAATAAATACACACATCCACTCCGGCTCAGTCGGTGGCTCTCGGCTTCTAAGTTCATGCCCAACATCAAGAGTCTGCGCTCACAGTAGAAACTAACATTCCAGTAGAATTCTGGGAGAGGACTGTATTCCCAGAGATGCTGAATTTTGGATGAAATGTTAAACCGAGACCCCATCTGTCCGATTGACATAAAAGATCCCATGGAATTATTTGAAAGGGTGTTTCTCCCAGTGTCTTCGCTAACAATCCCCCCAGATAAAATGTCATTCCACTCCATGGTTGTTTGTGAGACATTGCTGTGCAAAAATTAGCTACCACATTCACTACTCGCTACAGTAAATACAGTCAGGCATCCCCTCCACAATTGGTGGCCCCAATCTTTCGGCTACTTTATTCCAAATCTCTGAAACTCCTAGATTCAATCAATCCATTTTACCTCCTCCTTGCCCATTTTCAAATCACACTTTCCTCTTCAACCGTGCCTTCAGTGACGTCACCTCCCCTCCCTTTCGAGTTTGGCTTCAAGACACAATGCGGTTAAGCAATCCGAGATGCTACCTGCAAGTAGGATGCTATTTAAAGTTGTGGTTTGCAAATCCTCCATCTTCCATAGTGGTTTTCAAAATATTGCAGCAAGGCATTAATAATAATATTATTACTATTAATCCTATTAAGATTCATTGTCCGGTGCCCTTGAAGCTCGTCTCCCTTCTGTTCTCGCCCCAGCCAATTTACAATTTCCCATTTTAAAAAATATTTCCTGCTGGAGGCCTTTATCAAAGTTGACTGGCAAAAATTAGAGGTTTGAATATTCTGGATATACAAGTCTTTCTCTTAAACAATGTTATCCTGTAATACCCACGGTTTCCAAAATCAATGTTTATTTGCATTCAAACAAAAACAATCAAATTCCAATTTGGACAGGCTATTGATCCATTCATCAATCTCAACCAAACAAAGACATTATAGTAGTCTGCAGTAACTAGACAATAAAAAAGGCATCATGTTAATCACGCCATGTCATATTTGGTAGACAGGTTAATCTCAATTCCCTATGGTCTATAATAGTAACATTGGGAATAAAGCATCAGATTATCCTAAAAAAATAAATTTGGATATACTGTAGAATAAGCAAAATGTTTGTATTCAATCCAATTATATAAAGTCATTTGCACGTTGTGACAATAGTGTTCAACATAGGTAGGAAGGGAACAGCAGGCCACAACTGTGAACAGGTGTGTGCCACAAGACAATTTAATATACTGAAAATTACTCTAATCTGGTTACAACACAAACATGAAAAATGAGAAAAAAGTTTGAGACAGTGAAAAAAATTAATATCTTTGACGATAGTATGACTAATTTTTTCTTTGCTTTGTATCATGATATAGAAAATTAAATCTTCACATACATAATGTAGAAAGTCAGTTAAAACACACTGCATATTTCAGTAGTCTAAATTTGCTGCCTTACCACAAACCTATCACGAGTGGTTTTGTATAATAACTGTTGCAAACTTCCTCTTCCTGTTACATAGGACACCAATGGAGATGTTTTTTTTAAATAGCAGCTTCAACAGACTGCACTGCTGTCAGACATTTCAAACTTTAATGTGAAAGAATTATTCAAATATATATTTATATAAATAAGAAACTGTGCAAGTGTGCTACAGACTGCAATACGATCTTTTCCAATTCTAAATACTTTTTTTTCAGGGGAGAGGAAGGGGGGGGGGGGTTACTGCTCACGGTAAGGGATCCCAGTTCAAGGACATCTATTAGCACCAAGAATTCCCAGATTAACGTACAGGACAAATTAGAGTTGGGGTAAAATTCGCTCTTCGGACAGTACAATACACTTTTAACCCTAGCAACAAGAGGACATTTCCTACTGTACCAAGTGTACCATTTCGATTCATCACACCAAGACTTGCTTCTGAGATATTAGTTCCAAATTCCAGGAAGTGTTTTTTTTTAAAAAAAACTTATGGAAGGATGATATTGGAAGCACGTGAAACTCACTTTATTTAGGGATCCCACAGGAAACTTGAATCTCATCTTTCTAAAATACATTCAAGCCTAAGTCTTAAAAGGTTAATTCTTCCCTCTTTACAATAGTGACTGACATGGCATTTTCACAGGAACAAAGAGTATTGACAAGCTTTAGGATATGGTGGGCCTTCAGAGCTGAATGATTTTGTCCTTGTTGGACATGCACTTTTCAGCAATGGTCAATGAGAAATCAGAAGCAGGAACCCAACATGGATTTTTGCCCTTTTTTGGGACCCAACCACTGCCATAACTGAAAAGCTATTCAATATAAATCTGCGCAGACCTAATATTTTCCAGGTCTGTACAGCTAAACTCTGCATCAAACAACATTTGACCTAACAAGAAATTGAGAATGCTGACTTCACCACCCAAATGCTTCCTTGTGGCTTTTCAGTTAGCTCTTCTCTCTGGTTTACACAAAATGGGCAAAACCATTGGATTGTATAGCAGCCTTGAAACACAATTGCCGTCATTTTATGACTATCACAAGTCGACTTTTCAAGGCGATTTACATTGCCAGTTTCTGTATTAATGCTATTGCTTCTAAGTAAAGTAACTCTATAGAAAGTGACTGGAGGTAGAAACCTTTAGGTTTCAGTAATTTTGCTTTCACAATCAGCATTGGGAAAGAAAAACACTACATTTGCTGGTACAAGGCAACCCTGCGATATTTCCCCTCCAGTTGAGTGCCTGTCTCTATGTACTGTATACTAAACTTCTGGTGCTGACCAGCCAACTTGCTGCCCTGGTAAATTGTCAACAACTGGGTCATCAGGTCACCGTTGAAGTCGCTTCTTGGCAGTGTGTGCACATTTCAGAAGCATCACTAACATTCCTTCACAAAGAAAATGACGTCAGCAGCACTCATGCACATTGCACAGGAAGCCACATTAGCAGCAGCATGATAACCCAGAAGTCGGACAATTTTCATCCTTGCTTTAACATGGGTCATGAGAAACTGGACCAGGTGACTGCCTTATATGGGATTGCCCTGTATTACTTCTGCCATACATTTGTTTAATTATTCCCATAAAACAAAGCATCCTGCATAGCAGGAAGGGTGCAAACTGTGATAAATCTGAAGGAATAATGGGACATTTCCTTTTCTCTATTCAACATTTAAAATGCGTTCGATTTCTTCCAATCGTTTTAAAGCTGCAGCTCTCTTCTTCTCAATCTCTTTAATTTCCTTATTTGACTTTTTTTTAGTCCGTTTGTTGTGATTGTTTTGGGCCTCTCCAGATTGTTCGGAATTGCTGGGAGACTTTGCGTGACCTTTGGAAGAGTTCAGTGTTTCAGCTTTGTTTTGTTCACTGTGGTCTTTCTTCAGATTTTCAATTGAAGTTTTTTTTTCTTTTGTTGAGTGAGACTGAGCACCTGCTGCCATTTGTTCTGACTGGCCACCATTGCTCTGAGCTGCTATTTTACTGCGCACAATACTCAGATGACGATGGATGTACTCCTCTTCTGGTGCTAAAGCCAATGTCTCAGATAAACACTTCTCAGCCTTTAGAAGATCCCGTTCTTCAAAATACACCACACAGAGGTTGTGCTTTCCCTGAACATTGGTTGGGTCAATCTGTAAAATCCTTTCAAAACACTGCTTAGCTCCTTGAATATCTCTCCTCTGGTTCATTAGAATATCTCCTTGTAGGATGAGGCCTTTAATATGATCAGGGTGGTGCCCAAGTAACTCTGCCAGAACTGGTAAAGCCTCCAACTCTCTCCCAATCTGGGAATACAATAGAGCCAGGTTGAAGAGTGCACTTCTGAAGCCTGGCTCGACCTGGATGGATTTTTTCATCCAGGCCTCTGCTTTAGAATTCTGCTTAGCATCCATTGCAAGCATGCCCAGATTGAAGTAGCCATTTGCATCCTTGGGCTCCATATCCACGTAACTCAGAAAACGCTTTTCAGCCTCAGGTCTTAACCTAGGATCCCCTGTTAACAAACATGAAAAAAATCATTTAAAGGTACAGTAATTTTAATTCCATCCCAATTTTTTTAATCACAACAAGCTTGTCAATCAGGGAAATAACACCTAATGTTAACTACTTCTAATAATTATCGTTCAGTAGTCTATGAGAAATTACATAATAAACTGTGGAGTTTTAGCTGGTTAAACTCTTGCAATATCTGACGTGCATCCAACTTGTGTTCTGCCAATGCCACAGATCACAGCTAACTGTCTATGACTTTTGCTCTCACTGTTTTTGATAAAGCCTACCCTCGCAGGCAAGGACAACTCCTTCCGTGGTAGCATGTTTACAGCACTTACCAAGAATTGTCCGTAGGAGCTCAGGTTAAGCCGCGGATTTTGGACGAGGTCGATTTCCCACTCGCGATTCAAACACTTTCCACGCTGAAAATGCGCAACCGGAGCCCACTCCACCCAAAGTAGCAGCAACAAGGAAACTGCGCAAGACCCAAGTACTGTACAGGTTAGCAGCAGAGGTGGGTGTTTGTACCACGTTTGTACTGGGAGAGGGCTCTGGAGCGGCCACAATTAGTGACCGTTGTCCTGAATAGTGAGGTGTCTATTTTACTGAAGCAGACAGCCTATCGTTTAGACCATGAAAGACTGTGAAAATGTGCCCGCAATTGTGAGGGGGCTAATTACTGAGTTTCTACTGTGTATATCACACACACACAGTTTGGATACTCAAGCACAGGGTGTCAGATACTTCACTATTGTATACCAGGGGCCATTTTCAACCCCCAGCTTCTCCTTAGACCTCCAATCTCAATCTCAATCAGTGATGGTGGCAGCTACCATCACTACAGGATTCAGTAGTGGCCCCTCTAAGTCGCTGTCCAGCAAAACGAAGCAAAGTAAATGGTGTCAGAAAGGAGGGCAATCGATTCCAGCTTCCACACAACTAGTTCTAGGCTTCACTAAAATAGATATATTGCTGCCCTGCGGGAGCATACCTGTCCTCCACTTGACAAATTACCCACAGAGCTACAATTAAAATCAATAGTTTTTTGACGGGGAAATTTTAGATACAAACTCTTTTCATCACAGTAACCCTTAACAAAAAAAAACTAGCAACTATGCTGTAATGCGATGGAAAATGTGCGTCATTGAAGATAAAGTTCCACTTTTATTAGCCTTGCTCATCTACAATCAGCTTGCTATGTATGGTTTAAATGTTGAGCTTAACAAAACTATTTCATTTTCCACCCCTTATCTTCCCCCCACTAGATTCAGAAGCCTATGAGGTTGTTTTCAGTTCTCTCTGGGGTTTACGATTATGTTTTAATAATTAAAGCTAAAGATGCAACTTTCCCAAATGTTGAAAAATAGAAGTTGATTCCCCTAAGTATTGATGTTTATCAACTCTACAAATTTCAAGAGTCCCTTCATGAAAAAAGTTAAAATTAGCTGTTGGCTTAAGCCCATCGTTTACATTCCGGTCACAGCTGAAGAATAAATTGTCTAGCCTTACCCGATTCTTGCATTAGAAGGCCGGAGTTGAATAACGATAGCTTGTGGCTTGCATTGATTTCCAGAGCTTGGTTGAAATGTTTCAAGGCTTCCGCTGGCTCTTTCAGCTCAATGTAAACAATGGCCAAATTGTACCAGAGATCTGCATTAGTTCTGTCGAGTTCTACGGCTTTTATGTACGCATCCCTGGCCTCCAGAGGTCTACTCATCTTGAGAAGCAACTCCCCTCTGAGAATTAAACCCAAAGCATAAAGTTAAAGCACAGACAGCACAACAGTCCTGGTTAATAATAGCGCAAATTCTTTGTTAAATAGCAGAGAAGGTTCAGTGCAGTTCAAGGATGAATTTTTGTTGCGAACCAAATTTGACATTTCCTATTTATTAACCGAATATAACTATTATGTATTGAAAATTAATTTATTGGATTGATAGTGCTATTATACATCTCTATTTTAGTGTATTTAGGGAATTTGCAACAAACACTGCAAAATGTAGCTTTAGTTTTTGAGATCCACTAACTCATCTTGGAATTGTGAAGTGAGTCAGCGAGAAGCCAAAGCTCTGTAGAGCCATTTACCATTCAATCACAACCGGAATTCTCAGTACAATATTAATAATAATCCTTCCATTTAATATAGGGCCTTATCACGTCTTTGAGACGTCTCCAAGCATTTCACAGAATATAATCTGAAGTGAATAATTGTATACTTTGTGGGCAAAATGCGGAAGCCAACTGCGCACAGCTGTGTCCCACATACAGTTGTGGATTGTAGTGACCAATTTTAACAGGTTTCCTACTTATTGCTAGATAAACAGAGGCATGTGGAGTAAGGAAACTTGCCCAACATTTTGCCCTGCCGGGAATCAACCCCATGTCTCTCACTTGCGAAGCGAGTGCCCTAACCACTGAGCTACAGGACTCGGTGTACTCAATATACTGTAAAGTGAATTGACTGTATATTTTTGGGCGAAACACGGCAGCCAATTGCACACAGCAGTGTCCCACAAACAGTCCTGGATTGAGAGACCAAATTATTATTTTTATTTGCAGGGATTATTACTCCCTTATTATTCTTATCGAAGAGACAAAGGCACACAAGGTGATATTAGAATAATATCCTTGCATTTAATATATCTCAAAGCATATCACAAAATTCCTGTAAAATGTAGTGAACATGTATTTGTAGAAAGACTTAGAATCTACTTATATTTAGGAAATTTGCAATAAATACTGGAAAATGTAGTTTCATTTTTTTGTGAACTGAACAGTGTCCCACATATAAAAGAAGAAAGTGAGTAATCTGCAGGAAATGCGCTCTGAATGGGCTGATATGAAGTAGACTCTTCATACCTCAGTGCCAAGAGATCACAGAAACAATCTTTCCAGGTTAGAGACAGATAAGAAAACAAAAGTTACTAATTTACCTGTTGATGTAAGCCTGCTTAAAATCGGGTCTCATACTGATCGCCTGTCGGTAGAGTTGATCAGCTTCCTCCAAGCGAGATTCATTTGCTCGAATCAAATTTGCAAGATTTAAGTAAACATTTAGATGATTGGGTGCCACGCGTGCTGCATATTTCTTTCCTGGTATAACCTTAAGAAAAGGTCAAATCGGTTTGCAGCCTTACATGTTACGTTGGCAGACGTATTTTCGAATATGCATTCAAATGAAACATTTTTGGATGTCTGCCTGAGATACCCTATCTTGACACAATTCATAATTTCCTCTAAAAAAAATCCATGCAGTAACACGTTAGTGGGAGGGGGTGGGGAAGAGAAGAAGGGTTAGAGATTGCTGGTCAGAATTTACTGTGAATTAGTGCAGAAGGCCAGCTGGCTCCTCTGCACTTCAAAATATCAACTGGCACCAGTGAGGAATGCTGAAGTGTGGTTGGCTACTCTTTAGTGCGCAGGAAGGCCAGGCAAAGTGTGCGCTGAAGCCACCTTCAGGTTCACTAGGTACCCGCCTTATAGGGTAAGCCCCCCATACAATGAAGCAACGTAAGGTATTTTTGTTAATTGTAAACTAATTATCTGCGTAAAAGTCAATTTGGCAATTTTTTCAGAATACGTTACATAAACGCACACTAATATTTTACTTTGATTCAAATTTGGAAGAGTTCACAATTGACCCACAAACAAGTGCAATATCAGTTTAAAGTCACCTTTTAAAAACACGCAGTTTTAAGATAATCGGTTGCAACTGACTACAGGAAGCTATTCTTTAGTCTATAGAAAATAAAAATTGCCAATTTCCATCTTTGCAGATTCTGAGCAAAGGACGTTCAGGTTTGATGGGATAGAGCTATATGATTACAAAATGAAACATCTAAATACTGTCCCAGCCGATTATAAAATAGAACTAAATCTTTCATTGCTGTATACATTTCATATCTGAATACAAACATATCTTATATAAAATCAATGATGGCAACAATTTCTGTGCCAGGGTTTTGCATACCTGAGGCATGAGGGATTTTGCTAACATGTAGGCATCTTCTGCTTCTTTGGTTTTGTTCAAATTTTTATACGTTCTTCCAACATTCATATGGGCACCAATATCATCTTTGCAACAAGAAAGTTTGGGACAAAAAGGGACCATATTATATTAATAAGACAAATTCAATCCATCACAGTCTTGTATATAAAAATAACTTGCATTTGATACAGCACTGGAGCACTCAAGGAAATCAACAAGTAATGCTGTTAAGTGCAGTGACTGTATTTGTAGGCAAACCCTACAGGCAAATGTGCACAGCAAAGTCCTATAAACAACAAATTGAAAATGACTATTTATTTGGAGGATTGTTGGGGATGACACAGGTAAAACTCCCTTCCATTTTGATAGTATCATGAGTTTCTTTTAATATAAAACATCCACCTGAACTGGAAAACAGTTTTCAATATCTCATCTGAAAGATGGCAACTCTGTCATGCAGTATTCCCCCAGTAATGCACTACAGCAATAGTGGAGCTGTCAAGAGAACCCCTCAGAGCGTTCACACGAGTGTAGATAAGTCTGTGTTCAATCGGCAGTGGGTTATCAGTTATTTTCTTGATTGGATATTTCTTGTTTTGTGGTATAAATCAAGAAATATTCAATCAGGAACATCTATTTTGTTAGCTGTTGCTGCACCTCACTTTGAGCCAGGATTATGAGCTATACACTCTTATTGTAGGACTTGACACAATTCATAGTTCTAGGAACCTGAACATAGTTTTGAAACTCCTAATTTAGAATAAAGAGATTGCTAGTTCACAAGCCAGTATTATAAAATAATGAAACAGATACTATAAGATCATCTTGTGACATGTTGTTCAGGTAGATGTTATTGATCCCATTACACTGTTCACAAAGAGCAGTGTTCAGTATTCTATCCAACATTTGCTTTGGCTCCCTTCAACATCTCTTCACTTTCTTCACTGACCTCCTCAACCTCCCCCAATTTATCCGTTAAACTCACTGAACCTGCCCACAACCTTGGCTTACAATTCAACTCCCAAGTGTCCTTCCTACCCCACATTTAAATTGTGACTAGACTGTTTTACTCCACTTTATTGCTCGTCTGACACCATCTCACCCTAAAAACCACTAAAACCCTCATCTATGCCTTGCGTCACCTTCTGCCTTGATTTCTCAAATATACTCCTCGCTGGTCTCCCCACAAGGTCCAATTCATAAAAAACTCAGCCGTCTACATCTTCACCCCAATCCTCGCCAGGCTTCATCGGCTTTGCATCTCCAAAAGGATTGATTTCAAGATCCTCACCCTGGTCTACAAATCTTTGCACACCTCTTCCAACCTCTATTCTTCCACCTCGCACCCCTCCTTTATCTATCTTTAAGTCCCTCCTTAAGACCTCTTCAACCGCGTTTATGTTCACCTCACCCATCGGTTAGTGATTCACTTTCTAGCCGTTTGTGGGATCCTGTTGTGCACAAATTGGCCGCTGTTATGTATGATATATCAAATGCAAGGATATTATAATATTTACAGATTATAAACCTGTCCACAGCAATATTCTTTTGATAAAGAAAGAACAGCTTGGATCCTTGTATAATTTAGAACAAAAATATATAATAATAATCCTTGTGTTTGATATAGCAGTTAAAAATCATTCAATTATTTGTGTTAATCTAGCCATCATCAAATTTGTATCTATTCTAATATAATAGGTCGGTATACCAGCTATGTTCCTGTAAATTTACAATGATCTCTACATACAGACAAGGTTAGATCTTAGATTATGTGAAGTAGTAAAATGTTATTGAATCTCTGCCAATGTTAAGATTCATAATAGTATCAAAAATACATAATAATAGCACTTTATATTTTGTGAATGAAATTGCTGGATTCACAACAAAATTTTACCATGGAGTGGGGGGGGTTTGGAAGGGAAAGAAATCAAAACACCAAGAACGTTGAAAGTTGTTTTGCAGCCAACATTTTGCTCATCAATCTTTTGTCAAAAGAATGGTCTGAGAACAAAGTTTTTGCTGTGATCGTAAACAGAAGTCCCCATTAATGCAACAACTTCTAGTTTGTGAACAGCACAGCACAATGAGTACCATTTATGCACTTACCAACCCATGTATTCAATCAGCACAGTTAACTCAATTTGACTGTAAGTGATCCAAAGTTAATTAGGTGACTCAGTTCAAAAAAGAGATATACACCCATTATAAGGCACACAAATGCTCTTGAAGACCTAATAAAGATAATCTTACCTGGTTGAACCCTTGTAGCTTGAATGAAGAACTTCAAAGCTGCTTCATATTTATGCTCATTTTCTAAAGCATGGCCCACATTGTTCCAAAGTTTAGCATTATTTTTATTGACCTTTAATTTAAAAAATGTGCAATTACTATTCTGAGAAAAAAAACCCTGCAGAATACCTGATGTAAGTTCTACTTTAAACTCTGAACTACTTAAGAATTTTTGATTTATTAGCTAGTATTGAAATTATTTTGCTCACAAAGATTGCCTGGCATGAATATACTAATTCAAAAAAACTTAACATTAAACAAAACTGACTTTTTTTCCCCCCACCCAATGCTAATGCAGGTCAGTGCCCAGGTTTATTTCATAACACAAACCTCATAAAAAGGAAACTCAAATAATATTAAATATTCAAAACTGAAAGCTAAGCAAAATACTGTAATGCAAGATCATTGTCTTAAATATTTAAGGAACACATCTTGGAGGCAACCTCTTTCCTCATCCCAAACATTCAACGTACCTTAAGACCTGACATGAACAAGGAGTATTCAGATTCCCAATCCCAATTTCTGTAAATTGTTTTGAAGGTATGAGTGGTAAGTAGAATTGTCAACCCAATCCATGCCAGTTTCTTTAGATTCCTAAAACAGGACATCAACAAAGTAGAAACATGAACTTAACACTAATACATCTAAAGCTTTGTTACATAGCATATGTGCACTGTCAATCATTATTTCAGTATTTACCATATTTTTGAACATGGATAAATACATGCACTCTTAGAGCTAGTTTAAATAAATAATACTGAAGAACATCCCTCCCAATGCCAAAGAATTTGGGGAAGTTCCAAACTGATGTTTACTCTGGCATATACACAAAAATCTGGATTCTATTTCACAGTGTGGATTAACTCACAATTTAAAGACTATTTTATGTAAATATGTCCATTGAAAATCATTTACACACCACAATTCCAGACTGAAACAAATATTAAACTTAAGTACACATACCCAGTTATTGCTATCTTCCTCCATCCATGTGCAACCAACAAACAAAATCCCATGCTGGGAACATACAGCACACGCTCTGCTACCACAAAGCCAACAGGGAAAAATAGATTTGATGCAGGAATGAATGGCAGTACCATGAAAGAAAGTGCCTAGAAACAAAAGTATATTTTTGAGTCACATAAAGATTGCCTGGCATGAATATAGTAATTCAAGTAAACTTAACATTAAACATGACAAAACTGACTCTCACCCCCCACCCCATGCAGGTCAGTGCCCAGATTTATTTCATGACACAAATCAGATAAACTGTGGAGGCCATTAACCTAGTCACAGTGTGAATGATTACAAGTGATTAAAGCTACATTCCTATGAAATTATGCAGATATGTGTGCATTTCATTTTATTTCCTTAAAAATTGGCCTAAAAAAAGTCAAATGAAAAAGTCAAACTTACAAAGCTTCAGTAAATATCCAGTCTTCGAATACAGTGCATGTGCACTGACAAAATCATTAATTCAGCATTGTTACATGCACACTGAGAATTGAATGTGAACAAAAAATGGTACTTTTTTCCAATTGACGAAGAATTTGGGGAAGGTCGAAGTGATGTTTACTGCTGGGCAGCTGATAATTGCTCTCTTCATTGTTGATAAAAGCAAGTATTAGCTTGTTAACAAATACACTAAAGACAAGTAAACTAAAAAAACTAAGAGCACTATATAAATGCAAGTTGTTGCATTCCAAGCTCCCGAACATTAGAGACATGAAATCATTTAAAATTTTCATTAAACGTTCTTTTAAGCACATCAACCCTGCTCGCACTTCTCCACCCACTCGAGCCCTAGACCTTCCTCTTTGATCACACCTATGGTAACCTCCCCTCTCCCCCAGTTTGATGTCAGGCTCCACCACTGTGAAGCTACCCTGCATGAAGAGTGCTATATAAATGTAAGTTGCTATTGTAAATTTCCGGTGTCTGCATGTACAGACTGAAAACATTGTCAGCCATGCATCATGTAACGAACTTTATCACTGTCTTACCATTATTATGGTTCTAGATGATTCACCAGGATTACGAAGACTATAATGGATTAGGAGTCCCAAAAATAGATAGAAGATTACTGTAGCAACATTTCGAATATCTAAGATAGATTCCACTAATGGAATAGTTCCCATTGTCCAATCACAACACAATTCTGATGGATTCAAGAGAAGCCAGCCATTCAATGGCAAGAGGTAATTGAAAGTTAGCTGCCTGGCAGGAGTGGGGCTGACAGCCGCTGGATTATCAAACCTATGACAGAAAAAAAATCAATAATTATAAACACTGACTGAACAAATAATTTCACAAGACTAAATATTTCTGTATGTAGAGATATCTGAACATAAAGATTAACTACAGACAGCAGTAAGCGATTACTAGGCAATCATCCCAATGAGGGTTGCAGATAAGCAGTCACTCTTCATGAGAACCTTGCTTTGCCAAGCACCTTTGCATTAGGATCAGTTTACATCCATTAAAACTGGTACCCAACTTTAGAGTTGAACTTTCAGAACGCTATTCATTGACAAGTAAACACTAAAAGCTTGGCATCACTGCTATTGACCTAGAGGTTGGATTTAGGACCACATGCTCTTACATCTTACCAACTAACTGATTGGTATGCAATGCTAAACTGCAAGAGGTTCATGTTGGACATTTGTCTTGATNAAAAAAAATGTAAAACTGCAATAGAAAAGTTCAAGCTCATGCATCACCTAAAGACAAGCTTATAGCTTTGCAATTACTCTGAGGCTCCCATCAGTTTATACTTTTGTAGCATTTACAGAGCCTTTTGCTGCCACAACAGGCATCACTGGTATTAAGTGTTGAGTAGCAGCATCCAAAGAACGCTCCAGTATTGTCCTGTGCAGCACTTGGATATTAGCTCTTACATAGAGTCAAAGAGACTGGAGCAGGTGAAGAGGGACTGGCCACATTGGTTGTGCCTCAGCAAGACATAGATAATCAATGTAGAAGGCCAGCTTTCTATGCACCGTTTTGGTCAGACAGGTGTTGGACAAATGTGAAAACCCATCACTGTGCTCAAGAGTATCCAACCAGAGTTCCACTCACACTGGAAATTTCAGCAGTGCCTTCAGATTCACATGGCGCTGGGAAACTGCTGGATGGTGCAAGTGAATGGCCTCTTTTCCTCTACCCCTGGGAGTTATTTCTAAGCTGTAATCTTACTTTAAGAGTTAAGATAACTGAAATTTCTTTTTTCTTATTGCCAACTGACCTCCTTTTCTCTCAGTTTTGATACTTACAAGCACAAAAGAAATTGTAGGTGGATTTCTACTTCAGTTGGAATAAGCGCCATGACAGCTTCCAGCCTGGCTCTCAATGTCATTGTGCAATAGAAGCAAAAGTTGTCTTAATCAAAGCCAAATTTCTCTAAGGTTCCTTACCAATTCAATAAACAGCATGGGTGTGTGCATCTGTTTCGCCCACAAAGAACAGTCGACAATATATTCTGTGAATCGCTTTTAGACGTGATAAGGCGGTGTAACAAAAGCAAGGATTATTATTACAATTTAATAATAAATAATAATCCTTGCATTTGATATAGCACTTTTCACGTCTTCTAGATGTCTCAAAGGGGTTCACCAAATACACTGTGAAGTGAATTGACTGTATATCTGTGGGCAATACGCGGCAGCCAGTTGTGCACAGCAGTGTCCCACAAACAATCGTGGATTGAAGTGACCAATCTATTATTTTTTTTCTTGAGGGATTTTTATCAGGCGTGTGGAGTAAGGAAACTTGCTCAAGGTTTTGCCCTGCCACGAATTGAATCCCGTTCTCTCACTTGCGAGCCGAGTGCTCTGACCACTGAGCTGCAGAACTCCATTTGAAGCCCATGTGGATATCGGGCAATCTACTCTATATTTACATTCAGTTTGCAAACATATGTTTGCAGTTGTCTTATAATCACCAAGAAGTTTAGTCATTTGAATGCAGGATGCTCGTTCTTGACCTGTACAATCTGGCAAGACAAGAGCACCATCTGCTGGCTAACCCGGCATATTGAACCTTCAGATTCATTATTGCTTTAATAGTCAATCCTTTCATATTTGCTCATTTACCTTTCAAAACTACTCAACGATTATATTTTTTCAGGATTCAAATAAATACTCCGAACCATTGCCATCAAGAAACATTTTTAGGCCTAGCATTTGTTATAGAAAGATATTTAGAAGACTTGGGCTGTTACAGCCTAAATAAAATAATTTAAGGAAAAACAAGACTTGATATAAGATACAATTGATACTGACTGAGAAAAAACTATGCTGGAAAAAGGAAATTAAAAAATGGTAAAAATACAACTGAACAAAGCTGAACTGTGCCCAAAGGCACGTGGGATGAAATCTCCAGAGGATAATAATAATCATCCTTGCATTTGATATTGCACCTTATCACATCTTTGAGATGCCTCAAAGTGCTTAATAGTACCTTGTTCTGAGAACTGATGCAGACTCAATGTACCAAAATAGCATCCTTCTGTGCTGTAAATTTCTATAATCTTATCAAAAGGTAAATATACTGACAGTCAGCTTTGCAATTTGCAATATTACCGCTAATCAGGCTGTATATCGTGTCCTGCGCTCCCCAGCTATGCCTTGGGAGTTTCAGCCTAGGGCAATAGCTCAATATTCCATAGTGGGACTTGAACCAACGACCTTCAGAGACAAGAGTGCTAAGACTTGTCTTCTGGGTCCAATGAAGAAAGAAGAAGTAAGCCAATTAGCCAAGTCTGAGAAACTAAAGAAAGAGCATTTTTCGTACAGACACATATCAACATGCAGATACCGATCCATGCAAATACAGGGTGCATATTTCCCTTGAAGTAAAAGTTTTCTGTTCTTACTGCATTCTTGACCCAGTTTTGGTGGAGCACTAAGCTTCCAAACACATAGCTTGACTTTCAATTTTTCATGAAAATTTGTTTTGCTTGGTGAAATAGCACTGACAGAAACTCTCCTAAACCATTCAAATATGTGCGTCGGGGAGACAAAATTGATTCAAATTTGAAGAAAAATAAAAAATCATTAATTGGGTTATGCATTAACGCGTTTCAGCCACAAAATATGCAGTCAATTCACTTTACAATATATTCCATGAAGCTCTTTGAGACATCTCGAAGATGTGATAAGGCGCTATATCAAATACAAGGTTTATTTTTTATTAGTAAAGTGAAATATATCACATGGATCAGCGAAACAAAGTTTACCTGGTGAACACTGGCAACTGGGATTGAATGACTTGTACCCGGATAATGACAAGCAGGAAGGTGCTGAGCACCAGAAAAATAAGTTTGATTAAGGTCTGGAGTACCCACGATGGCAGAATGCCCTTTCCTCGTAACAAGTGTGCAGCAGTTTCCCAGAAAACATGAAGCGTGAACTGTAAAATCAACAAACATTTATATTAACTTTAACCATATAACAATTATATACATAGAGTATAATCCACGACTGTTTGTGGGACACTGCTGTGCGTAATCGGCTGCCGGGTTTTGCCCACAAAATATACAGTCAATTCACTTTACAGTATATTCTGTGAAGTGCTTTGAGACGCATCGAAGACGCAATAGGGCGCTATATCAAATTCAAGGATTATTATTATATTATTGATTTTTTTCTATAATTCAGAAAATAAATTGCATTTACTTTTAAATCGCTTTGCTCACAAACACTTAATATATTTGTACATTTTGATTTCTATTCCACTTGAAACAATCAAGCAAGCACAAGCGCATTAACAAAATCACTTTGCTGCCTCTTTGATCTAGCTAGGAGTGCTTCAACCACTCAGCTGCAGGCAGCAACAATTAACTATTCAACCTTAGAATAACATGTTTTCAACACAAAGTTTTCAATAAGCACAGTTTTATTCAAATAACTACCAAAATGATTACAATAGCTATTTTCTTACCCCTTGGGCTATAAATACTTCATAGACACAGCATATACCAATGACTGTTATTCCTTGTTCTTTGCATAATGTTGCAATGGCAACTAAAATTACTGTTACTGCAATAGGAGTCCAGACTGAGAAGAAAACAACATGATTAACTGGTATTTTATGCACAACGTTTTTTTTGGTAAAAATCAAAAATTGTCAATGAGAAATATTAAGATAAAGTACACCCATGCATGTTGATTTCATTAAAATAGGATATTACTGTATACAACTACTATATACACACTATATACGTATATCTATATGTACACACACACTATATATGAATATCTTCTACAGCCTCATTTCAATACAAAACAAAAGTACACATAAAATCCCTCAGCTTTCTTCAAATAACATTGAAATGAGGAAAATTCAACTTCAGTATTTTAAAATAAGCAACAGACTTAAAGCCTATCGACATTAGTTATTCATTTTAAAATGGATTTAATTATATAAATTGAACACTTATTTATGCAATAGATTACGTTTAAAATTGCGCTTCATAGGACAATAGTGTGTGCAAATGGCTGCCTTGCTCACTTACAAAGTAGTCACTATACTTAACAATAAATCCCGCAAAGCTCTTCGAGACATGCTCCTGACATAACAGGCTCTTTTTCAAATGCAAAGATTATTTATTATTATTTTAAGGAGAAATAAATATTACCTATTGAATTGTTGGGACCTTTAGATTTAGTGTAGGACAAAAAGGCAGCCAAAAAGAAGATAGAGGACAAAAGTTCAGCTCGACCAACTACTCCACTAACCTGTAGATAAAAACAGAAACAAATTCATCAGTTTCTACTTAAGAGCGACATTTAATGAGCAATAATAATTTGTTTTTAAAATTGAATTTTTAGGGCAACACTATCCACAAAGCTGGCCATAGAGTCTAAGGTAATATCAAAACAACAAGTAATTACATTTGTAATCACTCCAAAACAAAAATAAATTGGTCATTTTCAATCCACGACTGGTTGTGGGACACTACTGTGCGCAATTGGCTGCCGCATTTCGCCCACAAAATATATACGGTCAATTCACTTTACAATCTATTCTGTGAAGCGCTTTGAGATGTCGAGAAGACATGAAAAGCACTATATCAAATGCAAGGATTATTATAATATTGCACATTGTGAGGTTGACATTGGCACCATGACAGATCATACCAGATGTACATATTCAGAACTCCAGCAGAGGTCACTGGATAGCTATTAGACATGAAAACCCCAGAAGACTTTTTTTCTAAAACTCCTCTGTGACCCTTAACTGTTTCTCCAGCACTGGCTGAGATCAACTAACAATATAGACCAGGTTTCAAAACCTGAGACCTATGCAGTCTACAGAATCACCAGAAGAAATGCAATGATCATAGAAAATATAGATACTTAAGAGTTCAAGAGCCATGCAATATCATCCAAGCTTAACATACCGCCTCTGTGTGTATTGGATGAACTGCAAAGAGTAGAGAAGCAATCAGACTGGATCTCTTGTCTAGGAACAGATGGCACACTTTAAAAAAAATGACACAGACCACTGCGTGCAGAACAAGGTTCATGAAGTGGTACGAAGCAGCATTTAGTTCACTGAAAAGGTAGTTCAGTCGAAAGGTGAGGACGGTTAGTGGTCGATAAGATTTATGGCTTCTCTCCTGGAAAGAAAAGTGAAATTTTAAACTTAATGCATATATAACTATAACTATCTTTTAAAAAAGTGCATTATTGAATTAGAAATCATTCAGACGGAAGTTTTTTTTTAAACAATATATTGCGCAAAATAGGCAAGTGACAAACATTTAAATCTCTTGTCTGCAAAAATAGAAGACTAAAACAAACCCGAGAAGTGCACTCTGCTTCAGAAATGTATAAGTGTTTATTAGAGTATGAAAGAAAGTACAGAAGATAAAACAAAGCATAATTTATTTACACAAGGCTATGAAAAACACACCTATAAATATTTAAATGTATGGATGAGTTTTGGAAACACACTAATAATCTGAATTAGATCTTGGGAGATCAATACAGAGGGCTAAACCATGCATTGCTCTTACACTTTGACAAACTGGTCTCCATCTGGTACAGATGGATGAGACAGCTTCAGTATTTTCTCTGATGCAATCAAACTGACTGCTAATACTTGGCTACTTTCAGAAAGGATGCATTTGACCAATGGTTCACGAATAACATCAATGAGATCCAAATGTTCAGACAATAAATAAATAAATAAAAATCCATCCATATTCAAAGGACAGGCATGCTTGATGAAAAAAAAAGCACTGTGCCAATGGCTTAAATGAAAAGCATTAGAATGTGCATTTGGAGAGTAGGTATCAGAAAATAGTTACTCAATTCATCCCATTCATTTCCATAGCATCCATATGGCAAGATACAAGTAAAGTGCAATATCTAGTTCTCTTTCCTCCCACCCTGCAGTATGGCATGTTGATGTTGCTTTAAGGAAATACTGCAGGAACACTTACAACAGTGAACATCATCATAGTCTGCTCTAGAGATTGCTTCATTCTTCTGAAGTGTTTAAGATGGCCAAAGTATTTAATGAACCATAAATGAAAATTGCTTCAGTGAAATTAAACCTTCCTTGCAGCTAAACTACTTGTTTCATCCTGTAAACGCAATGAATTTAGTTAAACATGTATTGTTAAACGTGTAATGTTCTGAGCATGCAAATCTGTGGTACGGGTATGTTCTTTCACAATAGCTGTGTGAGCATTGTACCTAGTAACCCTTCTAACGATTCAACCATTAACATATTGTTCAAACACAAGAGATGCCTATCAATAAATGCAGGTTGCTATCTGTCAAATAGCTGATGAGGAAACTCTGAGGTTTATAATAATAATAATCCATGCATTTTATATAGCGCTTTTCATGTCTTCTAGACGTCTCAAAGCGCTTCACAGAATATACTGTAAAGTGAATTGACTGTATATTTGTGGGCGAAACGCGGCAGCCAATTACACACAGCAGTGTCCCACAAACAGTCATGGCATGAAGTGACCAAATTATTTGTTTTTCTTGAGGGATTATTATCAGGCATGTGGAGTAAGGAAACTTGCCCAAGTTTTCGCCCAGCTGGGTATCAAACCCAGGTCTCTCACTTGCAAGGCAAGCGCTCTAACCACTGAGCTACAGGACTCCAAAGTCATGATAGCTGCTGGGATTCATGAACACACACTCATATCCAAGAGTTTTGCATTCACCTTGATCAGTACTTCGTGATGGCAAAAATATATGGAATTTAAGAATGTGGACAGATTTCTACATCCGTGTCAGACATCCGGCTGAAAGTCAGACTAGTTTCATTGCACCAACACATTACTGTGCATGCAATGAAATGTGCTGAATAGCTTTTAACAAAGAAACTGAGTCATTGGTCCGTGAACGCAGATTAATTGACTTGGTGAGCACCACAGATTTCTCCCCTTGCTGAACACTGCAGAGGATTCCTGCTCAGAGTCAGAGAGCACACTTCCATATGATCTTAAAAATCTTACTTTAATCATGTCCAGAATAAAATTCTAATTGGTTAACAGTAATGCAGTGCAATCAGCTCCTGTCAAATAGTTAATTTTNAAAAATCTGAGATCTGGAACATGTGTTCCAATTTTTATTGGTCAATAAAATTCTTCTTGAGGAAATACTCTACAAGAACTTACAGGCACAATGACACATATGTGTTGGCACTCCATGCACATGTATTAAGGCAGATGATGATGGAATTCAACATGTACAATCTTGAAAACAACCTTAAGGCATTTCTAATGAAAAAACAAATATTGAAGTGTAGGATTGAGTACAGCCACCCCCATGCCAAGCCCAGAATCAGCAAATATTGGTTAGCTGCTTGTGAAATCTCTCCAGAAAATGATTCATACAATAATACCCATTATTGTGATTTCCATGTACAAGCGCCTCTTAATGTTAGGCCAAGATGCATCTTCTAATCATTGCTCATCTAACAAGAGAAGCCTACATTTACTCATCAGAGTTAAACAATTTTGCAGGTGGGATGTGTCACAATATATCTTGGACAAATGTGTGCCACAACAGTCAAATACTTGATACCTAATTATGCCCAACACTAACAAACCATCAAATTATTCCTTTCCATATTCAAGAACAGTACAAATAGATTTATTTCCTGAAACAGAGTGATTTCTCTTGAATATGTAACACCCTAGAAATAATAATTACCTGGATTAGTCAGATAAGAAATGCATGAAAGCTTGCACAATTATTGTAATTATGAGCACCCATTTGTGTCAACAAGGTCTCCCACACAGACATAATGTGAATCATCAATTAATCTCAAGAATCGTTGGACAGGTCACCAAGAGAAATTAGTTCTTTCTTTCCCCAAACAGTTCTGCGGGAACTTTTAAAGTCCACCTGAAGAAAAGGCAGACAGGACCTTGATTTAACGCCTCATTCAATGAGTATATCTAACAGTTTAACTGTCTTTCTCACTAATGCAGTAGATTAAGTTCAAGACCAGATTAATGCTTGATCCCCCGACTTTCTGACCTAAAGGTGAGAATTTGTTCTGAATAATGGAACAAAAAATCATGAGCAGAGTTACAATTTCCGGATGAGGTAAAAATAAAAATGAAGAACTGTGCTTACCTCAGTCATGGGGGTGCCCCAGAAGTCATTCTGGAAAAGGGTTTTCAGTGGTGTTGAAGGATGAAGGTCTTTGTTGTCCAGTATGGCTGAAACATCATCGAAGGCAAAACCGCAGTAGATACTGTTCCAATAGCACACTGCCACTACCCCAAGCAGCAAAGCAATCTCCTTGCATCTTTCAGCCATTCTCTCAGAGCTTTCATGAGCTACAGTTAAAGTAAAAAAAAGTATTTTTTTTAAGTCTCTTTATCAGGTGAAGCAACAGTGAATTGTAAAACAAGTGATTTAATTGAACAGGATAAAAGAAACTTGAAAATTTGATATTTGAAGTCTCTACAGACATGGTACCTTAGCCATACACTTAAGACTATTTCTACATAGATCCACTGCACCTAGAAGCCCCATAAATGTACCACAAAATGGTGATTCGTTATTTAGTTTGTTCTGAAATGAAAATAGTTCAGTGGCTCTCTCAGCAACCTGCTGTTTCTGTATAGATGACTCCATCTCCTTCAGGATTCTTTTACCTTGAACACATAGTAACCCATTTCCACTTCTCATGTTTAACTTCTGACTTTGTTAATACTTTGTAAACAACAACAACAACAACAAGATTCCATTTATAAAGCGCCTTTCACGTCAGGAGAACGTCCCAAGGCACTGCACAGTTGGGTCAGGACCCGTGCAGGGGGGAAATGGTCAGGGTGAGGGGAGGGAAGGGAGGGGGAAGAGAGTCGAGAGGGGAGCTGAAGGCTCGGTCAAAGAGAAAGGTTTTGAGACCGGCCTTGAAGGAGGAGAGGGAGGAGGCAAGGTGAAGGCACTGGGGGATGGAGTTCCAGAGCCTCGGGGCTGAGAGACTGAAGGCCCGACCACCGATGGTAGGGCAATTGGGGCGGGGGACGTGGAGCAGACCGGAGCCGGAGGAACGGAGGGTACAGGTAGGTAGGGGGATAGTAGGTCAGAGAGGTAGGAGGGAGCGAGGCCGTGGATGGCCTTATAGGTGAGGATGAGGATCTTGAAATCAATCCTCTAGGGGATGGGGAGCCAGTGGAGGCGAGCGAGGGTGGGAGTGATGTGGTCGCGAAGCCTGGTGCGGGACAGTACACGAGCTGCAGAGTTCTGAATGACCTGCAGCTTGTGGAGGGAGGTGGCGGGTAACTTAGATTTGTAAAACACAAAAAAATGTAAGAATTTAATAAAATAGTAAATATTTTACCTAAACAGTTACAAATTCCACACGATTGTCGGTTTAGCCACTTAAGAAATAATGTTAAACTCTTACCATTGGATAAGGAAAATAAAAGATGATCGAAATCAACAAGGCCCTTATTGTGGTGAATGATTGTGGATGTTTTCTTTTGAATGTTATAAAACTACCAATAAGCTTTAGTGTAAATAAACAATTAGACTATGTAGTACATCAGGCTACCCTCTAAACATTGTTTCAGCTGAGATCAGCCATCTCATAGACCATGGATCAAAGCTTAGACCATCTTTGTCTATCTAGCTCAGCTACTCACTGGATAACTCCCTGAACCATCAGAAGAGTTTTTTTTTAAAGAAGTGATGGTCTCATACCTCCAAATATAGCACCACTCCAAAAAAAAATACGATCACTTTATTGGTTTATACTGAACAACTCAAACTACCTGGGGAAACAATAATACTTGCATTCGATATAGTGCTTTTCACGTCTTCTCGACGTCCCAAAGCGCTTCACAGAATATATTGTAAAGTGAATTGCCCATATACTTGTGGGCAAAACGTGGCAGCCAATTGCGCATAGCAGTGTCCCACAAACAGTCGTGGATTGAGTAACCAGATTATTATTGGGTTTTTTTTCGCCCATGAGGGATTATTATCAGGCATGTGGAGTAAAGAAACTTGCTCAAGATTTTGCCCTGCCGGGAATCAAACCCAGGTCTCTCGCTTGTGAGGCAAACGCTCAAATCACAGGACACTAAATGTATCTATTCAGAAGCTTTTACTGTAAGTTATCTGCATCAACTCACAACACACCGCAAATCGCACATTGTCTTTACAGATTTATAGATCATCTTCAGTTAGACAGCAGCATATTCAGTAGTTACAGAATTCAGTATATTCCATAATTTCAGCATGAATACAAACAAAATGGTTCACCAAAATACATCTTTCGGTCCCTAAAATATATAATTGATTAAGATTCAGTCAGAAGTATGTTAGTTACTGTGCATTAAAACACTGCAATTTTTATACAAGGGGAGTATAAATGAAAAGGTTGTGCACATATCTATTACGTATGAACAGTTCACTTCTTTCGGAAGCCAAGGTCAATTTTAATTTCTTAACTGCTGCCCTAGCTGAGGTTATTTAACAGCACAGACTGGGGTCAAACCTATGATCTTACAGTGTACGTGGCCTAGTGCTGCACCCAACATACCTGAGCCCAAGAGACCTTTAAGGAGCGAGACTCAAATCTCTAGTTTATCCTGCATCTAACCTACTGAAGCGCTAACACATTTGATCAATTAAGACTCAAGATTGTCTAATTATTCATTATCCAAATGAATGAGACTAATATTTTTAAACTTCAAGCTTGATCGAAACATTGATTTCTTGCTTGACGTAGTCTAAATAATTATACCGTAACTTTTCATTATTAAATTCTGCCATGTTCCCGGGAACGTAATGGGTTCAAGTACAATCCCTCCTATTGTTAGCAAAGAAACCCAACACACCGCGGTGCCTGCAATAAATTTGCCTTGTTGAAAATATCATGTATGGCACCCTTTTGCCACCCTGTCGAGGACGTCAATATAAGTGCGGTAATTAAACCAAGGCTGGGAGTTTCCATTCCCAAAAAGGGACCTTGAGAAATGCGGCTACTGTAATAACATTCGGATCAAGACGGGACGGGAGTTGCCGGCTGGCAGCTGTCGCGCCTTCTGGTGAAGTGAAAAATGTTTGGTTAACATCCATTTTCAGGAAAATTACAACATGGTGCGCCTTCATTTCAAAACTCAAGGCCGAAGGAATGAATGAATGACATTTATATTAACACTGTGGAGTTATGCCTTTTCCCCCCCCCCACCCCACCCACTCCCTCACAATCTCCCTCCTACCCCCCCCACTACCACCGCTCCCGCATCTCTTCAGCCCTCGTCAGACCAGACCCCCATCTTTCCAGCCCCGGTCCCCCTCCCACCCCACCGTTTCTGGCCCCTATCAGTCAATTCCAGTGTCCAGTTTCTCTGCTGCCCTCACCTCCCCCTCTCCCCATCCCCCCCACAGAGTCCTCCCCCCACCTTAACCCCCCCACAGCCCCCTCCCCCACAGCCCCCTCCCCCACAGCCCCCTCCCCCACAGCCCCCTCCCCCACAGCCCCCTCCCCGGCTCGTTTCTGCCCCCCCCCCACCCCCATGTCCTCAGCCCCTCCCTGGCTTCAAGCTTCCCCACCCCTCAGTCTCTCTGAGCCCAACACCCACCCACAGACAGACACCCCTCCCCTCCCCGTCTCTCCAGCTCCTCGTCTCGGGGAGCAATTCACGCCCTCCCCCACCCCCTGTCTGGTCACTGACGCCCTTTACCTGGGGCCCGGCCGCTCGGTGCAGACTGTGACCCGGGATCAGGCGCTGTCCGGCCTCACATCGCGGCTCCTTCACAACCAACTGCCAACCGTCGCCCACCCCTCACCCGCCCGCCCGCGCGCGCACCTCACTTCCGCTCGAGGCCACACCCACCCACCCAGCGCCCGTGCCGGTGAGCAACGCATGCGCACGGCACCCCCCTCCCCCCCCACATACACACATCACCAGCCCCGCACCCCCCCCACCAACACACTGCCCGTCACCAGCCCCCCCACCCCCAACGCACTGTCCGTCACCAGCCCCCCACCCCCCCAACACACTGCCCGTCACCAGCCCCCACCCCCAACACACTGCCCGTCACCAGCCCCCCAACACACTGTCCGTCACCAGCCCCCCCCACCCCCAACACACTGTCCGTCACCAGCCCCCCCCACCCCCAACACACTGTCTGTCACCAGCCCCCCACCCCCCACCAACACACTGCCCGTCGCCAGCCCCCTACCCCCAACACACTGCCCGTCACCAGCCCCCCAGCCCCCAACACACTGTCCGTCACCAGCCCCCCAACACACTGTCCGTCACCAGCCCCCCCACCCCCAACACACTGCCCGTCACCAGCCCCCACCCCCAACACACTGCCCGTCACCAGCCCCCCAGCCCCCCAACACACTGCCCGTCACCAGCCCCCCAGCCCCCAACACACTGCCCGTCACCAGCCCCCCACCCCCCCCAACACACTGCCCGTCACCAGCCCCCCACCCCCCAACACACTGCCCGTCACCAGCCCCCCAGCCCCCCAACACACTGCCCGTCACCAGCCCCCCCACCCCCAACGCACTGTCCGTCACCAGCCCCGCCCCCCCAACACACTGTCCGTCACCAGCCCCCCCCACCCCCCCCAACACACTGCCCGTCACCAGCCCCCCCACCCCCAACGCACTGTCCGTCACCAGCCCCCCACCCCCAACACACTGCCCGTCACCAGCCCCCCCACCCCCAACACACTGTCCGTCACCAGCCCCCAACACACTGTCCGTCACCAGCCCCCCCACCCCAACACACTGTCCGTCACCAGCCCTCCACCCCCCACCAACACACTGTCCGTCACCAACCCCCAACGCACTGTCCGTCACCAGCCCCGCCCCCCCAACGCACTGTCCGTCACCAGCCCCCTACCCCCAATGCACTGTCCGTCACCAGCCCCCAACCCCCAACGCACTGTCCGTCACTAGCCCCCTACCCCCAATGCACTGTCCGTCACCAGCCCCCAACCCCCAATGCACTGTCCGTCACCAGCCCCCCACCCAACAACACACTCTCCGTCACCAGCCCCCCCAACACACTGCCCATCACCAGCCCCCCCAACAAACTGCCCGTCACCAGACCCCCCCAACAAACTGCCCGTAACCAGCCCCCCCAACACACTGCCCGTCACCAGCCCCCCACCAACACACTGCCCATCACCAGCCCCCCCCCCCCCCAATACACAGCCTGACACCAGTCTAACCTCAACACACTGCCTGTCACCAGGCCCCTGTCCCCAAAACACTGCCTGTCACCAGCCCCCAATCCCCAACATACTGCTGTCACCAGCTCCCTCCCTTCAACACATTGCCTGTCACAAACCCCCTGCCCACAACACATTACCTGTCACCAGTCCCTTCCCCTCTGCCCGTCACCAGCCCCCTCTCCTCAACACACTGCCTGTCATCAGCCCCCTGCCCCCCAACACACTGCCTGTCCACAGGCCCCTGACCCCAACACACAGCCTGTCACAACTTTCACGTGGGATAGCATCTCAGAGCCTAAACAATTGCATAGTTTGAAGCCGGGCCAGGGAGAAATGGGAAGTGACCATAGGCACAGTTGAAGAAGAAAGTCTTTAGGGTATTATTTGAAAACTGGTAAAGGGGGGGGGGGGCAAGGTGGAAGGATTAAGGCAGGGAACTCCAGAAGTTCAAAGCATAGTGGCAGTGATTAAGTAGAGGGATGCTCAAAGGGCAAGCCGAGCAAAGTGAGGGATAGGGGGGAATAAAGATCTGCTTTTTAAATTCTGATTGGTGGTGGGATGAGTGAGGGGTTGGGGTCAGCTAGGTATCTGGGGAGAGCCATCATCCTGATTTGGAGTCCTCAAAGCAAACTAGTGAGCCTCCTACATCTGGATGGATGGAGTGATGCACTCTCCTTCCTGGAGAAGGTGTCACAGTCTGGATGGGAGTCCCACATCTGGAATGGTTTCCCTTTGTCGGGATGGAGTGGTGCACACTCCTCCCCCAGAGAGGATCTCACAGTCTGGGTGAGAGTCTCACATCTGGTTGAAGGGAGCGATGCATTCTCCTTCGCAGAGAAGGTTTATTTTTTTCTTGAAAATATATATTTATTTATAAATATAAAATAATAATAATAATCCTTGCATTTGATAGAGCGCTTTTCACGTCTTCTCGACGTCTCAAAGCGCTTCACAGAATAGACTGCAAAGTGAATCGACTGTATATCTGTGGCCGAAACAAGGAGCGTACAACAGAAACAAAACTCATCTTCCGTTACAATTTTTTTCCCCCATTTCCTCCCAATACGAAACACGTTCCGTGGTTTACGGCACATTCCTTCCCCGCCCATAGGTTGTGCACGCGTTTTATTTTGGGGTGGCGGGGGAGGGGGTGGGGGGGCGCTTTCTTTAACACAGTCGGGAATCACCCGCGTGCACCACGTACGCGTACGCTCCCGCACACACACACACACACAGAGAGAAGGTGTCACAGTCTGACTGAGAATCCCACATCTGGAAGGGTTTCCCTTTGCCTGGACGCAGCTGTGCACTCCGCCGCCTCACAGTCCGGGTGAGGGTCCCACATCCGGAATGGTTTCCCTTCGCCGGGATGGAGCGGTGCACTCCCTCCCCCCCCTCCCAGCCCCCACAGTCTGGGTGCAGGGTGCCAGTGCAGGAGTCAGGGTCTGGAGTCTCCACCACCCCCCCCCCCCCTCACCAGATGTTGGTGCCAGTGTCAAATGGGGAGGGTCACGTGACCAGTGGCTGCCGTAAGGCGGGTGCGGCAGGTGCCGCGAAGCTGTTTGAGCGGTAACCTGGCAGCGAGCGCGCGCGTGCGCAGTGAGCGAGCGAGGGAGGGAGCGAGCGTCCGCCCTGACGACCGCGGCGGCGTCTGCGCCTGGAGGCGGGAGCCGTGACCCGACCCGAGGGGGGGGTGAGTTAACGGGGTATCTATCGGCCTGGGCGGGCCGGGCCGGGCCAACCTCTCCACCCTGGGCGCGGGGGCAAGTCAGGGCCTCGGTACCCGGGCTCAGGCTGAGCTGTAGGAGAGGCCGCTGTTTGGAGGGCGGGAGGGCGGGCGCTGAGCACAGGCCCCGCTTCCCTGCGCTGCTGGAGCGGGGGCCGCACTCAAGAGGGGGGGGTTAGACTGTCAGCGATTAGACCCGGAGCAGCATGTGGTACACAATAGGCCGGAGTGGGGTGGGGGGGGAATAATAATAATAATAAGGTCACTCAATCCACCACTGTTTGTTGGAGGCACCGCTGTGTGCAACCACCTGCCGCGTTTTGCCCCACCACCCCCCCACAATATACATACGTACAGGCGATTCACTTTGCAGTATATTCCGTGAAGCGCTTCGAGACGTCTCGCCGATGTGAGGAAGGGCGCTACGTCCGTACGCGAGCATCGTCATATAATAACCCCTGCATTGGATACAGCGCCTCGTCACGTCTTTTGAGACGTTCGCAAAAGCGCTTCACAGAATGTAATAATAATAATAATAATAATCCTTGCATTTGATATAGCGCTTTTCACGTCGGGAGGACGTCCCAAAGCGCTTCACAGAACACACTGTAAAGTGAATTGACTGTATATTTGTGGGCGAACGCGGCAGCCAATTGCGCACAGCAATGTCCCACAAACAGTCGTAGATTGAAAATGACCAATTTATTATTGTTTTGGGTTTTGGAGGGATTATTATTAGGCTCTGTGTGGAGTAAGGAAACTTGCCCAAGGTTTCGCCCTCTGCCTGGAATTGAACTCAGGTCTCTCGCTTGCAAAGCGAGTGCTCTAACCACTGAACTACAGGACTCCATGTACTGTAAAGTGAATTGACTACATTTTTATTATTATCTCTCCAGGTAACAACTTGCACTGAAACCGTGCCCTTAAAATAAACGATTAAGTCTTCAGTTCTGGACAAATAATATACTGAAATTTCCTGCAACAGTCAACTGCAGAATCCTTTTTATTTTTGCAATACATTAAAGAGAATCTTTTTCCCCGGAGTGATAGACTGAGGTCTTCTGAATCCAAAGGAAACTTAATTTAGACAATAAATTCACTGTTCCATTTTCCATTGATAATATTGCAATTTATTTTCCCTTCAGAACATAAATCTACAACCAAACTTCAAAATGCCTCCTAACTTGGATTGGAATAAGCTAATGACAGTTGATCCAGACTCCTTGCCAAGTCGGGACAAACTGGCAGATAAGTTATTGGATTCTATTTCAAAGGTATTTCATATCTACTTATTTCAATTTTCTCATGTTTTTAGTTTTGGTATAATTTAACAACAATAATATTACATTTCTGTACATAGGTTGAAGGCAATGATTTGACAGCAGAGAACCCAGAGAAGCTGATTCAGCTTTTCCGCATCACTCAGACCTTAATGAAGGTTTGTTTGTCTTTGAAAATAATCACTGATTTCAAATGTTTGTTCATTTCATTCTTTTGTAAGAGTCCTTATTAACAAAGTTGGAAAATGACAAGTGTGAGATCGGTGCTGAACAAGCAGATGTTCAGAATGTGAGACTGGTATCTAATAACCTCCAAGAAAAAAACATGTCAATGGTGTTTAAATAATCTTCTGTTATACAGGAACTGGATAAAGATAAATAATCATTGTTATTTGTAAATGCTTATTTTAATAGATTGTTTGTCATGAAGTAGATTTAAATAATACTTTATCCAATTCAATATATACACAAATAAAATAGAACAACACCAAGTAAAATATTGTATTAACAGTACACCTGCCTATCTCCAAAAATGCATATGAATATTGATAATGGCTGGAAAGATTTGATGAGATAATAGGCATATAATTTCTATTATGTTGTATTATGCCTACATCTTTATAGTTCACCCTGCTGCAGTTTTGCAACATTATGTTTTTGTTTGTATTGAAATAACAGATGAAAGCACAAGAGGTTGAGTTGGCTTTGGAAGAAGTTGAAAAAGCTGGTGGAGAACAGGCAAAAATGGGTAATGGTGTATTTTTGTACTTGGTTTGTGAGCTCAGTCTTACCTTCCAATTAGCATTAAAAGTATTTATTATTTATTTTTTTCAACAGAAAACCAACTGAAAGCAAAAGTGGTTAAGCTGGAACATGAGGTGGAGGTTAGTATGGATTTTTTTTCCAATTAATAGCATTACCTTAAACTAATTTTAGTACTCAATTAACCCAAATTTTGTATTCTGTATACAGCACAATAAGCTGAAATTTTGCTGGGTAAATCAAAGCCTTTTTGAATTATTCAGGAAATTTGGTTGAGATGTTGTAAGTTTCTGAAATACATAACTCCTGTTCAATATTCCTACTGACTATCAACAATAACTAATTGAAGAATTAATGGAAATATAAATAAAAACTTGCATTTTGTTTCTTTATGGAATCTTTTTGGACATTTTGTTTTCTTCCTTTAGTAGAAACATAGTTGCTTGGCAAATTATCCACACATACCACCTACCTCTGCGACCTCCTAACCCCCTACCACCCACCCGTTCCCTCCACTCAGCCAGCTCTGGCCTGCTCCACATCCCCCGACCCACCCAGCCCACCATTGGTGGGAGAGCCTTCAGCCACTTTGCCCCCAAACTATGGAATTCCATCCCCCAGTCACTCCGCCTCACCCCCTCCTTAGCCTCCTTCAAGTCCCGCCTCAAGACCCTTCTCTTCGAGCATGCTATCGGTTAACACATTAACACATACATACGTTTAGATGGTAAATTGTAGTTCAATTTACTTTTTCAGATGGCCCAAATGAGTACTGGAGGCCGTGATACTCGATTTTTACGAGAAGAAATTCGTCAGTTGGAAAACCAGCTGCAGTTTAAGGATCGAGAACTGACTGAAATCGAAAGAGAGCTGAACAAAGAAAAGAAAATCTCTGAGCAAGTAAGGCCTATGGAACATATAGAATCTTCAAATAAAGACTGCTGACACCTTCCTAACCCAATTCAATTTTGAGTTCTACATTTGTGAGGAAGAGGGTCAGGTGTGTCACCAGTTTATATTTCTTGAAATTATAAACGTGGAGGGATACCAAATTAAATATATTATGGAGCTATGACACCTAGTATAAGAGAAGTACTCTTATTGATGAACATCACAGTGAAAAGCTAAGTATTAATGCATACTCTTGTTACAAAGAGTTTTCTCAAATGGTTTAGTTCTTGGTATGTAGATACTACAGCCAGCAGGTAGGAACTTGGCATTTGAGTGGGAGCACTGGTATTGGCTTCAACATTTAGTTAATAATTGTTTGATCTAATTAGCTTTTGGAAAGATATTTAACTTTTTATTTAATGTTGCAAAAACTCCATTTCAGCTCCATTGAATCATGAACACAATTTTGTTAACCTCACCTGGGTTTTCCCTAGATTATATTTAAAATGTTCATTGAAATGGTAGTTGTAAATTCACAAATTTCAATTTTAATATTTAGCATCAATACATCATGCACAATACTTCTGTAATTGATTTTGGATCTTGATATATTCATTGCTTGCACACATTAATTAACATTTATCCTATTGTACTTCCAGCTGGGGATTCGGATCAAAGAGGTAGAAAATGAAAACAATAAAATAAGAAGAGAGGTCAGTGATATTAATGTATATCATTTCATGTTTGGAAATGATTTTAAGTAAGAACATGATTCACAAACCTCCAACTTCTTTCAGGTCTTTTGAACGTTTATTTCTTTGTCTTCCTTCACGCCAATCTTCTCAAAGTATGTTTTGTTTGGCATCATTCATGATCTTAGTCTTTGCTTTCTCTTATTCACTTCGCTTTTCTTTGTCAAAGAAAAAACACCGTAAAGGAAAGGTAAGCATATGAAGAACATCCTTAATCAGTTTTTATAAAGTTTTTGTATTTGAAGTATTTAATTGATAGACTGATGAAGACCATCCTGAGTAATTATGTTTTGTTGCAGAATGAGCAACTACGCCAGGACGTTACCGATTATCAACGACAAATAGATTCTCAGAGGGAAACACTCCTTACCAGGCGAGGTGATGAAGCTGACTACAGATCTCAGCTCTCCAAAAAGAACCTGGAACTCGTGCAATATTTAGATGAAATTCAGGTACATTTTCATTTCAAATTTTATTTTCAGTGCTTTTTATGGTTTACTTGATTTATAATAAAACATGACAAATAAAGGTGATTCATTTACTCAACAACTACTGCCTTTTGGGATGAAACTTCATAGTTGAAGTTTGTGCTTATGCAGATAATGCACAACAGTTAGAACCATACATATTTACGGCACAGAAGAAAGTCATTCGGTCCATTGTGTCTGTGCCGGCTCCCTCAAGAGCATTTGTCTCATCCTCTTGAAAGTCAATATGGTTTCTGCCATAACCATTACTCCCATCATGGCATTCCATATCCTTATTACTCTGTGTGTGAAACAAATTCTCCTAACTTCCCTGTTTGCTTGTTTGCTAACTATCTTAAATCGATAGTTAAATCAATAAACTCTCCTCATGCACTAAGTCCATCACATTTTCGAATGAGTTATTGCATTGTTTTCCAATGTCTCTTAGAACATAACTGAGGCCAATGAAAAGCTGGAAGCACAAACCAAAGATCTGCAGAGAAACTTGGAAGAGTCTGTGCAAGAAATGGAAAAGATGACCGACGAATACAACAAAATGAAACTGATTGTTCAGCATTCGGACAGTATCGTGGATCAGAATAGAAGGGAAAAGGAACAGCTCACATTACAGGTTAAAAATAGATGCCATTACCTTTGTAAATCTAAATCGATTATGCAGCACTCAGCAAGGAGGTACGACATTTGACTCAACTTGGAAATCTAGATATTTCTTTTAGTCTTGACTGACATTCACATTGTAGCTGCTGCAAGCGTGAGTTTGACTGTTTCATTAGCATATGTTGTGGAAGGAAGGAAAATATCCATGAAGTGCCCTGTCCCTCTCATCAGGTCCACTAAAAAGGACAGCAGTATTATTAGCATTGATGCACGCTCATGGGCTAGACAATCCTATTGTACAGTTGGAGGAGGATGGGAAATTGGCAAACTTGAGGGGGAGAAATGGGTCAATATTGGCAATAAAAGATGAACTAAGTTTGTAAGTTTCATTCTATGGAAACAGGTACAAGAACTGACTGAGCAACTCCAAACCAGAACAGATGAAGAGGATCCTGTGATACTGGCAGTGAATGAAAAAATTGAGGAATGGAAGGTACATGGCCAGTATGGCATTACTCAGAAATGTTTAGCTGCTGCAGTTTATTTAAAAAATGATACTCTACTTGTCATTGGTGGCTATTTCTTTTTAACCTTTTTCGATTTGTTTTTACAGAGAGTGTTAACTGCTAAGGATGAGGAAATCACTGAGTACCAGCAAATATTACGGGATCTCACAAATAAATTAAGAACTGCTGAGCTTGACAATGATAAAAGCACTGTTATTGGCCTCCAACAGGTATATAGTCCAATTCAACATGAATTTCCTCTTAATTTTTTTTTAGGAATTCCTGTACATCGTATCTGTGCCTTGCATGTGACTAATAATTTTTTTCAAATTTCCTGTTCAATGTAATCTCTTCTGATTGTCAACTATTCTAACATCTAATAAATACATTTGCCTTTATCCTTTTCTATTGCTTTTTTTTCCTCTCATGGTCATCTATTAGATCATAGCAGAGCTCTTAACTGTAAGTAACTTTTACTTTATGATTACATACCTTATTTTCTTTTATTAATCTTTGCTAATCTTTCTTTTGTCTATTATGCTGACTTTTCTTTCAAGCGGTTTTCTTATCGCAGAACCAGTATAATAGCCATCATCTCATTATTTTTGATTTGTACGTAACAGAACAATTTCACTAATTTGTACATGATAGAACAATTTCTAAATTGCTTGGAAACCCTGCTGATATGCATTTAAATGTAACTTAAAATTAAATTATTTGAACATATTTTAGAAGAACCTTAGGTTGGCTTCATGAGTTACAACTGAAATATACCTGCTTCTTTACAGGCTGTACATGAACGAGACTACCAAATTAAGATTCTGACTGATCAAATCGAACTGCACACCGTTGAAATGAATAGAAATGTGCTCCTCATTGACGAATTACAATCTCAGTTAAAGCACGATATGGGTATCAGTATTTTTACGTTTTATACCTTATTAAGGTTGTACACATAAAGTATATGGACTGCATTTACTGTGTATGCAGTTGAAATGATTGAACATTATATATTATATACAATTTTATTATTTGTCTTCATATCATCACCCAATTCTTTAATTGTGTTATTGATTTGGATTCTGTCTGGCTTGTAATTCAGGTGGATATAAAGGGTCTGTCTTGTTTTGCTGTTTCAAGGATACCTGGAGTTTTTCTCACAGTTATTCTGCTTTATATTTCTCTCTAAATCTGATTAAAATTATTTGCAGATTAATTTCATTGTTTATAGGATGCCGCTATCTTAGATTAGCTACTACATTTAGCTATTATAACAGTTTCTTTATATTTTGTAAATACCTTTGAGACATTTTTAAAAATGTGTGTGTGTGCAAGATATTATTCACTAGCTATTGCTATAGAGACTGCATCCAGCATGAGAAGTACTAAATAAGTTGCTGGTGGTGTTGCTCTAAAATACCCGAATTATTAAATGTGAAATGTAAAGAATTTATCATTCAAGTAGTGCATTTTTGATTAATGTTCAAATAATTAATACTGAAAATGATCCTGTTTATTAAAGGTTTTCCCACCCTTCATCAGCAAAGCCGAATCGGAGAGCTCCAGCACAAAGTAAATCTGTTAGAGCAAAAAATCCGGGAAGCTGAGCGGGTAGCAGAACTTGCTGAGAGTGATGCCAAAGAAAAAGACCAAGAACTTAGTGAGGCTTTGACTCGAATGAGGGCATATGAATCTGTAAGTGTTTATCTGTAAATGATTTTGGGATATTATAGACTAAATTTGCTGTATATTGTCAAGAAATTGGCAATAAATTAAAGAATTAAAGAATTATTTTGGAATTTACAGTAAATGAATGGTTTCCCATCATCTCTGATTCATTCCTTTGATATTTTTGGAACAATCTTGTTCCTACAGAATCAATTACATCCACAGGAAATCATTTTAAATATTTCTAGTCACAATCAGAAATTGAATTAGCTGCAATCTGAAATACCCTTTCCGTTAACTAAATGTGTATTTTCAAAATACAAGTTTTAACTCCTAAAGATCTTGGCATGAAAGATGATTTTATTATTGTAGAAAAGTGTACAGAAGTGTTACATGCCTCATAAGTATAATTTAAAATGACAATATCCAGTTTCTGGAGCTTTTACAAAGGTCTGCATTTCAACTCAGAATCAATTTATCTTTCTATGTTTGTGATTGATTATTAACTGTAATTTTCCTTTAATCTTAAAATTTTCCTCCTGAGGCTTCCTACTTTGAAAGAAACACAAACATGCTATCACCAAACTATTCTTGTATGTTATTTCTTCACCTAATTACTTGCCTTCTTTATTTCTTACTCTTCTCCATCTTGGTTGTCTATTCCACTATATGGGCCTTGACATTTCACCTAGAGTCCTCAATGCAAAATAAACATTTATGTGTATGAAACCTATGAGAAGAATTGAAAGTTAAGAACTGTGCAATATTTTTACATATTTTCAGGCAATGAAAATGGAAGGAAACCTGCCCATTAGAGATAGTTAATTTTGACATTTTATTATGGTGATATATTGTCCATTAGTCATTCTCATAAATCTGCTTGAGTATGTGACAATCTTTAATTCATTGCTTTCAAATTTAAAACATTGTTTGGATTGGAGGGGAAGATTAGTGAAAATGAAATGCAGTGGATTTATAACGTATATGTGATATTAATCAGCAACAGAGTGAGACATTAATTGGAACAATTCATTTTGGTGGATGTAATCTTATGCTAGGGTGAATATGGACTGGAAAATGCAGTTGCAGAAATTAAGGAGTGCAAGAACCATATCAAAATCAGAGATCATGAAATTGAAGCAATGATCAGAGAGATCAATAACCTTGAGCTGAAGATAAATGACCTTTTGGATGAAAATGAAAATCTCCGGGGACGGCTAGGTATGTAAGAATATAAGAAAAGTTTAATTAGATTTGTCTAGGAGCACGCAGTGACCCAGTAACTATTCACATTTAACTTTCATCTAGCTTCAGAGCTACGAAGGAATATTCCTATCCTTTTCTGACCTTAAATGTAGGTATCCATTACAAAGTATAACAATGTAAAATCAATGTTGCTACCTGCATGTTGCATGAAACCTGTACTGAAATTTGGCCCATTTGCATGTAAACTTTCAGAATACTGTTTTAAAAAAAATAGCAAATCCTGCACTCAATAGCAGATGGTAAAATGAGTCATAAATGCTCTAGTTAATCCTCAACATTTTTGACTTCAAAGTTTGGGAACCAAGTAAAAAACCTCATTGTTTCCCAAATAACACTATAAAAAGTCTATTGCATTGAATGATTCATGCAAAATATGTAGCTATTTTCTTCTAAAAGATTATGCTGTAGTTAATGTATAAAATGCTAAATTTAAATAAATAATTTTAGTGTGGCACTTTTGTTCTTATTTCTTAAAAAATCTTCATATTTGAATATCGCCTACAAAATATAGCCAATTCATTTTACTGTATATTCTTTGAAACGCTTTGAGTCGTCACAAACGTGATAAGGCGCTATATGAAATGCAAGGATTTTTCTTAATTTCTTATAGCATCGTTATAATAAAAATAGGGCAAATAGCATTTCATTCATTATTTTTGAATTAAATGATTTTTGCTGACAAAATAAATGGATCACACCTTTGTTTCTTATCATATTAATGTATACAATTTATGATTCAGGTCTCAATCCTAAAGACATAATTGATCTGACTGAATTTAAGAAAAACAAAAACTTGAAACAGCAGCAGTATCGAGCTGAGAACCAGATTCTTCTGAAAGAGGTTTGTTTACTCTTTTGCGTTTCGCTTATCATGCTATTGAGTTGCTCCATTTTGTACACATTTGTTATTAAATAACTTACATTTCACAAATCAATGTAGATTGAACACCTCGAGGAAGAAAGACTGGAACTGAAGAAGCAAATCCGCAAGCTGGCCCAAGATAGAGGTACACGGGCAGGTAGACTGGGTAAGCTTTATTTTACCTTTTTGTTTTCATAATGTTAATTGGCAATAATATCCTGTTATTTGAAATATGGATTTCATTACGTTCGCTCCATGTGCATGATATTGTCGAGTTTGCAATTGTGTTTCATTTAACAGTGATTTCTTATATTTAAGAACTTCAATATAGAAGATAGAATTAATTAATTCTTGTATTTGAAACTCTAGACCTCAGCAATGTGAGTAAGAATACCAATTAATGTCTTATGTTTTCTAGGACTTTCAGCAGACGACTTGCAGTTGGTCGAGGAACTTGCTGATGATTTGAGCCCACGTAAATCAAGACTTTTTTTGAGCTCTAGCAACTGGGATGAGTTAAAAGATAAGGTATTACTTGATCAAGCTTGTCTAAAGTAACTTTGAAAGGGCAGCTTCGACAACATAGTGGATAGAGCTGCAGCTTGTGAAACCAAGTTCTTGATGATTTTGTATAGTCTCAACCAGGAATGCATAGGGAGGCTAAATTGTCCCCAGCTTTCCCAGGGTTAGGACAGGGAAAGACAACCAGATTCTTGTTCCTAGTTTCTCTTTAGCATTGGTTATGTACACAGATAGCAACTGGGTGAGGAGAGGTTAGATTTAGTTGAGTTGCCCTCTACGGTCGATTTCAATGCCAACACTCACTACCTACAACAACAACAACAAGATTCCATTTATAAAGCGCCTTTCACGTCAGGAGGACGTCCCAAGGCGCTGCACAGTTGGGTCATGACCCGAGCAGGGGGGAAATGGTCAGGGGAGGGGAGGGAGCGAGGAGGGGGGAAATGGTCAGGGTGAGGGGAGGGATGGGAGGGAGCGAGAAGGGGGAAGAGAGTCGAGAGGGGAGCTGAAGGTCGGTCAAAGAGAAAGGTTTTGAGACCGGCCTTGAAGGAGGAGAGGGAGGAAGCGGCGAAGGCACTGGGGGATAGAGTTCCAGAGCCTCGGGGCTGAGAGGCTGAAGGCCCGACCACCAATGGTAGGGCGATTGGGGCGGGGGACGTGGAGCAGACCGGAGCCGGAGGAACGGAGGGTACGGGCAGGTAGGTAGGGGGATAGTAGGTTGGAGAGGTAGGAGGGAGCGAGGCCGTGAATGGCCTTGTAGGTGAGGATGAGGATCTTGAAATCAATCCTCTGGGGGATGGGGAGCCAGTGGAGGCGAGCGAGGGTGGGAGTGATGTGGTCCCGAAGCCTGGTGCGGGACAGTACACGAGCTGCAGAGTTCTGAATGACCTGCAGCTTGTGGAGGGAGGTGGCGGGAAGGCCGACGAGGAGAGAGTTCCCATAGTCCAGCCTTGAGGTGACAAAGGCGTGAACCAGGGTTTCAGCAGCGTGAGGGGTGAGGTAATGGCGTAGTCTGGCGATGTTCCGGAGGTGATGGAAGGCGGTGCCAGTTGTGGTGCGGATGTGAGGGAGAAAGGACAGCTCAGGGTCGAACAAAACGCCGAGGTTCCTGACTGGCTTTGAGAGGTGGAGAGTGCAGCCTTGGATGCTGATGGTGTCGGCACCTGAGGTGCGGAGGCGCTGACGTGAGCCAATCAGGAGGGCCTCAGTTTTTCGTTGAGCTGAAGAAAGTTGTCTCTCGTCCAGGACCCGATGTCGGACAGGCAGGCTGTCAGGACATCGGTGGTCGTGGAGTTGAGAGTAGAGGAGGAAAGGTAGAGTTGGGTGTCATCCGCATACATGTGGAAGTTAACTCCATGTCTGTGGATGATGTCACCAAGGGGGAGCATATAGAGGGTGAAGAGGAGGGGACCGAGGACAGAGCCCTGAGGGACTCCACATGAGACAGTACGGGGGGTGGAGGAGAAGCCATTCGTCGAGACAAAGTGAAGACGGTGAGAAAGGTACGACCTAAACCACTCAAGGACAGTGCCTTGAAGGTTGAGGTGGGAGGACAAGCGGTGGAGTAGGATAGCGTGGTCGACCGTATCGAATGCTGCCGATAGGTCGAGGAGGACGAGGAGGCAGAGGGAGCCCTGGTCACAGATGGTCAGGATATCATTGGTGACCTTGACCAGGGCAGTTTCTGTGCTATGGGCAGCACGGAAACCTGACTGAAGGGGTTCGAAAAGAGAATGGGTGGAAAGGAAAGAGCGCAGTTGGGAGGCGACAACTCTTTCCAGGACCTTGGAGAGAAAGGGGAGGTTGGAGATGGGCCGGTAGCTTGATAGCTGCGACGCATCAAGGGAGGGTTTTTTCAGGGTGGGCGTGATGGTGGCAGTTTTTAAGGGAATGGGGACAGAGCCAGAGGAGAGGGACAGGTACCTAGGCTCATGTGTGAGTAGTGGCCACTTTGGCAGGGTACCAAGGCACCAGAGCCCATGGAACCTCACACCAGCATGAATAGGCCGAGGACCCGGAGCAGGAGTAAAGATTAGAAAACATATTTGGGCGTGCTAAAATTGTAAAAAAAAGTTCTTAAATAATTCTGGCTAATGTTAATTTTATTGAGAGTCCTTGATATGTTATAATCATTGGCGGACTGGCTCCCTGAAAGATCTCGTGATTGTCATCTAAAATGGGGGTGTCGATTCTTGGGGAGTGCAAAAAAAACTGACAGCAATTTCCTCCCCCTCATCCCCTCCTTATAAATTTGAAAGGAAATCGAGGGCATGCCATGGAAAAAAAACGTAGAATATAAAATTAGTTTGTTCTGTCTGTTAATACAGGACTGGAATAGCCTCATTGAATTGGAACACTTAGACTCAACAGCAACACCAATTACTGAGGATACTTCAAACTCTGAGTACCATAGGAGTCTTGCATTGAGGAAAATATCCAGCCAGATTTCAGATATCCTTTCTAGACATTCAAGGCAGTTAGAAGAGATTCAGAAAACGCCTTTGTCCCAGGAAGAGAAGACAAATAGTTTCATACATGAACAGTCTGTGATACAACTTCATGAGAACAAAAAGGTTTTGAGGCAGTTAACAACTGATCAATCTCAGCAGTCAGAAATTTCAATCTGGTCACAACAGTCGAAGGGAATTTTGGTAAATTTGCCAGAGAGACCTATGGATTCTCAAACCATGGTTTATAGGAAAATGCACGTTCAGACGTCCAGAGATATTCAGTCAGTGCAGGCGACTGATTCTGAAGGGCAACCAGAGAAGCTAGCCAGTGATCCACTAGATACTCTTCTCGAACAGTTAAGGCTAGAACTAACAAGCCTCAAATCTCAGGTTAGATTTTCAAATCTGTCAAAGTACAAATATTTTAATATGACAATAACAAAACCAGTGTGCATGCATATTATTGATAGAATACAGCAATATAAGCAAGTTTATGCTGTATTCATACTGCAGATTTGGCACCAAATTGCCACGGTTTGGATATCAATTCATGTCCAAATATGCAGTGAATCCGATGGTATAGTACCCTTGATAATTACAAGATAAGCTTCAGTCAAAGAAGGAATAAACTATAATGGAGGAACCTAATGTAACTCATCGTAAAAATGATCTGGTAAATTAGGATAACTGTAATTTCCAGGTAATATAGCTTGGCATAATATGGAAGTACTTTTTAATTAAGTTTATAATTTTAATGGAGTAAATGTATCTCTGTAGAATTGCCTGCTGCACAGGGAATTACTGAACAAAGAAGAACAATTTCAAAGTGCAGAAGTAGAACTCATTCAGCTCAGCAAGAACATGATACAGGTAGTGTGAGTGCCGAGTACAGGACTAGCAAGAATACAAAATCCAAAATGTTTTTGAACTGTTCATTGAGTAGTGTATCTGCCTAAGAGTAGATATTTGACACAGCATGAGAAAGCACGTGGAGAAACTCTTTTATTTAAAACCTGGGAAGAGCTAGGGATTGTCAGCGACATCTACTAAGATAATTACTGAAATTACTGATATTAATAAAGTGGCATATATAATCATTAAACAAAATCAGTGATTTTTTAATATATGTATATATTCATGTATTGCCAGGCATAAATGTGTTTATTTAATCTATCCCTATTTAGAATGAATACCTTTCAAAAGAAGTGCAAGAGAAAGAGAAAGAAGTGGAGCAAAGAAAGATTCAAGTCGCTGAGTTGAAAGCTAAATGTAAGCGTGTTCTTTTGAAGTTTTATGTGTTTTACCTATACATTAAGTTTAATTAACTTTTTAATTAATCGTTCACTTGGACAAGTTTCCTTACTCCACACGCCTAATAGTAATCCCTCAAAAAAATAATAAATTGGTCATTTTCAATCCACGACTGTTTGTGTGCAATTGGCTGCCGCGTTTCGCTCACAAATATACGGTCAATTCACTTTACAGCATATTCTGTGAAGCGCTTTGAGACGTCTAGAAGACTTGAAAAGCACTATATCAAATACAAGGATTATTCTTATTATTCTTATCAAAATAAAAGTATTTCTTTTTAAATATTTTCTTTTGGCCAGGTGAACCACAGTGCTAACCTCTGTCCAAATGCTAGATATAATTTTAATGTAAGGAAAACAGCTAGGAGGACTGTCAATTCTTCACTAACAATACAAAAATTCAGCACCACTTAGTGGATTGCAATTGCTTGAGAACTTTCTACAGTTTTAAAAAATAAAGTTCAGAACTTTGCTTTGTACTACCTGTAGTTATAGTACAACTGACGTAAACCAATGTGATTTTGTTTAAATTAGTTGCCTGAAAATGTGGTTAAATGCAGAGTTTGTATTGATTGAGCAAAAAAAACTAACATCAAACCAATACAAACTCTTGAATATAAGATTTTTATATTACCCAACCTGACTATCTGTATCATTGAGAATAATATGGACTTTTCTGTTTACAGTAAAGGACGTGGTAGAAGAAAATAAGCAATTCGAGCATGGTATGAAAGAGATCCTAGAAGCCATAAAGAATACCCAGAACGAAACCCTTCCCAAAAGAGGGGAGCCAATTCTGAAGATAGAAAGTTTAGAGAGACTAGTTAGTGTAAGCACATTTTTTTATCATATGTTAAAGTGTCTTCAGAGCCGCAGTTGGCAAACATAAGTACGTATTTCATACTTTTATTTGTTACAAATTTCACTGTGTAACACAATTAGGGTTGGTGGAAATTGATTTTTTTTCCTGATTTTTGAGTTGTCATTTACGCTGTTCTAAACATTGCTTTCAGGCTATTGAAATGAAGAATACGAAAGGTACTTTTGATGTGAATGTCCATCTCAAAGCTCAGGTTGACCAGTTGACAGGGAGAAATGATGAACTTCGACAAGAGCTTAGAGAGGCTCGGAAGGAAGCTGGTATAGCCAACAGTCAGATGGAGAAAGCCAATGAAAGGGTTTGTGTGCTTAACATCTATCTTTATTTTAATGTCTATCTTCAGCCGTGTGTCGGACACATGCAGAAACTCATCACCATGAATAAGAGTATCCAAACTGAAAATTCTACGCAGCCCACCTACACATGGAAATTCCAGAAATAGATTGTTGGAATGGAATAGTCTTCACAAGTTAACTATTTTCAGTATTGGAACATTACAGGATATAAGAATTGTGCACTAAACAATAAATAGAATAAAATATCCAGATTAGCTCATATTTATTAGAATAAGATTACATTTTGACTGATGTGCCAAACGGCTTTTATCATCTTTTTGAGATCTATCCCTAACTTTCTGCTTCATGAGATCTTAACAACAATTCAGAGAAGATCTGGGAAGAAAGTTAGTCTTACAAAAAAGGAAATTTAGAAGCAATGTGATCAAACTCTTTAAAATGTTGAAGGGAATAGTAAATGTTCCCCAATCTATTTAGCAGTATTTAACTTTTTGAGAAGACAAAAGTACAAAATTGGCATGTCTCAAACCAGATTAGAAAACAAAATATTTTCCATACTGTAATAAAAATGTGGAAAATGCACTTCTAGCAAAATTAGTTAATGGTTTATTGCTTAATTCCTTTAAAAAAAACAACCCTTTGGAAGCTTCCATAGTGACCTAATGGTTTGAGACTCTTGCCTGGTGCAGTATTGAGACCTACAGATCAGAAGATTGCAGGTTGGAATCTTGATCTTTGCTGTTAGCTATTCTCCATTAGGGTAATACAAAGACCTTTACAGACCAGAGTTAGGGAGGAAAAATTGACAGGAGTTCCTTCTCCTTATCACTATTCAATAAACCCTGTTGGAAAGTGGGATGGTGGCTTCTATCAAAGATAAGATTTTTCCGTATTCAATGTCTTTGTGAATAAATTTCGATGCAGTGAACTAAGGAAAAGTTCTTTGCCTTTTGTTGTTTTGAAATCTTCACTATAGTATCATTTTAAACATAAATAATTATTACTTGGTACTTAATATGAACCTCAAATGAATTGATGAATAAATATTTAGGCAAAGAAAAACGAATCGTCTGTGACCTTACTCACACATTTTCATGAAATTACCTTCCTTCTTAGGTCACACGTCTAGAAAATGAGATCAAGTTATTACATCAATCAAGAGGACATAGTGTTGTGTTTCAGCCTCTAACTTTTCCAGAAGGAATGGAACCCTCCAGTACTGATATTATCAATAGTCTGAATGAATATCTAGTGCAGCTTCTACAGGTATGACAAATGAAATTAGTGATTAATAATGTATTCCACATGTTTAATTTTAAACAGCTTTTTTTCATCCTAAAACGTGGAATCTTGATACACGATCACAGCATTAGTTATCTTTAGTTTATGGAGTTTTACTACCATTTCTTAAAAGTATAACAATATTCATTTGTGTTTATAGGTCAGAGTAGTATATCCACAAGTTAGAAGGTTCATGTCACTGATATTTTCCAGAGGAAATACAATATCTTCCTCCTTAAGTCATGCGTCTAGAACTTTCATGAGAATTTCTATGTCATCCCCCAACTAGTACAATTTTTAATAATTCTTAAACAGTAGTATTATCTAAACAGTTTAGACATTTAACAGGATTATGTTTGATTTCAATGTTCCTTAATTGTTTGTTTAGGACATATCAAATAAAGAGAAAGATATAGCAAAAGTGCAAGATGCGGTTGAAGAATATAAACGCAAATTTGCAGTGATTCGTCATCAACAAGGCTTGCTATACAAAGAATATCAAAGGTACGAAACATTAACTGTTTTGTTTCTTGAAAAGTTAAAAAAAAAAACACTTCTGGGTTTTACTCTCAGAGTACTGGTGACACTACCATTCTTAGCCAAAGTATAATTATCTTGATCTTGAAATAATTAATTCTGTTTTGTGTACAGTGAAAGGGAATCCTGGCAGAGGGACATTGAGAAAGTTGCAGAAGAAAAGAAGAAACTTGAGGATTTAAAGGAACAAGATGCTGTTAAAATTAAGCAATACAATGTTAGTATTAAAGTCACATTCCGTTTACTTAATGGCCACCTTCAAACTGCTTATCTATATCCAGTTAGTTTCCTGAATAATGAACACCATAGCAAACCTTTTGTATATCGATATGTCTGGAGGTAAAAGGATTGGAGAATAATATACCAATGAAGTTTTTAGTTTTACTAGTAATCTGATCTATGAAATCAAAAAGGAATATCCATCATCTTATGGAACCTCATTGATTAATAATGATATGCACCTACAATTCATCTTAAAGATAAGTCAATTAGGCTGGACAACAGTTCAGGGCTGTTCTTGTTGGCTTATTAGTGTCAACCAGTACCAATGTTAACTGTCCTTGATGGCTTCTCTGTTAGTTTACTTTTCATTTATATTTCTCATAGAACTAATTTTGATTGTCTGTAATATAATGAAATTAGTCCTCAGATAAGAATAGTGCAAAATCTGGCTTGAGATAGAGCAGTCCCAACATCTGTGTTGTTCATACTTCTAATTAGCAACTATTAGAAACACTTCAGATGGATCCTGATGAAATGAAGAAACGACTTGCAGATATTGTTCGAAAAAGCACTGTACTACACGTGAATGAAAAGTCCTTAACCAGGCGCTACACAACCTTGCTTGAGATGGAGCAGCACTTAAGGAAAGAAAATAACAAACTCAGGAATGATAATATAGCCATGGAGGTAGCTGTCAGTGAAAGAATTGGGTACCTACAGAGATTCAAGGTAAGTTGTATTTAAAGACAAAACATGAACTGTTTCAATTTTCTGCACATTAAATTCAAGAATAATTGTTTAATTTATAAATACATTTAATTTATAAATACACCAGACATGAAAAAGGACTGAAAGTTTTATCTAACCGTGTAATATTCTTTTAAAGATCATCAGTTACCACTTGCATTTGTTGCCTTATCTTTTTGATTCTTGTATGACAAAGATTTAAGGTATGACAGAAGTTTATGATTGTCATGTCTTGTTTAGGATGTTGCTGCATTTAAAACTGCTGCATTGCAGAAAGCCCTGGAAGAAAGTGTGCCTATATCTGACATGGAACGTGCTAATGCACAATATAATGAACTGACAGCTAAATATAGGGACTTACTGCAAAAAGATAACCTGCTAGTTCAGAGAACATCTAATCTGGAGAATTTGGAGGTAGGTAGAAAATTACTACTGTATATATATATATATGCATCTTGTTTAATCTGTAACAGTTAGCAGTGTTTTGGGGTACAACGTTTTTATTTTGTGGATTTTGGGCAAACTTTGTCATTATGCCAAATTCGCGATGCTAAAAGTGTAATCAGCAACAACATCTTGCACTTCTATACGCAGGGTAGCATCTCAGAGCCCTTAATCGTTGAATAAATAAAATAATTTTAAGTCTTTTCCGTTTAACCATTTCAGTAATATTGTAAACGCTTGTATATTCAGGGCCAGTGTAAAAGTTGCACTCTAACACTGTAAAAATGTTTTTAAAATAAATAGCTAAGTAAATAATGAGTTGGTCACATAATTGTTGGACACTGCTGTGCGCAATTGGCTGCTGCATTTCGCCCACAAAACATACAGTCAATTCACTTTACAATATATCCTGTGAAGCGCTTCGAGACATCTAGATGACGTAACTAGGCGCTATATATCAAATGCAAGGATTGTTATTAGTAATATTATCATAGACAGAACATTTTTCTGATTGCTTTCAAAATCAGACTTCTGTGTTTTGAAAAAGTAAATTAGGTTTTCCTACTTTAATTTCACCCAATATCTTTAATATTCTATTACAAAAGTCAAACACATAATGTCCTAATCATTATCAACAACGCATGATCAAAATGGAAACTTGTTTATTTGGGATATAGTGCATCATTTATGCAATGCCGTACTTTGAGATAATGGATAGGCACCAGACTGATGAAAATTATTAAGAGATTTTCTGCCCCGTCTTATATCCAATAATATCTTCCACTAAGGGCGAAAATACAGCATTTCGTGAGGATATTGATGGCTTGAACAAAGAGTTAGAGATTACAAAGGAAAAACTTCACACACTGGAACAAGCCTGGGAACAAGTCAATAAACTTGGTGAGTGACAATTTATGTCTGACGACCTGAATCGTTTTAATTGATTTTTTCATTGCAATTAACTTTTGATCTGTTTAATACTCGTTTTCAATTTAATCTTTCAAATTGTTCTTCAATATAATTTTGTTTCTATCCAACCTTTATCCTTGTATTGTGAATCACAATCGCCTATATTATCATAATCATATAATCCTGGTATGGTGGGATGGGGTTCTGCTTTGTTTGATAGATATGTTTTTCCTAGATAGAACTTCTAAGTATTTCTATATGGGGTGAATGTATAAGCATGATATTTAAATGCATTTTCTGAAACAATGTGTTACTTTTTTGTAAATAATATTCAAATTGTTTTATTTCAGGAGGTACTGTTGCCATGGATAAAGCAACAAAAGCAATTACCAACAGTGAAATTGTGTCCATCTCCAAGAAGATCACCATGCTAGAAATGAAGGAATTAAATGAACGACAGAGAGCTGAGCATGCCCATAAAATGTGTGACCACATGCAGAACACACTGAAACAACTGGAAGAAAGGAATAGTGAGCTTGAGACTAAATTTGCTGAGGTATGTGGTAGCACTAGTGAAAAAAAAGCACATAGAAGCATTAGTAGGTCTTAATAATAGGCCTTGGTATCAAAAGATCACACTGATCCTGGTCAATGAAGCTATTTTCATATTATGTGGGAATTTTTTCATATTTTAAATTATTAATTTCTGTCTCTATCTTTAGGTCTCCTTGAGCCACACACAGTCTGTTCCCTAGTTGAGAGGCAGACAGGTGACTTGTTCCCAGGTCTTTGCCTGTGCTTCTCACAAGGGGAGTTGTGCAGTAATACACCCTCTGAGTTTTACTTCCTTGAAGCTGGGAAGATGCGAGGCTCTGTTTGGCACTATTATTGGTTGATAGTCAAAATGCGGAACTCATTATAAGCCATTAAAAGATCAAATTGATTACTTTCAAGAGACTTTCACCATCGTCAAATCATTTCACTTTTTTTAACACTCAGTGTAGGTTTTGAGTGGTTTGTGCTTATATATGTGCCTATACTACCGTATATTGTTCTCAAATTTTAAATCATCCTTGTTGTCTTCTGCTTATTTCCAGATAACAAAGATAAACCTGGAAGCTCAGAAGATTGAACAAGAGCTGAGAGATGAGTTGGCGAAGGGTGTGAGCAAAGCAGTGAGTGATGCAGACAGGAAACGCATCGCAGCATTGGAAAAAAGTGAATCTGAATTAAAAATTGAGGTGTCAATGTAAGTGAATTTAACAAATAGCCCAGATGGATTTTTCATGTTTTTCTGCGTCTGGTATGAAAAAGTACTTTCCTGCCACCTTAGACCTGGGAATTCACCATTTGGAGAATCATTGTCCTTGGTTCATTTGCCAATGTTACAAACTGCTGTCATCTGCTCTGCGCCTTGCGTCTTAGCTTAACTTGCTACTACTTTTACTGCTGCACCCATTTTTGTTTCATTCATGAAGCAACTTTGTTGGATCCATCTTTCTGCAATATTTTCATAGACAATATTCATAGTTTGAATGAAGGTGGCAATCTTCTGCATAAAATGTTTGTAAATCTCAGCTCCCTCCTTCAGTAATTAACTGACGTGATCCTTTTTAATAGCAACAACAACAGCAAGATTACATTTGTATAGCACCTTTCACGTCGGGAGGACGTCCCAAGGCGCTGGACAAAGTACAGCATTTCAGACCCGAGCTGGGGTCAGGGAGTGGGGGGAAGGGAGGAGAGGGGAAGGGGGGTGGCCGATGGCATGGTCGAAGAGGAGGATCTTGAGGCGGGATTTGAAGGAGGCTAAGGTGGGGCGAGGTGGAGTGACTGGGGGATGGAATTCCAAAGGTTGGGGGCAGAGTGGCTGAAGGTTCTCCTGCCAATGGTGGGGGCGGGTGGGTCGGGGGACTTTAGAGCAGGCCAGAGCCAGCTGAGCGGAGGGAACAGGCGGGTTGGTAGGGGTTAGGAGTTCGCAGAGGTAGGATGGGGCGAGGCCATGGAAGGTTTTGTATGTGAGGACCAGGATATATAAAATAGCAGTTTGGTTGCGACTTAACCAGAAAGCAAATACATGCTGTAGTCACAAACAATCCCTGCTCTAAGTTAATGTGCAAGTAGCACGGTCCACTTATCTTATAATGGAATCCTATAGTATAAGTTGAAATAAATTAAAATGAGTGGGTATGGCATGGGATATTGTTGTTGAATAGTTTAATAGTATTGTTTGGGTTCTTTTAGTTCTGTAGACTCTGTAGCTTTAAATTATTCTGAACTTACGAACTGAATGAAAAATATATGAATGGAATTTCTGCATTAGGTTAAGAGACATTTCAGATGTAGCCAAAATGCAGGTTGGAACCTTAGAAGCTCGTCAGCAATCCAGGGAGAAGGAGGTGGCGGCTCTCAGGAGACAAGTACTGGATTACCAGGTGAATTTATTATTTATATTTCTCTTTACCTTTAAGTACAAGGTCAAATCACTAACATGGTTTAGCAAAGTTTTCCAGTTACTTGCCAGATTGTACACTAGGATTGGTTGGGCTACAGTATTTTTTCATACTGTAAATTATGACCACAGTTCTACTATAGTTAGTAATGCATAAGTTCACCTCTCATCGCAAAATACTCTTTTTTTTCTCCTTATTTAGGTAGAATCTGATGAGAAAGCTCTAATTGCAACATTGCATCAGCACATTATTGCACTGCAGGTCAGTGAAACCACTGCAGTCAACAAGTTGGAGGTTATTACAAGCAAGCTCCAAAAATTGGAGGCGTGCAATCTTCGGCTGGAGCACAAATTGGATGAGAAGGAGCAAGCACTTTACTACGCTAGGCTAGAGGGCAGAAACAAAGCCAAACACCTGCAACAGACTATTCAGTCTTTACGGAGACAATTCAGTGGAGCCCTGCCACTGGCCCAACAGGAAAAGTTCTCCAAAACCATGGTCCAGCTGCAGAATGACAAACTGAAGATCATGCAGGAGGTTAAGCGTGCCCAGGAGGAAAGGAGAGCTGCAGAAGACAAGGCAACAGAGCTGGAACTGAAGATACATAGTCTAGAGGAGCTGATCGGATCATTAAAGGATGCCAGAGGAGCGCAAAAGGTGGGCAAATTAAAACATAATGAAAGAAAACGACAATAGGTCTAATTATTTCATTTAATCTTTCCATTTCAGATATTTATAATCAGTCATTATATTGCACCTCATCCTGTTTGATTATAATTTATTTGAAACTACATTTCAGAGTTTGTAGACATTATGTGGTCAAGACGATAATACTAAATCACTCTATACATTTTTTCGATAGGTAACTGAATGGCACAAGAAAATGGAACAACTGCGTCTCGAAGAACTCAAACTAAACCGATGTATAAACAAGCAAAAAGAAGAACTCAAATATTTGAACAACATTATCTCCGAACAAGAACGCACCATCAACAGTCTGGAAGAAGAAATGGTTCAACAAAACAAGGTAAATGATCAGCAGATGGAAAAATATTGGTTACGTGTTATCTTTTAAAATGTAGTAGAATTGCAATAGAAGAACAGGACATTAGTTTTATTCCACAAGTTTTTGAAATCTCAGGTAACAAATGTTTCAATATACAATAATACCTCAGGTTAGCAATGCCAATGACTGGAAATATGTCACACCAACCTGTGGTAACTCAACTCCCAACGATCTGTTTCCAGGCTGAAGTTTCTATAGGTCACCAGGAAGGAATTCCTTTTAAGAAATTCTGCAATTTCTAGAAATTCAGTATATACATTTTTCATTAAAAAGTCTGTTATTAAATATTGTAACCCCCCCCCCATGTATTATAACATTCTACATAAATGTAGAAGATTTATATTTATACAAAGGTTATCAGGCTGTGGAACTTATTAGCACAAGTAGCAAAATCAGTTAAGATATTTGAAAGGGAATTAAAGGTATCAGAAACACAAACCTTGGATGATTTTTTTCTCTCCCCAATCATTACTGAGATACACAGTAAGATCCTTCCTGTGACCCAACTGTTGTTTACTAACTCAGAACAGGATCAAACCTGAGGCTCTATGCCTCAGCTGCTTATTAGTCAAACCCTCTGAGCGATTTGTACAATTGGAATTGAATTTGTTTTTCATTTGTTAACTAAATACCATATTTTCCCTCCAGTTCCATGAAGAACGGCAGTTAATATGGGATCAGAGAGAAGTGGAGCTGGAACATCAGTTGGATCGGTATGAGAAACAGCAGAATGAAGTGCTAAGTACAGCAAAAAAGGTACATAAGTTCATTGTCAAATAAAATAGCAAATATATTGCAAATTTTACTTATACTCTTAATCAAACAAATTAATTTATCATACATGGGAGACTGATAACAATTTCTGTATCCATAAATTATTTCTGTAACATTCTCATTTTAAGAGGAGAAGCAGGATTATTTTTCTATAAGTATCGATTGCATTTTAAGTTTTATTAATAATAATAAACTAATCCTACAATGTATAGACCTGAGCAATGACATTTTCACAGATTCAACTATCTTATGGTGAAGCTAAAGTGCTTGCAAATTATTTAAGTTTATGGTTTATTGTATTAATCGTTATTTAATTTCCTACAGTTCGAGGAAGCTACTGGCTCAATCCCAGACCCAAGTGTGCCACTTCCGGAACAATTAGATGTAGCTTTACAGAAGATCAGAGGGCATATCCGAACAATTCTCGAAACTCAGGGAACCTGCAGAACTCTGGAAGAGGTAAAACAAAACTTTGATTGAATATTTTTTCCTAAAATAACCATGTTTAAAATTCAAAATTGCTCATCATCGACTTCAGCCTTTTTACATAAGTGTTGGATACTGTACACTGAAACATCTGATATTCACGAACAGGACATTGGTTTCAACTTCTGCTTCTTTGCCCAGTGAGTACTGGATCCCACGTGAACTTTTTCAGGTAAAATGCAGAGACTTAAGTTTTTGCAATATACTGTACCAGCATGGAAATTACCAACCTGAAGCATTGCATTTCATAACCCAATTATACAGCAGTATTTCACTTTGCTCAGTTTAACAAATACTAAATAGCAAAATTAATGTTGAAATTGCAAGCACAGATGTTTTTCTTCACAGAAACTTAAAGAGAAGGAAGCAGCATTGTGGAAGGCTGAACAGAATGTGTTGTCTAGAGACAGAGTTATAAATGAGCTGAGGCTCCGACTACCTGCAACAGTTGAGCGAGAAAAGCTAATAGCCGACCTTGGTGATCAAAAGGAAGATAACCAGGAAAGCAGAAAGACCCTGAAAATAGCCCATCAAACCATCACCAACATGCAGGCCAGGTTAAATCAGAAAGAAGAAGTTCTGCACAAATATCAACATTTGCTGGCAACAGCTCGAAAGGTTAGTAAATAATGTGTTTCAGGTTCTTGACTAACTCAGACTGCTTGGCTTCTCTCCCAACTTGTGGAGTCCTGTAGCTCAGTGGTTAGAGCACTCGCTTTGCAAGCGAGAGACCTGAGTTTAATTCCAGGCAGAGGGCGAAACCTTGGGCAAGTTTCCTTACTCCACACGCCTAATAATAATCCCTCCAAAACCAAAAACAATAATAAATTGGTCATTTTCAATCTACGACTGTTTGTGGGACATTGCTGTGCGCAATTGGCTGCCGCGTTCGCCCACAAAAAAATATAGTCAATTCACTTTACAGTGTGTTCTGTGAAGCGCTTTGGGACGTCCTCCCGACGTGAAAAGCACTATATCAACTGCACGGATTATTATTATTATTATCGATCTTCAAAGCTGCTTAAAACTTCAAAGAAAGTCACATCCCTCCTATCCCCTCTAACCCTTTCTCATCTGCCTACTTTCCAGCAGTGTCTGTAAAGTGCTCAGATACATTACTTTGCATGAAGGGTGCTAAAGGTATTGTGCATGTGAATGCTATAGTTATGTCAAATACCATTGCAAGAATTATAATTAAAATAAACTAGAAAGAGCTCCAGGTGAGTAAGTCCAGAGATGCAAAACGGTTAGGAAAAATGTAGAAGTGCACTGTTGATTTTTCAAGTGTTACTTATTATTTTATATTAACACTAAATACAAATAGACTTATGTATCCAGTGAAATATAAAGTTACATTGCTTTTGTTTGATTTTAACAGGAGCAGGAGGAAATTGCTAGGAAGCATGAGGAGGATCTTAAAATTTTGCACCAGAAAATGGATTTACAAGCAGATGCATCACTGAGCAAGTTTAAAGAAGCTGCAATAGTCAGTATTCAAAGTTTTTTTTTACTGAGTTTGTAGTGCATGTTTTTTTGTCAAGTTATCATGAAATGTGCCAAATTAAAAGTAACAAAAAGTATGAATTACAATGGAGCCCTGTTGCAAATAACCATCTTGATGAAGTGGTTTCAGAAACAATATAATTTACTCTACTGCATTATGAATGGAGATATTGCAAATCAATTTAAAACAAAGAATACAGGAGACAAAAGGGATAATACTTTATACTGTTAAAATCTCTCCCCAAGATGACTTTTGTGTGATTGAAGAATACAACCTATATTATATTTATCTGGTGTTAAAATGATGATCAGGGGCAACCTGTAGTTTGGGCAGAGCGGAACGTGAGATAATTTTTGTTTTTTGTGAAATAGGAGCTGATGAAAAAACCATCCCTTCCTATTCCTACAACCAATCACCTGCAGCGCCTGGCCGAGATGGAGCAGATAGTAGCCGAGCAAGATAACTCACTGTGTGCACTTACAGACAAACTAAACAGAGCAACCACGGAGGCTGAGAAGCACAAACAAATTACTGTGCTGAAAATGAAGGAATACCAGACTGAAAAAGCAAAGTACGTTCTCATACTTCAGTTACCTAATTGCCAGCCACGAAAATCACCTAATCCTGAAATTATTTTAATGCAGAGTAGGTACCACTTTGATATGTTACTCATGTTTCAGATGTACTGAACCAACTTTTTTTTCGAATTGTTTTACATAAAAGGCTTGAAGAGAATCACGCTGCTCACGTAAAGAGACTAAAGAATGAGATAAATGAACTGAAGAACACGATATTACAGATGGAGAAAGAACTAGAGTACTTCAAAACTGAACTGGAGGCCCAAAAGCAAGCAAATACAAGAGCACCTACAAATACCATGAAACACTTAGTGGAAAGATTAAAAAGTCAACTGGCCTTGAAAGAAAAGCAACAAAAGGTAGATATTATAAGATGAGGATGAACAAAGGATTGGTTTTCATATAAAAATATTTTCCTTTTTTTTTCCTGTTGACGAGAGGATAATCCACATTAGCAATGGTTAAACATTGTAATTAAAGATTGGTCTAATGTTTCCAACTCCACATCTGCAAAGAAAAGTTTCAAATACAAAAGCAAAATGTTTCACTGAAAGGGATCACCTTTTACTAATCACTAGAATAAGATGTTAGAATTTAAGTGACATAGATTGACACTATTAGAAACAAATCTAAAACAGGTACTCTTGTATTGTACTCAGTATTATTGCTATATGTTTTATTTAAACAATGTCATCTTTCTAGTATAATATATGGACTATCTGAGTATTAAACCAAGGGGTCATAAAAGTAAGTCTAGATTCATGGTATTTCATCTAAATTACTAATTTCAAAATGTTTATGATTTCTGTCCAAAAGATTAAAACTAAACGGACTTGTTTTTTTGAGACTGGGCTGAAAACTATAACAATTAAAATTTGAAACTGTGATTGCAAACAGTTTAAGAGAAGAGCGCTCCGTATAATTTTCTGTGAGTATGGTGATATTTCAATGTGCTGCTCCACAGTTGATTTTCGAAACGTGAAGGCAGGTGTGAAATAAACTTGAGTGACCCATTCGTACCAATACACCAGAGCCTTCATAGTTTCAGCGACTTGGGACATCTTCCCGACATGAAAGGCACTATATAAATGCAATTAGTTGGTGTGGTTCCCAGCATTCAACATAATTTAATAGTAAAGTTTATGTTTTTGAAAATATTCAATATTTTGAAAAAATTCCAAAACTTTACCGTTGGGAGGGAAAAAAGATTTTCTTCAAGGACCTGATTGCAATTCTATACACTGCTCTGCAGGCTCTGAGTAAGGCATTACTGGACCTGCGAGCTGAAATGACGTCTCATGCAGAAAAGCAAATCATTACCTCAGCTGCACAAAAGGAGGAAAACTTCAATGTTCAACTTATTGTTGATAAACAAACCAAAGAACTAAGGGTAAGCTTTTATATCTAACGCTTTAAACTTCACCTTTTGACATGAATGGGAGTCATTGTATTGTAAGGCTATTCATTATGAGTTGTTTTTAATAGCTCTGCAAAATGACTTTAAAAAAAGCCACTTTTGAATGCGGTAGTTTTTCATATTTTAGAATTTCATCTCCCCTGAGTATGCAGCATATACTTCCTTTATTTTGGATGGAATTTTTCCAGTAAATGGCCTCAAAGAATGCCCAAACAGAATCTGTTCTAGCCTTTTAATAGTTAGGTTACTTTGTAAATGTTCTAATTATCTGGAGAAGACTAATGGGCCTTTCAGTTTTACGGAGAGTTGGATAGTCCGATTTTTTGTAGTTGAAAAAAGTCAACTAAGAATTGAAATTTCAATGCTGATATACATCATTGATTGGGTGTCTGAAATATTTTGCCCTCAATTGAACAATTTTAGGAAATCCTCAACCTTTTTAGATTTTTGTGCTTTTTTCTTTCAGATACGCATAGAAGAGCTGTCCAACCATCTTGTAGCAAGCAAGGAGAACCTCAAAGCATGTAGAAACAAAGAGTCGACCATGACGTCTGAACTAGAACATTTAAATGGAGAACTGCAAAGAAAGGAGCGGGCTGCAAACAAATTGCAGACAGAAAAGGATGAGCTGGACAAAGAGAACGAAGAACTGAAGAAAAAAATTAAAAGGCTGTGCAGCAGTATGCAGGTACAAATCTTTACAGCTATATGTTCTGTTAATATAGAGGCATCTTAGATGAAAACAAATTGTTGGAATATTAATGTTTTATGCAAGAACTGTTATTTCAAAATTAAACTCATGTGTCAAATTTCAGACCAGGACAGCCACTGACAATAAGCAGAATTTAATAGATGAACTGCAGAAAAAGGTGAAGAGATTGGAAAGTGAACTGGGCAAGAAAACTACTTCTGAACATGCTGAGAGAAAAACTGTGAAAGAAGACAGGGTAAATTTCCAAGGCATAGGGTCAATATTGGAAAAACTGATTTGATGAGATAGTTATCATGTTAAATCTTTTACGAAAACCTTGACATTTCAGATGATTAATTATCAACTAGTTTACCCCGGTCTACTATTGTATAATGACATGTTACTTTTTTTTAATGAACCCTTCTTGTAAGACATCAAAAGAGGAAATTGTGAGGTGGGAAGAGGGTAAAAAGTGGCAGGCCAGACTGGAAGGAGTAAGAAACAAATTAAAAGAAAAAGAGAAGGAGGTGGACAGTATGGCAAAGCAGATCATTACTCTAAAGGACTTGTATACAAAGTAAGTTTTAATTCTACATTTTATTATTTTTATTTCTAATATTACCAATAATGGTAAACTCATTCTCAAGCAGACTATATGGATGTGTAATTAGTTCGAGAAAATCCTGAAAATTTATCTGATCAGGGTGAAAGCCCATCTAAAATTAGGACAACTTAAGTTCATATAATTACCAGCTTGCAGTCATTATATACAAGAAATATTATCTGATAACCAAGTTGAGAAAGTGAAAAATATCTGTCACCATGTACATGTCATCTTTTTTGGGTGAACCAGCTACAATTTTAGGAACTACACTATTTTAATTATTTTTAAACTTTTTTTTCTCTCTTTTTGATTATTGTTGCCCATGTTTTGAATGTAACATTTCTTTTGGTCTGTGTATTTCATCAGGCCAGATATTTTTTTTTTTTCCTTTTTGTGAAATTTCATCAATACTTTAAAAATGAAAAAAGAATGGTTGTAATTTCAACTCGCAACTCCTCATCACTGTTAGTAGTAAAGTCGAGGGTGGCATTGGTTGACAGCAGATGAGCAGTCAGTGCCAGATTTAAATACAAGTGCAACATTGACTTTGTAGTCCAGAATTATTGAGGTACATGCAATCATGAAATGTGTGTGTGTTATTTGAACATGGTAAGCAGTTTTTTTTTAAATGACTGAAATTGAAACAAAATGAGATATGCGTCCTGTGTCAAATGCAGTATATTAAATAGATCTTAATCTGCAGAGTTGAACAGGAAAAGGTAACTTTACAAAAGAAACTCAAAGCTCGTGGAGTTACTGTGGACCAAGTAATCGGCATCAGAAGCATGGAATCCAACAAAGAGATTGAAGATTTGAAAAGAAAAAACAGTGATCTTGAGGATCAGATAGTAGCCATGAGGTAATGTCAAGGCAAAAATCATTTTGAATGAGTTATGAATCAATATGTGAAACTCATACAGAGGGCAATGTAAGATATCTTCATATGTAAGCCATCAAAAGAGGAAATTGTGAGGTGAGAAGAGAGCAAAAAATGGCCGGCCAGATTGGAAGGAGTAAGAAACAAATTGAAGGAAAAAAGAGGTAGAAATTATGGCAAAGCAGATCATTCCTATAAAGGACTTGTTTACAAAGTTTTAGTTCTATATTACTTTCATTGCTAATATTACCAGATTCCAATGTCTAGGTTCTCAGTATTGTTTAGCTGTTAAGGTTAATGCAGTTAAATGTCATTAATCAAGACAACCTGCTAATCATCCCACTTATTTCAATCTGTTTTTTTCATTTGAAACGTGATGACCAAAGTCCCAAACCCACTGTCAAGCACTTTGAGATGTTCTCCTGATTTGAAAGGATTATATCATATGCAATGATTATTCATCAGTAGTTGTCATTGCATTTAAACTGTGTACTTTAAATGGAATAAAGGTTCGTTCGAAGAAGTACTAACCAGAATTTTTATTACTGTTATCTTTACCTGTGCAGGCTACAGCAAGCTTTACCGCGAGACTCTGTGGTAGAAGATTTGACCTTAAAAAATTGTTACCTGCATGAAAAGCTTCAGGCATTAGAAAGACAACTGTCAAAAGACCCATTTTCCAGACCATCGGTATGTCATCACGTTGAGTACAACAACAAATTACATTTGTATAGCGCCTTTCACGTTGGGAGGTATACACTAGGAATACTGTAAACTAGCAACTTTATTTCATTTATTTGAGGAAAGAAGTCTATTTTCTGAGTATCAGTAGTCACCATCAGATACTGTTGTTTAAAATGGGATTTCAAAAGAATTATGGTGCTGATTATTTCACGTGCTTCCCAAGTTGAAGTAGCACTGATGGATGACTGCAGCCAATTCTGAGCAGGCCAGGAAAACAAACATCGTAATACTGCACCTGTAAATGTGGCTAACTGATGGGTCAACACTGGCATCAACCCATGGTCTCTGGTGTTAGTTATGGGTTCACCCTTCTGAGGCAATGACAACAGTAATTTGTGTAAAGATACCTAATGGCGCAGAACTGTTGTTGACATAAGTGCTGAGCAGTTGCAACTCCCACTTCTTTGTTTGCACGTAAGGCATTCACTCAAGTCCTCCACCAAATTCGTCATTGCACCGCTTGATAACCATCAGCCCTAGCACTTGCAGAGCCTCCTTGGAAAATCAACTTAACCCTCACTAAATGGCATGTCCTGCAAAACACATGTTGGATGTGCAATTTTATTGACAATCCCCACAAAAACATTCAGTTTGAACAAAATGATCTTTTAGAGCTTTTAGATCTACCTTTACAGGCGCAAAATGAAATACCTCTTGCCCCAACCATTGATAAAATCGTACATTTAGTGGTAGGATAAATAGCTTTCAATACTTAAAATAAGATAATTAAATTGGAGTGAATGCTTTTACCGGTTTTCATATTTTTTATGTTTTTAAACAAAATTTAAAGTACTTTTTCTCCATATCATATTTCATCTCTCTCTCTCTCTTTCTCATGTACTGCATATCTTCTGTCTGTATGCAATATGTATAGTTAATTCAAAGTTCAGGTCTCCCCACGTGTAATCTTTCTAAAGAACAAACAGCCACTCTTTCTCTCTCTGATGTCCATGTGGAAGATACCGTAGAAATGGACACTAAGAAGAAATATTTTAGGAAATCCAATATTTTTTTGAAAAAAAGTAAACGAATCTATGATGATGAAGAAAGAACTTCTTCAAATGAGACTGGAGAAAATAAGAACCGTGGAGCAAGTTTGATCAGTCCTGACGCAAATGTAATTTCTTCTAACAAAGATCATTTGAGTGTTGTAGAGAATGAGGTGGTACCTAAAAACAATGGTGTATTGCCTCCAACTTCAAGATGTGAGGATGGCTGTATTGAAAGCCAGGCAGCAGAGTCTAAAGATAATTCAGCAAGTGACAAAACTGAAGTGGGTGATGCAAATGGAGAAGAAGCAGAAAAAGAGAGATCAGCTGAAGGAGAGTCAGAAATGGATCAGATGGGTGAAAAGGAAAAAGAGCAGGGCACTGAAGATAAGATACACTACGTTGGTCATAATGCTGAACCGAGAGAATTAAAAGGAGCTACAATGGAGCTGGAGTCTTCAGTTAGAGGTGCAATGGGACAGATGAGGAATGAGGAGGGTCAGAGTGAAGAGGAGTCCGCAGACAGTCACGCTGAAAAGCAGCCTAAGGTTTTCTACATATGAAATTTTACAGAAAGTACATCTTCATCCTACACACAAGAAGGCAATAGAAAATAGATGCTTTTAAAAAATTGTTTAGCAGCTCCAAATATCTCTACTAGTTTATTATATTGTGATAGCTCTGATGTTGCAGCTTAGTGTTATCTTTACCGATCCGCTTTCACCATTAGTTAATTGTATTTGTCTGCGCTATTCTGCTTGTGTTGTAGTGTTTTAAAAAATATCTTATGTAATATTGCAAATGAGAGGGTTGACATTTTTATTTTTGTGTATTGCTGTACACTAGACATCTGGAGTTGGTTCTGAAGCTGCATCTCAGAAAGAGCAAGAGCTTCAAAGGGAGAACCTCAGTCTCTCGGCAGATAATGTTGAACTGCGCTTTCAACTGGAACAGGCCATTAAGGATTTGCCACGATTAAAGGTAAGCTGAAACCAATGTGCAGAAATCAGTATTGGGGGAGGAACAATCTTCGAGAATATTATTACAAGAAGTACATTTTTGGACAATTCTGGCATTCTGCCCATTAAGATTAGATGGGCTGATAGACAGGATACCAGAAGTAAAGTTCATTTCCAACTTCTAGTGTTGATTAACCTGCTTCCTGAGCAGCAAGTGATGTCAGCAGCGACTGGCGACTAGTTGTACGGAAAGGTAGCCATATTCTTTTAAGCATGATCCGTTATAACATGGGACAAAAACTATGTTGTAACTGGGTTGGCCTCTATAAGCTATTTCAATTTTGGGGCCCTGAATCCCACAAGTATTAATTTTGTTATTTACAGGACAGTAGCAACCCATATCTTGTAATGCTACATTGTTATTAAAATGCATAATCAATATATATCCACTAAAATTAACTCAATATCTTTAATATTAAAAATAACAAAGCATTATTTGTGGCTTGCAAAATTGACTTACTAATATAATGGTTGTAATGCATTGCCTCCTTGTTATCTTTTCCAAGGATCAAGTTGGTAATCTCCAAGAAATGTGTGAACTTCTCAGGAAGGAGAAAACAGAATTAGCAAGGAAACTTGGGAATGTTCGAGGGGTAAGCACAGCCATTGAGCATTCCATATATGGCAACTAATGTTTTATCATCGTTCACTGTTCTAACAAACCCCTTAGAACATTTTCTAAAGCTCTTGCATTATTTCTTGTGAATATTTTAAAATAAATTGCAGACATCCCCTTCGGTAATTAAAAATGTCACAAGCTCCATTTAGGTCATATTTTGATAACTATACAAGACTTGTTGTATACTTGGAGTCTCCTGGTAAACCAGAAGTATGTCATATTGACCTACAAGAATGCCACTCTGACACCATCTCAGGAATTCTAAAAAAGAATAATTTTTAATACTGCAAATAATAGATCCCCTGGAGTAATAGTACTTGTGTTTACTTTATAACTTCTTTAACTACATTTAGCTTTCAAAATAGAATTATTTTTTTACCAGGCAGAAGCAGAAACAAACAGTCCCATAAGACAGCCAAAACATCAAGTGGTTACTTGCCTCTGGAACAAATGTACAAGCACATTATTGCACGTATTGAACATTATTAAAACTATAGTGGTGACAGAGATGGTAGAGTTGTATCCTGAGAAGCAAAATAATTGTCTTGTTATGAGTCTATGCATCTGACTTCCAGCATCAAGTTCTTGTTCTTTTATTTGTGTTAAGAGACAACTATACACTTCCTCGTTATTCCCATTTTTTCTGAAATTTCTTAAAACTGTAACAAACCATAATTTTTTTTAACATAGTGAATAGCACAGATGTTTGTTCTTATTTGACAGTCTGGACGCAGTGGGAAGACCATCCCTGAATTAGAAAAAACAATCGGCTTGATGAAGAAGGTGGTAGAGAGAGTGCAAAGAGAAAATGAAGGGCTGAAGAAGGCACCGGAAGTGATATCCAGTCAGAGACTGAGCGCTCTTGAAATGGAAAATGAAAACCTTAAGGTTTGTGTTAGTATTACAAGATTAAAGTGTTTTTAAGTCCAACTTTCAAAAGTTCAACTTTCTTGAATGGAAGCATTTTTCTTTGTAATCATTTCCTTGAAATGTAGTAGAAAACAGCTGTAACATTTACAAATGGATAGTTATGTTGAAACATTTCCAATTGGATAATTATTAAATATTAAGTTAATTTTCCTAAAAACCTACCATACTGGTTTTCACATTGCAAAACACAAAACAAATCTTGTCAGTCACTTTTCTCCTGAATGATGTTCTGTCGTGCACTGAGATTTAAGTTTTACGATGTGACTTGAAATCCTGTTCCGCAAGGATTTTGCAACCCAGACATTTCAGATTTTTAGGGGAGGAAGTCGTTGCTTGGGGGCCAAACAGTGATAATTACCACGTCACATACCACAAATGCCCACCATTTACCTGTGATTTATTTTTTGTTTGATGTTTGCTTCAGTGTGAACTGGAGAAGTTGAAAAAGCAGATGGAGGATCAGCTGAGTTTGCAATATGAGGCCAAGACAAAAGGCACAGAGAAGATAATAGCTGAGAATGAGCGGTTACGAAAAGAGCTAAAAAAGGTAAAGCTACAAAGTCGATAGCAAAATCCAGCTCTACAGTTTTTTAGTAACAAGTACTGACATTCTCATTGTTGTATGTTACATTAAAACTATTTCTAACAAACTAACCTGGCACTAGAAAATGTGTCTGCAATACATTTGCTGTTATTCTCCAAATACTGTCCTATAACACTTGATAGCTCATTACAGAGCGGAGATGGAAGTTCAGATTTTGCTGACAATTTTGTGTTGTGACAGGAAGCTGATGGTGCTGAAAAGCTGCGTATTGCTAAAAACAATCTGGGGATTTTGAACGAAAAACTGACGGTACAGTTGGAAGAGACCAATAAACGATTAAACTTTGCAGAAAGTCAGGGTCCACAACTTGAGGGTGCGGATAGCAAGAGCTGGAAGTCCACTGTAGTGTCCAGGTATAGCTTTCATCTCCCTAACTACTAACGTACAACTACTGTACACAGTGGGCTACTCACTGAAGCTGTGGTCAGCTTTAGATCCTTATATAAAACTGAAATATTTCACTTGTCTAGATTATTTTCAAATAATAAATTTGGTCACTTATTCCACAACTGTTTGTGGGACACTGCTGTGCGCAACTGGCTGCTGCATTTCACAAACAAAATTCACTTTACAGTATATCCTGTGAAGCGCTTTGATACATCTTGAAGATATGATAAGAAGCTATATCAAAAGCAAAGATTATTATTATTTTACAGATGCAAAAAATAATTATACATTATTTTCTTTTAATGATCCACTCATCAAACCCAGAAAAAAATTAATCTGCAAATCGTATATACCACTTGATAGCTCATTACACTGAGTGATAAAGTTAAGCACATAATATCCTTGAAATTAAAAACTTTCTTGATGTTTTAAAGAATGTTTGAGAGCAAAGTGAAAGAGTTGGAGACAGAGATTGCAAAAAAGAACCAAAGTCTCGCTGATCTTAAACAGCTGCTGAGAGAATCAAATGACCGAGAAAAAAAGTTTGTGTGTAAAGCAGATGAGCTGAAGGAACAGGTGAGCTTTAAACCCCCAGATATGGTTTGGAAACAAGCTTGTGTATTTGGCTGAATAAATGTTTGTTTCCAATCACATTTCTATATCTAAGTATTGTAAATTATTATTATTGTGTTTTGCAATAATAAAAAATGTCTGTGGGAATAAATTAAAGAAATAAAACACAAATAGAATTGTGAAAACCCTCAGGTTATTAATGTTTGTATAATTTATCCTCCTGAGAATTTGGGGATGCACTGGCGACCTGCTTTATATTACAAATATGGGAATGTTACACTGAAGTGTCACGTATCTGATGTTCTGTAGAATAACTACATTTTCAAGTGATTTAGTACCTTTTTAGTCCACGTCATATCTATCAGCAAGCTAACAATTATTTATCACTAAGATAGATAAGATTTAGAGTGGACGTAAAATAGGTGAGATCAATGATCGGTGTTCCTTATGGTTTATTCTGACCTGTAATATTTTGCTTTACTGTTTCAGATTGAGTTGCTCAAACAATTTCCTGACGAAGCAAAAACAGGACACAGTCTCGTCAGAGAACTACAACTAATGAGGTATCAATTATAACAATTCTGCTACCCTATTCTTCAATGTGAACTACAGGACACAATAAATTAATTTTTTTATGAAATGCAGTAAGAATAAACACCCAGTGACTACAAGTTACAGAAACTTTGTGAAGCCCTTCGAGTGTTTCCCAAACTTGTAGGCACCAAATCAAACACAGGTATTATTAAAAGTATATGTATCCTTGGCAGAAATATTCCTAAATATTGCATCTATTAGTTATGATTTCATTTTAATTCAAAACTGATTGTAGCATTAACCCTATCGTTTTATTTATCACTGGAAGACTGGCATATGATCGCTTGGAAAAAGAGAAAGCTGCCCTTGAACTCCACCATCTGGAGATCCACAGAATGCAAAGTGATGCCATTGCTGGTACAAGTGCAGGTACTAGTGCGAGTGTGCATTGCAGTGGTGGCATTGGTGCATCAATGCTTTTAACCTTATATTAGATCACATTTTACTATTTTGCTTTCAAAGGGCATTTATTCATTATTTCCTATATGTGCAATTAATTAAGTGTTTCCTATATTTCCCTGCTACAGGATACAATGATGTAAGGGAGCGAGGACAATGTGAAGATACATATAAGGGAGAAGTAGTAGAGTTGCAAAAGCAACTAAAGGTATCAAACGTAGAGAAACAACATTTGCAGGTAAATAGAAATGGTTTTGTTTAGTAGATTTGCTTCTCATTTATTCTAACATCCCAATCTTATAAATATTATGGTATCAGGTCACTTTTGTCACTTAAAACAGCACGATTACTAATGTTGTTTTGTGGTTATGTTACTATCTATGGTTCATAAATCACAAGATGAGTTTGGATGAAGAAGGCCCTTCGGCCCATCTGATCTCATCTTCCAAATACAACTATCCAATTAAAGGTAGCTTGATTTTTCTACTATAAGAATGTCCACGACTTAGTATTTATATTTGAAGTTGACTGACCCAACGACAAGTACAACTTACTGGTTCACACTTTTTCATTATTTTGCACTGTAGCAGTGGTTACACAGATGGTAATATTTGTGCACATCTTACTTTTGAGTGCCATCGGATGGAAAATAATGATAGTTTACGATATTGAACTACACTGTTATAACACCCACACTAACAAACAGATGTCCTGTGGTCTCACACTAACCAAAAGCATAGCACACGGGGCTTTTTGCACTAACGAGTCGGTTTCCGGATTATCGGGTTGTTACTAACATCAATTTCTGCACGGTATGCATGATAATAGCCACTGATGTCATTCCTATGCACAGGAAGTGCCACTGATATCACTTCACAAAGAAGGTGAGGTCACCAACACTTCTTGTGCAAAGTGTCAGGAAGCAACATCAACAGAGCTGCATATGCAGAGCATTAAAGAATGTCAGGGTGCTCTTTTTGGACAGCTATTAGGTTTCGATAGCTGTGGTCATCGACCACCAAGGAATGGAAGTCTGACAAAAAGCTGTTTAAATCAGGAACACCAGGAAAAGCCTAATGCATTCACTGCCTTTTGGAAAGTGCTTTATATCAGAAACAGAAACTGTAGTGCAATAATAAATTGTACTTGTATATTGTCTTTCATGTAAAATATCTCAAAAGTAACTTGCTAGGGAAAATGACTAAGCCACCTATTAGATTTAATAGTAAAAACTTGCATATACTGCATTTACTTTTGATTTAGGAAGAAATAAAGAGGTTGAAAAAAGAACTCAGCAACTTTGACCCCTCATTTTTTGAAGAGTTGGAGGACTTGAAATTCAACTACAGGCAAGAGGTTAAACGAAACATTCTTTTGGAAGAACAGATCAGGAAATTATCAGAAAGGTTTGGGGTGGAAGTAGATATTCCTGGAAATTGCTCCAGTGACTGAGAAGATCCAATGCGTGGATCATTATAGAGAAGTGTTATTAGAGTGGATGGAATTTACCATTCAGAGCTTAAAGTCGTTATAATTATTTGGTTTGAAAAATTCTGTTAGATTCTTTGAATGCTAGTTTTAAAATGCATGTGTTAAATTAATATTTCCAAATTTTTAAGCAGTTATGATAAATAATCCTTGCATTTTATATAGCGCCTTATCACATCTTTGAGATGTCTCAAAGCGCTTCACAGAATATACTGTAAAGTGAATTGACTATATTTTGTGGGCGAATCTGGGCACAATGTCCAGTTCCCAAATTGCTGCAAATGTTACTAATGTCCTTGTAAATGTACAGAAAGCCGGCCATTGTAGTAATTTTTACTCTGCAGCATTTCACGAGAACATAACTTTGGAGACAATTTTTCCCCCAAGTTAAAGGAAGTTTCTGTGCATTCTAGAGAGGAAGAAGTCTACTCTTCCCTCCTCAATGTTGGTATTGTGTTGGTAAAAATCTGAGTTTATATTTATAGTATGTGAAATAGTAAAGAAGAAAGGATAATGTGCAAAATTAGAATCTTTTTATTCATTACTATCCGTTCTGTGATATCTACTCCGGCACTGAATGTTTAAACAAATTCTATTCTTCCAAAACTGGTAAACCACAGGATCTGACAGAAACATACAGAGAACCTGAGAAACAGTATTTTTGTAGTATTTATGTACCGAGAATTTTTGACATTGTTACTTATTTATTAAATTTGTAGAACAATTTTAAATAAACCGCTTCCAAACAGCTATTTTTGACATTGTTATTTATTTATTACATTTGTAGAACAATTTTAAATAAACCTCTTCCAAACAGCTTTTTTTTTTACTGAATATTGCTCCACTAACCATGTACAATAACCAATTTGATACAGGTGATTTTAAATTAATGACAATACTATTGCGTCATTCAATAGGTGGTTACAAACTGAAGCGTTGACATTCAGAATTTCAAGGCTTTCTTCAAACGAGGCTAGATTTCCCACTTTAGCATATTTTGTTTGATTATTAACAGCCAATACACAAAGATCAATGCTACGATTAAAAAATGAATTCTTAAAACCTTATACTGAAGTGAAATGTTTAGGGAGTCTTGAAGTTCCTAACAGGGATAGGCTTAAACCACAGATTCCTTTAACGTGGCACAAAATTCTCAACGTCAGAGAGAATACTAAATGGCTGGTGTGAGAACCTGGAAATGTCTCACACTGTTACAGTTGGAGTTTCTTTAGTGGTTGGTCAGACTAGATGGATCATCACTCTGGATTTAACACAAACTATACTTGACCTGGGAGCGTGTGAGAACATTACTGGGTGTCTAAAATGTAAGTGTTCCATTTTCCAGGACGAACATTCATCAAATCCATCAAACACCAAAATGCATTAAAAAGAAATCCACACTGAAACAAAATACTCTTATATAGCAAGGAACGTCATCATAACCTCTGTGCGAGTCCCATCTTGCAATAATAATAATCCTTGCATTTGATATTTCAATGTCTGAACAATTCAACTAAATAAAATCTTTCCTGTGCAGGGGTGGGTTGTTTCTGTCATCCTTTCCCTACTCATGAATTGAAATGCCGTTGGTTAACGTAATCTCAGTACACAAGGGAAGGGTTTTTTAAAAAAAATAAACTGTTGGTGACATCCGGCAGTTTTATGTTATTGGTAATACAGTCAATTTCATTCTCTGAGGAGAATGCTAACACAAGAGTTTTTTAGGGACTTTCCAGTTGTAACCATCAGGCTGTGCAGATAACTATATTTCTAAATAGTTCCAAATAGTTTTAAGTACCATTAATTTACATTATATATTACTGACCTTATTGAGGAATAATGCCAATATTTGGTTTTGTCGAGTCGATGGGCCAAATGGCCTCCTCCTCCTATGCTCACTGCCTTTTGTGGTCTTGCACACATTACAACTTTTGAGTGCCTTGGACAACAACATTCTCCACTGGAAATAAAGGCATCAGCTTTAACTTAAAGCAACGTCCAAAGATTGCAAATGAAAGCCAACAACTCTAGCAGTCAGTCAATTAGACCTTTCTGGCTTTGATGCTGGCAAGACTGGTATTCCTTGATGTAATGTTACACACCTTCTGTGCAATTGTTTCCAACATTATCCCAGTGAATGTCTTTCAGATGATCAAACCTCTCCCCATTGAGTTTTGCAAGAACCAAAAATGAAGACTTTGGTTCAAAATTGCAATTGTACTTGCTCAGATCAACATTGATGCACACAGGGCGAGCAGTCAAGTATGGGTTTGTTACTGGCCACTGTAATCCCACATGTTGACGATGAAGCTGAAAATGAACAAAATACAGCAGAAATGTCATCTTTATTTAAATGCCACATATCCAACGTAATATTATTTCAAATGTATCCTTCATACAAGATATGGTAATATAGAAATGTCTCAGATTTTCAAAATTAACCAAGTTATTAAACTACCAAATTAAGAATACTTTTTTTCAATAGTTATGAATAAACTCTTCCTTTACCTTAATTAATACCCCATTTGTGCAGTGCCACACAATGCCTTCTATTTTACCCTCTTGGCTTTCCTCAAACCATGTAATCAGATCTGAATAGCTAAGAGAAGGGGGGTTCTGGATTTGCAGAACACCATGAGAAACAAGAGCGTGAACAGGTTGTTTCTTATTTCCTAGTCCTGAAATAGAATAAAGAGGGAAATGTGTTGTACTGTTACCAGAGGGATTTAGGTTGCACAAAACCATTGAGAATTGTTTACCACCTCAAACAAAGCAAGATGACAGTGTATTCAAAGTTTTCAGATGCATTTAGAAAACGTTAAGACACAAGTGTTAACACAGTTCATTTTTCATCAAAACTAAATATATTAATTAATACAAAGGAAACACAAAGGGAGTGGCATCATGCAGTTCCCAGCTGTTAAGTCCAAGGTTCAGAAGCAGATCAAATGCTACTCACAGCACAGTAGGAAAGAGAGAGAAATTACACGGTTTACTCACCATATGGATTTCCATTAATATGAGTTCCTACAAGCTCAAGAGTTTGTTCCAGGAGCTCCATTAAGTGTACAGTGGTTATTTCCAGCAGATTCTGCTCTGAGTGTGCTTTCATAACCAGTGCTACTTTAGTCTCGTAATTGACCGCAGACCCATGCCAGCAGTACTGTCTGCTCTCCTGCTCTACTGGAATCCACCCTTGGTGTGTTTGGGGAAAGTAAGGAAAGCTCATTATCTGTCAGAACTGCTTCAAACATTCTGCCCACATTACTGTTGAGTGTTGACGTCAAGAAAACAAAACTTTGTCACAATCGTACCGGGAATGTGCCCATTTTCATCCGGCTGTGGTTGGCCTTCCAGCTGTACCACTCCACGAGCAGGAATCCAAGACTCCGGAACGGTCCTGAAGTCGTCATTGATATTCCAAGTGAATTCTGAAAAAGGAATTAAGCTGCCAAGTTAAACGGCCCCACATCTGGCTGAGAACCAAGCCAGGTTTAGAAGTGTACAACAGCTGCAGCTACAACAACTTGCAATTACATAGCGCCCTTCAAGCAACAACAACAACAACTTGGATTTATAAAGCGCCCTCCACGCCAGTCGGCGTCTCAGAGCGCTTTACAGTAATGGATCCTGGCACCGAGCCAGAGGGAGGGGGAGGAAGGTGACCAAAGGCGCGGTCGAAGAGAAAGGTCTTCAGCAGTGACCTGAAAATAGGAAGAGGAGGAGCGAGGCGAAGGTTGTGAGGAAGGGAATTCCAGAGCCTTGAGGCAGAGTTGGGTCCCAGAGCACTCGACAGTGGCGGAGCACGACTCCGAGCTGGGGGGAGGTGACCATAGACACGGTCGAAGAGGAAGATCTTCAGCTATAATATGTCAGATACTAGACACGGAAATGTCAGTCAATCCCTTCATTATTGAGACAATTTGTCAATACGGGGCACCCCATTATAATAGTGTCTGGGTCTAGAAACACAGAAATGAAATTTAAAAATGGCCTCAGCCCTAATTGACCTGTAGATTAATGGGTATTTGGGACAGCTCCAATGGTGTACTGGATAGAGCTGCAGCTTACAGACAATTCAACTGCGAACTGACAAACACATATTTAGAAGCAACCATACATGGCTGGTAACATTTATAACCAACAGAAATGCAGCCACACTATTCGAGTGATTCGTAGACCGACCTCAAAGTTGATAGACTTTATGTAGGTTCGAACCACCAGCAGAGCTAAGCCTGGCTACCTCAAGCAGTGCCTCTTTAAGGATCAATATCCAGGATGGCAAAGAGCAAGTATCTCCCTCTTCCAGACTAGTTGCTTCTGATTCAGCAAAGAAACTCACACACATTATCAGTTCTCTGTTAAAAGTGGCGAAACGAGAAAGTCAGCTCACTGCTGACTTTTAGTGCTACTGATGGCTGTCGACTTCTGTAACTTTAGTTGGTATAAGTCACTTTGTGTAAACACGTAGCAGCCATTTTTTTTAATCCAACCTGCTACCCATTAATCTATTTTAAATTTAATGTCCAACTTTTTTCCCACAGACCCAGTTATACATTGGAAATATAAAGATGAAAGTACCGTGCATTTAAACTTGCAGAATTTTATAACAACCAGAACAGAATGGGAAGAGAAAGACTGAGTTACCTGTGGAACTAGTTTTGTTGAGCTGAAACTTTCTGTATCGTTTCTCAGCTTGTTTGGTAGGTTTCCTGTCCAACCGAGCCCATAGATATGGCACACCTAAAAATAGCAATGTCACAATGCCAATGAACAATCTTCTACCAAATTCATCTAGTTTTCTATTGCACAAAAGGCCTACCAGGATACCGGAAATTAAAGTATATAGCTCATGAGGTCACAAGAAAGATTAGGTCACTTTCTGTTGGTGGGTAGGTCTTGAATGGAACTTGAATGAGGTGAAGGAGAGTGCAAATCAGAAGGACTTTGCATTGAATTCCAGAGAGTGGAGATAGACTGAACGCCCAGAAACTAACGGTAAATGCCAGAATTATTTAAGATAGTGAAAGGGTTTGAATGAATTAATCATTTATAAAAAAAAACTTTCTGGGTTTCGAGCACAGGAATGCAAGAAATCAAGACTGTGAGAGGGGAACTTCTCCCAGAGTGTTGTCAGAATTTGGAATGATTTACCAGGGATAGCAATTAGAGTAAAGTCGATTGTGGTATTTCAAAGACAATTAGACAAATATAGGAAGAGTATTAGAGATACGGGAAAGAACAGCAAATTGGAATTAAAATAGAAGGTTTCTTGGGAGGATCAAAAACCGAGCCAAAAAAAGGACCCAATGGCTTCCTAATTCATCATACATTTCTATGGTTCTATAGTTCTAGGATTACGGTTACAATAAACATCACCATGAGACAGTAACATTTCTGAAGAAAGCACACTACAACATCATATGTTACCATATGTTTGGTATCAGGTCAGTCTACCTAACTTCTGAATATATTTCCTGTATGTTTTTATCAGATCAGTCTGTGTAACTTTTGTATATCTTTATGCTTGATATCAGGTCAGTCTGTCTAACCTCTATGATGGATAAGGTTTCTTACACATATTATGCAGTCATTCCTGCTGTTTGGGGAATAAATATTAGTCACTTGAGACACTTTCTACAGTACCTTTGTATTTAGTAATATAACAGCAGGTTCCATCCACTTTCTCTGTGGGAATTGCATTGTGTATATCCGCTTCCAATGCTTTAAGGTTCACGTCTCCAGTAGCCAACACTCTGAATGACTGAAAAGAACACATTTTTGAGAACAATTAACAAGTGGATAATTAACGTGTACTAAGATCCTATTTGGAAACTAATTTCTACATGTTGTTAACATTATATGCATTTTTGAATTTTAGGTAAACTATCCCACCAGTACAGACTCTATATAAGAAAGATCCACCAAAGCAATGGACCAACTTTTTATTTTGATTTCTATTTTGCAGCGTTCACGACAAAAAACACTACAAATGTTCTGAAAGATCCACAATGATTAACAAGACCCAATAACTTTCAACATTTATGATAAAAATCTCTGCTGCTGTGATCATCTATCTGTGAAGCTAAAGTTTCCAGCAGTTTGAAATACCGCAGCTGTGTGCTCTTTCTTTTCCATGCACCGTTTACCTTGAATATCAACATTCTGTATTTGGAACAAAAATAGTTATTGGACTGTGGTCGCAACATGTAAATTATAATGATAATAATTTAAATATAGCTCCCGTTCACTCATTTCTTTTAAGTAAAGCACAGTCAGAAGAGTGCTCATTTGCGAGTATTTTTTATCGGTACAAAAATAACAATCTACTTGTGGAATCTTTTACAGGAGATCGGATTGTACGAGGCGGGGGCGTGAGATCAGACACGTCAATAGATAAGATAGATAAGAACTCGGTCTAACCTATAATCACTCTACCCGTAATTCGATAATATATTGGTCATGCCTTGTTATTATTTGATCAATTGCAGCATTTGATTTTTTCTCATGTTCTTCTCTATGTAATTTGCTTGTTTTGATCACCATTTTGATCACCATTCGTCAATAAATTTGATCATTTATTGTAAGAGAACACAACTCCAGCAGAGAACACATTGGAACGCGGCAAAGCAATCAGCATAAACATCAACTTTATTGATTTCAAGACCCCAAGTGGTCAGAAGACTGTCCTATCCAATTGGCAATGTCAGCAATCCCAGCCCTGTCCAACTCTCCCAGCCCAGCCCTGCCCAGCCCTGCCCTCCCCAGCCCTGCCCTCCCCTCCCCAGCCCTGCCCAGCCCTGCCCTGCCCAGCTCTGCCCTGCCCTCCCCTCCCCAGCCCAGCCCTGCCCTGCCCAACTCTCCCAGCCCTGTCCTGCCCTGCCCTCCCCAGCCCAGCCCTGTCCTGTCCTGCCCTCCCCAGCCCAGCCCTGTCCTGCCCTCCCCAGCCCTGCCCTGTCCTGCCCTCCCCAGCCCTGCCCTGTCCTGTCCTGCCCTCCCCAGCCCTGCCCTGCCCTCCCCAGCCCAGCCCTCCCCAGCCCTGCCCTGTCCTGCCCTCCCCAGCCCTGCCCTGTCCTGCACTGCCCTCCCCAGCCCTGCCCTGTCCTGCACTGCCCTCCCCAGCCCTGCCCTGTCCTGCACTGCCCTCCCCAGCCCTGCCCTGTCCTGCACTGCCCTCCCCAGCCCTGCCCTGCCCTCCCCAGCCCTGCCCTGTCCTGCACTGCCCTCCCCAGCCCTGCCATGCACTGCCCAGCATCAGCAAGTGTGGATGGGGTGTGTGTGCTGTGGGTGGGGTGGGGTGGGGTGAGGGTGGTGCTGTGGGTGAGGGGTGAGTGCTGAGGGTGGGGTGTGGGGGGTGGGGGGGTGAGTGCTGAGGGTGGGGGTGAGGGTGGGGGGTGAGTGCTGTGGGTGGGGTGAGGGTGGGGGGTGAGTGCTGAGGGTGGGGTGTGGGGTGGGGTGGGGGGTGAGTGCTGAGGGTGGGGGTGTGGGGTGGGGGGGGGTGAGTGCTGAGGGTGGGGGTGTGGGGTGGGGTGGGGGTGAGTGCTGAGGGTGGGGGTGTGGGGGTGGGGTGGGGGGTGAGTGCTGAGGGTGGGGGTGTGGGGGTGGGGTGGGGGTGAGTGCTGAGGGTGGGGGTGTGGGGGTGGGTGGGGGGGGTGTGGGGGGGGGGGGGGTGAGTGCTGTGGGTGGGGTGAGGGTTGGGGGTGAGTGCTGAGGGTGGGGGGGGGGGGGGGGTGGGGGTGAGTGCTGAGGGGGGGTGGGGGTGGGGTGGGGGTGAGTGTGGGTGGGGGTGGGGGTGGGGGGGGGGTGAGTGCTGGGGTGGGGGTGGGGGTGGGTGGGGGGGGTGGTGGGTGGGGGTGGGGGTGTGGGGGTGGGGTGGGGGTGAGTGCTGTGGGTGGGGGGTGTGGGTGGGGGTGGGGGTGGGGGGTGAGTGCTGAGGGTGGGGGGTGGGGGGGGGGTGGGGGTGGGGGTGGGGGGTGAGTGCTGAGGGTGGGGGTGTGGGGTGGGGGGTGAGTGCTGGGGTGGGGGTGTGGGGTGGGGTGGGGGTGAGTGCTGAGGGTGGGGGTGGGGGGGGTGGGGGGGGGGGGGGGGGGGGGGGGGGGGGGGGGGGGGGGGGGGGGGGGGTGGGGGGGTGTGGGGGGGGGGGGGTGGGGGGGGGGGGGTGAGTGCTGAGGGTGGGGGGGGGTGGGTGGGGTGGGGTGAGTGCTGAGGGTGGGGGTGGTGGGGGTGGGGTGGGGGGGTGGAGTGCTGAGGGTGGGGGTGTGGGGTGGGGGTGGGTCGGTCTGACCTGATTGTCGCGTTTGGTGCTCGGCTCCTCCTGGACTTTGGTGACAAACAGACACGGGATCTTGTGCTGCACCGACCCCCGGCCCCGGCCCGGCCCCCCCGCCCCCCCGGCCCGGCACCCCCGCCCCCCGGCCCGGCACCCCCCCCCGGCCCTGCATCACCGCACCGCGGGCTGGGAAACTGCTGCACACCCCAACCTGGAGCGCCCCCTGGCGGCCCCTCCGCTCCTCCTCCCCCGTCTCCACAGCGAACCCACAGCCACTGGGGCAAAGGCACTCCGCCCCCGGGCCCCGCCCCCCCACCCCTCCTGGCCCCGCCCCCCGCCCCCGCCCCCGCCCCCCCCCCCCCGCCCCTCCTGGTCCCGCCCCCCGCCCCCGGGCCCCGCCCCCCCCCGCCCCGCCCCCGGGTACTGCCACACAGGGGGAGAGTTCATACAGTGAGTTCATACTCACTGACTGAGCAAAGCCGCACTGAGTATCTGTGTATATATAGTATATATATATATAGAGAGAGACTCTGTGATTCTCCGCAGAATTACTGTATCGTCAGAAATTAACAAAAGAATGTAACCTTCGATGCGGTTTTTTTTTGACCCCCAAAACATGTACTGAAATCCATTTCAATTTCAGAACATTACAGTATGAGGTGAAGGCCACATCTCTCGCAGCAGCAACACTGAGTGCCCTCAGACACACAGACCCCGGTCACAATAATAGGCGATTAGTGTCACAAAGAATGTGCAGAAGTGTCTGAATTATCCTTATATTACAGCACAGTATTGAGCTTTTTCTGGGCATCAAATAGGAATATTTCAGTCCGTGAAGGAAAGCGACATTTCCTCCAAACATTACAGTCCAATAACTTTGCTCTACTTTATTGAAGGCAAAAGTGAAAACGCATCGACACATTTACTGGCAAACATTATTCGTTCTGTACAACAAAAATGACATCACAAATTACTGTGCCTTTCACCTCGACAGGACGTCCCGAGGTGATGGACCATCGGTGTTTGGGACCCAAGCTGGGGGGTGGGTCAGGGACGGTGGAGGGCCGGGGGGGAAGGAGGGTGACCGAAGGCAAGGGTCGAAATGTATTAACAATTAAGTTTGCAGCTCAGTAAATAAACAGCACACAAAAATCACACGGTATTAACAGCAGCGCAGTAACAACAACAACTTGCATTTATTTAGCACTTCTCATGCAGGGGAGAGTCCCAGAGCTTATAGTACAGTAGTGATAGAGTGTGCCCAGTAGATTGCGGTGTCTCACGGATCAGCAGGATGCACTAGTTACTAGTTACTAGCAGGAGCGCACTACTGAAACTCTAATTGTGATTCCAAGAGGCAAATATTCCTATCATACCTATCAAGTTAGGAACATAATTGGCTTTAAAGAAGCTCACATGTCACCCAAAGCCAACAGAACACAATATGTGGCTGGACTCAGTCCAGGAAGTACCAACAAATATTGGCATTAAAAACTATGTATGGGAAGGTTTTTGTGATACCCCAATGATATTTCATTAAAACAATGTAGTGAGCTATACCATGACTGAATGAAAAATCAAATTGTGAGTGTAAGAATGGAATGTTTTGCTCTGATGAATCCTAGTTACTCAACATATTCTTATAAAAAAATGTTCATAATCATAAAATAGCATATGTAGAAATAAATGTCAGTCCTGTCAAACTTTATGGTTCATCTTTAAACCTGCATTAATATCATATACCCCAGGAATTTCTTAACACGTTGGCAAAATCATCATCATCTGTGACTCCAAAGCTAAGTCCTTCATAATAATTTTCAAATTCACAATAAGTAACTTCATTGGGACGGCAGCAGTTTTCTTGAAGTGTATCAAGGAAAGCTGATTGGACTTTCTGCTCTGAAATTTCTCCTATATAAAAAAAGAAAAAGGTCATTATTGGCTTCCGAGAGTATTAGGGCTATTACTGATGCTTAAATTAAGCAGCAGTCGGAAACAATATGTCTTACATTGATGCACTGGATCATAAATAAGGCCGGAAGAAAATTTAGATTTTTGGGGTCCAAAAGTTGTGTCCAGTTTGTTAATGTTGTTGCTTTAGTGTTGTCAGTTCAAGTACCTACAGTGAATACCTGCTCCCATTGGGCCATCTACCAGGCCATCAACCCATCCCACATATCCTTTGAACCATTCTTCCAAAAAGTGGAAAATACAATGAGTGCAGGATGGGTTGATGGACTGACAGATGGTTCAACGGGAGTGTCGGGTAAGTTGATGGATAGGTGTAAGCTTAAATGTTGCTTTTTATGACAAAGCTACGTCATTAATGCTATGTGTTAAAAGTTGCGGTTTCCACAACAAAATCACGGCCTGCAATTTCTCTTACAGCTTGAATCATAAAGCAGTGTTACCATATGAGCCATCTGACAAAGGTGCAATGAGGGAGATTAAGAGAAATTTGTTTACACAAAGAATTGTTAGGATGTGGATACCCTGCCAGGAGCTATGGTTGATGCAGAATCCATACTAGCTTTCAAAGGGAAACCAGATAGACGTGTGTTAAGCAACCACTTGTGTGGGGAAAATACTGGTAAATGAGATTAAATGAATGGATTTCTCTTTCAAGAGCTAACACCGACAAGAAGGGCCAAATGGGTTTCTTCTGATCTGCAAGTTTCTATTGTTCTAACAGCAACATATTTTTTCCACTCCACAAATCATGCATCATATTCTGGCCCCAATTATTGCATAATTAGCATTGAAATTATTATCTGGAATTCTAATTTATAGCCACTGTTATCTCAATTATTTTTGGTTAAGATTCAAAGCAATTCAAAATTAAAAAAAAAACATTTTATTGATGGTCAAACCAACTCAGATGAAACTCATGGTATAAAGATATTCTGGATTATAGGACTCAAATGTACGCAGATAGAAAATACCATTCTCGTATATCCAAAAATAAAATATGAAAGTATGATAGAAACTGTACATCAAAAGTTGTATATTCATTTATTACCAGACAAAACTTTAGGATGTTTCCTGGCACTGTAAAACTTGCTGATGTCAATCATACTGACTGTACCACTTTTGTTTGGGTCAAGCTTCATATAGGCCTGTGAAGACAAATACAGTGAAATACAAAATGAAGTGTAAAATGTGCATTGAATATACTATTCAGAAATGGAATATGGATTAACAACAACAAATTACATTTGTATAGTGCCCTTCATGTCAGGAGGAAGTCCCAAGGCACTGGACAGTCAGGGATCCGCACCCAAGCTGGTAGTTAGGATCAGGAGCAGCGGAGGGTGGGGAGAGTAGGGTTAGGAGGGTGACTGAAGGCATGGTGGAGGAGGAGGGTCTTGAGACAGGTCTTGAAGGAGGCAAGAGAGGGGGCGAGACGGAGGGACTATGGGATGGAGTTCCAGAGGGTGGGGGCAGAGAGGCTGAAGGCCCGCCCGCCAACGGTGGGGGAAGCAGGGTGGGTTAAACGTTCTAAATGTAGGACTAGTTGTTTACTAACTGGATGAAACAAAACATCACAGAATTTATAATACAGTAAACCCCCAGCTTACCAGATTCCGGGTATCTGGAATCCATACCTAGCCAGATCAGGCTCGAAATAATTTCTTTTAAAAATAAATTCCAGAGACCCACATGCGTGTACACTCCTGCCAGCTCAACTCCCCAGCCTCATCATACTTCCTGGCCTTCAGTGTCCAGGGGATATTGACTCTGACTCAGTTTGAATCCCGTGAGCAGAAGACAGTTCATCGCTATCTTCTGCATACTGGATTCAAACAATTACGAAGCTGGTAATGACATTTTTCGGCATTGAAAAAGCTGCCGCCAAAAAAAAACGGTAAATGCCAATACTGGCATTGTAATTACACTTAGCCGGAAATTCCAGCTCACCGGACCAGATCCTCACCCACCTACCTCCCCCACCCTCGCTCCAATATAAACAAAAGGTTTGCCGTACTTTCCTAACAAACCATTTGCGATATTCATTCATTTCTCCAAGCACTCCTCGAATAAACTGGTGATAATCGACTTGACCCTGACAGTCTTGGTCCAATATAAGCCAAACAGATTCAAAATCCTAGAAATAAAAGAACATGTTAGCAAATTAATGAACTGCGAATCAGAAATGCCAATTTAAAATTTCTTAGAAAAAAAATATTGCCTATCTTTGGAACAGGTTCTGCAAAAATGTCTATGTTCCTCACTTTCTGATCTCAAACCTTATCTAAATTCTTCACTCTTAGACTGAGCATTTAGTTACCTCCCATTCCAAATGCATGAAAATTTCCCTGTGTGGTGGTATGTAAACGGACCTCTCAGGCTGGTTTGGATACTCAAGATTGACTATGGGTTTTGACATGCATCATACTCAGCTGACAAACAAAAATAGACATGCTCAGATATTTGTTTCTTCCAGACCTTTTCAGGAAGCTCCAAATGGAATTCATTCAGAGCTTGTTTCAACTCCATCTTCTGCAGGAATCCATCTCCAGACTTGTCACACCGCTGGCAGAATTTCTGCAAACCAGTCATAGTGCGAACCCCTCTCTTCTTCAGCTTTTCTTTCAGAAGAGCTAAGCAACAGAAAGAAAATAAATTATCTGAAGTGCAAATGAATTGCATTTATCAGAATTTCAGGGATTACTTTGCACATCAGCAAACCTATAAAAATATGATAATTAAAATCTTTTATATTATATATAAGATGGACTGTACTTTGTGCTGCATTACTTTATTACAAATCAATAAATACAACAAATAAAAAGCGTCCTCTAAGTTCTGGTGCTTTTATCAAGTTGTACAAATAGGGCTTTAAGGTTTCTAAGGTTAAGTGTAAAAGTGTAAAAAAATTCAAAATCTCATAGAATTTTTTTGTTATATAAAATCGCAACATAAGAGTGAGGGAAAACATGAATACAAATTTCTTACCATTGGCCCAAATCTCAGTATTTGATACATAAATAATCTGCGCAATGGTAGGTTTAAAAGGAGCAATTTAAAAAGATAAAAGGGAAGGTGCAGGTCAAGGATTTTAAACCTAAATTTCAAAGAAAAGGTAATAATAATCCTTACATTTGATATAGCTCCTTACCATGTCTTCGAGACGTCTCAAAGCGCTTCACAGAATGTACTGTAAAGTGAATTGACTGTACATTTTGTGGGTTAACATTGAAAGTTGTAAAAAATTGAAGAATGAACAGGACTATAAGTTAATGCATGTGACAGGAAGAATGATTACTAATTTTAGAACATGCAGGTGCTTTTGGCATTCTCACCTTGTGTGGTCTTGAAGATATTTCTATCATCTATTTCTTGCTTATTGGGATCTTCGTTGCTACTGGCTCTGTAACACATTTGTTATGTGTAAATTTACATTTAAATCAAAAGAAAAAAAAGAAGCATGTCCATTAGAACAATTCTGCCAATGTGAGCACTTAATAAATAAACTTTTTTTTAAATGACCTATTAAATCTCAATACAGATAACATAAATCCTGTGAACAAAAATTGAAAATATTCTGTGAAATAATATGTTCCATGATCAAAATTAAACAACTCTTGTTGTTTATTTTAACAAACTCAGATACAAACTACTGACAAAGTATCTTGTGAGCCATGAAATCTTGAACCAGATTTTTTTACAGTAATTGCAAGCTTTCCTCCAATACAGAAGCACTGTTTACAGCCAATCTGTATTTGCTGAAGGACAACGTAAAACTACTTCCCTGTCTCCTGATCTCTATGAACTGTATCACCAGAGTTGCACCAGATAAAACAGTAGGTGTCAGCATCTTGTTGTCTAGCAAAAACCCATCATGAAAGTTAACTGAGGCTGAGGTTTAAAACATGGATCTCCCCATCTTAGACACAACCAGGTCACCTTTTAAACTGCACACATTAGATCTTGCAGTTTCCAAATTACGCATTACATGATTAAAATTGCTTTTAGATGAATCCCATAAATGAAACTTCACATTCAAATGAAATACTGACGTTTAATGTAGTCATTATTTATAACATGCTTTAATGAGTTTTTCAGTTCAGCAGGCGCTAATAAAGATGATCCCAGGTACTTACAGCAATGAATGTTTTGCCATTTCATCAATATTGATGATCCGTAAAGTGAATAACTGCTTCTCTTTAATAGTTGCTGGAAGACCAGAATGTTCTGTTGTCAGAAAGGTCAGATTGGCAGCCTGCAGAGAAAAGATGGCAACAGAATGACCTCAGCACACATGACTGGAAGCAAGGCAAATACGGTAAAATAAAGAACAATTCTTGTCACATACCACACAAAAATCACCAATACCATATTGTCTTCCTTTCCGTCTTCCATACTGGTGACAGTAAACTCCTCTCTGAATGAATGGAAGAGCATTTAATCTGAAACAAACAAATCAAATTGAAGAATTCTACAAATGTAGTTGTTTTCTAGTCTAAATTTCTAAAGGTTTAGAAAAATGATAAGTGGCCATCCAGAGATCACCACTATCATTTATTTAATTGTAAAACGTAGATTTTCTTTTCCGAATATGTGTGATTACATGATTGCCCTACAGGCCAGAGTTCATCCATCTCTGCAGTTGATATGCTGTGGTGCCATTTGCCAAGTATAATTACAATTAAAAATCTTGTGCTTATGATTTGTGGCGATTTCTTTGCTCTGTAGCCTAATCCCAGGCCAGCCACATTGTCAGTTGATTTTTACTTAAGAGCAAACATTCAGTAGAGAGGAGAAAGAAAGTAATCTATCTCCAAGAAGATAGAACAATGCTATCAACAATAAAAAGCACACACTCCTGAGGTTCCGGCCTGTGATCTGAGTACTTACCACAGTTATCTTATTTTCATACACGTATCTTGTAAATTACTAATTAAATTACCAACCAATAATGTAGAATAATTAACCTTACCTATTTTTTCCAAAGTGACGATATTCATATACTGTAAGAGTCTTATCGAAGGCAAAGAAGAAGCCAATCAGCTCTCTGCATGCATCCCGTCCATTTCTAATGAAAATGAAAGCTGCATATGAATTAAGTAGACAATTACATTGTAGGTGAGATCATTCCAACTAAATCCAACTACAGTTTATTCTGCTGCTTCTGTGTGTCAATTGGAACTAACTCATTCACATAACTCAATATTCTTCGAAAATACCAGATTGACAACAGTTAAATTTCCTTTGCTGTTTTACAAACCTAATTTTATTTAATGTGCATTTGGTAACATGAAACATAAAATATTGCAAACTCTATCAAACTAGGTAAAGTGCAACAAATAAATTAGAAACCTTGAAATAATTCGAGCATCAAAACGCAGTTTGTTTGAGAGTAAAGTTTCTGTTAATGTTGAACTTGTCTTCACCCTGTTAAGGAAAAATATATTCAATATGCAGAGGTTTATTAAAACACAAGGAGAGTATTGAAAAACAATAAAGCTTCTCCCCCCAGTAACATTTGTCACTGAAGGCCCAAAAGAAGATCAATAGAAATCCACATGCACAATATTTGCATAGCAGGTTTTGCAGATTTTTTTTAAAGCTTTTATCATTTCTATTCCACAAATGATCAGACAGACAATAATTTTATAGTTAAGAGTTAGAGTATTGTATCCAAATTTGATCACCCAACTTTAGGAAGGTTGTCAGAACCATAGAGAGGTTGCAAAGAGATTTACAAAGCAGAGGAACTGGGCCAATTTTCTTGGAAACAGATCCCATCTGTCGGTTCAAGTGGATATAAAAGATCCCGTGGCACTGTTCAAAAAGAGAAGGGAGTTTCTCCTAGAGTCCTGGTCAACAATTCCCCAGATAAAACTGGGGTGGGCATTCATTTGAATAATTGTACCACTTAAGAGATTTTCACTGAGGATCTGGTCATACCCTGAAATTACAAGCAATTTGCTTATACCTCCTTAAACACATACTTGGTTGCATGTAGTTTTCTATTCCTGAAGCGTAGGGGTGCAGATCCAAGCCCAGGAAGTGACGTATGTTCCTGAATCAGATTACTGTAGATTGTATTTTGTCCTGGGTCACTGATAACTGCCCTGTTGAAAAACAGAATTGGGGCACGACTGATAGTTTTGCAACCAACATACATGTTTCAGATAATGAAAGACATATTTTCATTGTAGGGATAACCTACACAATATTACACACTGCAATGTTGATGTGCAAAAATGAGACAACATAATCTTTATCTAAACCTGATTAACATGGTTTCAAAGGTACTCTGATTTTAAAATATATTAAAAGCATTGGCATATAATGGGTTTTCTCCCATTTGCAGTGGCGATTATGTTGGAAAGTGACAGTTATTATGCATCAGCAACACCAGCAAACAGCAATGAAACAAATAACTAAGTAATCTGTTTATTCAAGATAATTCTACAATAACTGGAGATTTCATGGTTACCTGGAAAGCTGATCCAGTAACACTTGTTCCACCACAGCTTGTGTTTTCTTCTCTGCTGCCATACCCTCCTACATACAAAATTGATATGGAACCATTTTTATTGCATATCTTTTTATAGATTTAAACTCTCAAATTACTTTTTTTCTTGAAATCCCCCATTCGTAGGTTCTGCTTTTTAATTGCAATTGTACATCAGTTACAACATTTTCCCAAACAGTCATACAATGTTCTTATCGTACATGGGATACAGTTTGCATGTTACAAATATAGTGAGGAGTCAGCCTGGGCTAGGTGGGTTCTGGATGACTTGGGAAAGTCCATCTGAGATATGCTGTGATCTGGTGAGTTTTTGATTACACTCTGTAATGGTTTCACAAGTTGCACCAGTAGGGTGGTACACCTGACTGTCAGGTGATATCTAAGCAATATGTGGGATGAATCTAGGAATCGAGACAAATACTGTATTATCTCTTTCTCCTGTTTCAGCTTTTCCTTAAGTGTTTCACCCAACCGCAGTGGGATGCACTGTCGGACAGTGGTTAGAAGACCCAGGAGCTTGCTCACATTCAGTTCCAGGAGAATCTCTTGGTGGCAATAATGTGGTTCCATGGCGCACAAAGAATTTTTTTCTTAAAATCAAAACAATTAACAAATGCACAATCCCAAGATCCAAAACACTACGATTTATAAAATTATGCTTTGGATGGAACACAGGAATTATCAACCTCAAAAATAACATCTCAACAGCAACATCTGCTGTTAAAATCTTTAGTGCAAGTTATACAGCAACACAGATGGGAGGCTGAGTGTACGTGACTTACTTTCCTCTTGCTAGGAAACAGAAAACTATGTAAGACTAAATTGGTTGAAAAGAAAATGTGCATGCAGGATTTCTTCAAGAAGTATTAGATAGGTAGTTGAAAAGGAAAAATATGGGGTCTAGCCTCAAATATGAGATATGGGGAAAGAGCGGGGGAGTGGGACTGTTTGGGTAGCTCTTCCAAAGAGCTGGCACAGGCATGATGGGCCGAATGGCATCCTTCTGTGCTGTAATATTCTATGAATCTATGACTAAGTAAATTAAAGTTTTCACATGAAAACATACTTACAGCTTCCAATTTCCTCATGCTTTGTTGCACTGTATATGGTTGGCTTGTGTAACACTGCTGTAAACGAGCTTTCTCATCAAGGACTGTGGGATCCTCAGGGTTCACTTTACCATCCTGAGGTTCCTTTCAAATAAGGTAGAAGTAAAACAAGTGAAAATGATATTCCCAATAAATCTAAACTTAATTTCTTTCCCATAGAACAGTACCCGTACCTTTTAAGTACATTACCTGTTTTTGAGGAACTGACACTGAGGGTTGCTGAAGCTGATCATTTGTTTGGTTCTTCTGTACCATTCGCTGAGAATATTGTTTATAATTCATTTTCATTTCCTCTTCATATTGCTGGTACTTAAGTTTATATCTTTCTGAAGGTTTGGGCAGATCCTCAGGCACAATATATTCTTGTTTTGGAGGAGGCTAGATGCAACAAGTCAAGGTATGTTTTATGAGTATTTGTAGAATTAATAAAATATCAGCAAGACCTAAATGAACATATCCATCAACTCTTCTTGTGATTATGGTTTTCAAATTGATACCCATGGTGTGGGAGATGCATTGCCTGGGGAAGAGTAAATAATAATCTTTGCATTTTATATAGGGTCTTATGACAAAAATCTCAAAAGTTTCAGTTTTTTTATGCGTCTGTTATTGATCCACTGTTACTGTTTCTTTTATTTGCCATCATGTTTGATTTTGATCAATTATATTCTTCAGCAATATTATAACGATTAGTTGAGAAACCCTTAAAATAAAAGCAAGCCATTGAAACGTGCAAATGGTACAGAATTTTCACAGACAATTTCTGCAATAAACAGACCTGCTGACAGTGGTAATGGAGGGCATTTGGAGGTGGGGCAGGTGTTCCCCAGCTAATAGTGGAGGTAGAATCGGGAGATCCAAAACGAGGATATTCTTTAACAACAGGTGTATAAGCCAAATCATTCTGTAAGGGTAAAAAAAATACTGCATTACAGAACAGGACAGTTAGTATAATTCATCTTTCCTGTGCCACTCACCTAGAACAGCTATACTTAATACATCAAAACCCACCCAAATGCTGCGACTTTGGCAATATGTGCTCATAGTGAGAGAACACAACCAGCCCAGAAACCACAAATTTCAGCAGCATGCAAGTTACTGAAAGATTAGTCTGATATCATCACAAAAACATGGGCAAAGAAAGCAAACTGCAGAAAACATGGGCGTTTTCTCTAAGATACAATAAAAATAAAATGTATATTCTTTATATTTCTTAGAATGGAACAAAATTATCATACACTTCAAATTCAGAGAAATTAACAAGAATATGACTTTAAAAATGTGAGAAAAAGGATTTTTTTATTAACTTAGCAGAATTTCTACAGAAATAATCCATCCATTTATTAAAATTGCTTTTTTTGTTTGGTCTTCAAAGGTGGAATAATAGATAAGTAAACATTGCAATAAGGTCACCATTCTCACTTGACTGAAACATAATTTTTGCTGAATGAAGTTTAGGTGAAAAAATGTACTGTTCAGTTCAGAATTAGCCTTGCTAATGTATTACAAAACCAAGGATAGAATTTCAAGAATTATTCTAAAGTGTGATATATGAATCATCACTTACCTCATCCCCTGAATCACTAAGTTTTGTTAGGTCTAACACAGGCACACTAAAATAGAGAAGATATTGCACCGGTTAATGAAAGATATTAAACCAGAAAGCATTTAGAGAGGTTTATCAAGAGTGTGAATGTCACAAATGATTTTAGAAATGAATGAAGTAACAATACACTGCCCGGGTGATCGGACTAATGGAGGGTAGATCCGGTCTGGCAAGCCAGTTAGGTGTAATTACAATGCCGGTACAGGCATTTAGCCCTGGCATGGGCCAAATTAATCGGGTTAAATGGGACTGTTTCTGTTCAGTCTGAGTAATTAATTCTATGCAACTGTTCAGGTTCTTTCTAGGTTATGCCTCAACCCATTTGTGAGAAGGTGGGCCAGTGCCCATTTTCTGAGTCTGCCAGAGCATGTTTATATCTAAGTGACTCAAAGTAAATCACGGCTCATTTGTTCCATCGTATCTACAAAATAAACATATTTCTTCTGCTTGGTGTCTGCCCACGGAATCTGCTGTCAGAAAGTGAGTTTGCTGGCAAAAAATACATCTTACTACATTGGTTTAATCCTACCCACGTGATTTCTTTGTCGTGATGCAGTATATTGTAAAATAGAGATTTTTAAATGATAACAAGAAACGATACAAATTATTAAAATTAGACGAGATACTTACTAGTCGGGTCGAGGACTATGAGAAACTCTTGATTCTGGTCTCCATCCCTATGAACAAATTATATTATTCATAACAATTTTAAAACCAATTAATTACTAATGAAAAGCTTGGAAGTTCAAATATAAATACAATTACACCAATAAAATGTCATCTGTATAGCGCATTTCACGTCGCGAAGACATCCCAAGGCGCTGGTACGTCCATTAAAGCATCATAAATAATAATAATCCTTGTATTTGATATAATGTCTCAAAGCAATTCACAGGGTTTTATTGTGAAGTGTAGTGGCTGGCAGATAGTTTGCGCACAACAATATTCACCCACCAGTCATAAAGTCAATGTTCAAACCTAATGAATGGGTAAATAATTGACTGAATTTTATTTGCTGTCTTCTCACTAAGCATCTAAATAAAAAAAGTAGAAAACACATAAAACTATTCCAGTTTAACTTTAAAAGTAGGGATTTAAATACCTCACCAGTTTCACTGCAGTTATTTCCTTTCTATATAATAATTGCATTTAGCTAAATGAAAGTGTTGCACTAAAAACATAAATTACAGAACGTGGTGGTTTAGATAAGTCACAGCTATTACCAAGCAACATAAATATCAATTAAACTACTACATTTCAAAGAAGTTTTCCCGGTTACCAGATACATTCCGTTAATGTAATTAAGGTTAAAACAGGTGTCCATTTTGCTTTCCATGTGAGAAAACTCACTGAGCTGTCTGTTTAATTTAGTCCGTTGTACCATTACAGCAATTCTGAGAATTAGCAATAAACTCACAACTAAGTTCAATGGGAAAACAATTTGAACTTCAAGTGAGCAAGCAGGAACTGAAGATGACAAAAACATTTTTTTCAAGTTCTAGAAAACCTGGCAACTGTCTCCTTTTGGTTGCCTATGGAAGAATGTGTGCTCAGGTGTGATATGCAGTAATTCTCGTTGGTAAAGATTATCTGAGTAATTATTTCTATGTAACTGGATAGTAAATCAGCTGTTTTAAAATGATAATGCGCATTCAACCCAGGAGCACATTACTCAGGCTGATGACAATTTCAAATCCATCAAGAATGTGTGCAGCTACAGTAAAACAACCTCAACAGCTTGATGGATGTTGAGCTCCTAAGGTCAAGGACAATTAAAGCATTATGATGCCTCCATAGATTGATGTATCTATGGTTTTGTATTTTACATTGATTACATTAAAATATTCTCCAAGTAATTATAAGGGTCAAATTGCCAAACTGACTCACACAAACGGAACAGTGTTCCTGTGATGCAACAAGAGTTTCTGTACTATAAAAATGCCACAAAAATGTTTATTTCAAAATGACAGTAACATTTCACTCTGGAAACCTGCCGTGCATTGTTTCACTGTAATAATAATAATAATCCTTGCATTTGATATAGCGCTTTTCACGTTTTCTAGAAATCTCAAAGCGCTGTAAAGTGAATTGACCGTATATTTGTGGGCGAAATGCGGCAGCCAATTGCGCACAGCAGCGTCCCACAAACAGTCGTGGATTGAAAATGACCAATGGAAAAAAAAAATGGAATTTATTATTGTTGTGTTTTTTGTAGGGATTATTATTAGGCGCGTGGAGTAAGGAAACTTTCAGAGCACCAATGATAATAATAATCCTTGCATTTGATGTAGCGCTTTTCACGTCGGGAGAACGTCCCAAAGCGCTTCACAGAACACACTGTAAAGTGAATCGACTGTATATTTGTGGGCGAACGCGGCAGCCAATTGCGCACAGCAATGTCTCACAAACAGTCGTGGATTGAAAATGACCAATTTATTATTGTTTTGTTTTTTGGAGGAATTATTATTAGTCGTGTGGAGTAAGGAAACTTGCCCAAGGTTTCGCCCTCTGCCTGGAATTGAACTCAGGTCTCTCGCTTGCAAAGCGAGTGCTCTAACCGCTGAGCTACCGGACTCCACATGATTTGCTTACGTGTCAACGACGGTGCTTCAGAAGCTCTGACAACCCAGTCCTTCAGATTTTGCCAACTTTATTTGCTCTTAACGAAGCACACGGTAGACAATTCCTCGCGAGCGACCGTGACGCTTCGCGGCTCTCCGCCGAAAGAGCTAACGTCTTGGTCGAACGATAGCGCCGGGCTATTTACAGCGCGTCGTCGCGTCGTCCTCCAGAGACGTCTCAAAGGCGCTTCACGGAATATAACAATAATATAATAATAATAATCCTTGCGTGTGGCTTGCCCCCCCCTCACCAAAAGCGAGTTTGACTGTAAATGTCGCGACTGCGTTCGTTGTGAGCAGTTTCCTTCTGAACCGAGGGATTTTATTCGATGTGTGTGTGTGTGTGTGTGTGTCTTTCTTTTTTAAAAAAAAACCACGGTTGCCTTTTGTGACCCTTTGCGGTCGTACGTACAGTTGGATCACCAGAGGGGAACCCTCCGGTGACTCCATTTTGTTTGTGAGTGAGTGAGTGAGTGTGTGGGAGACCCTGAGCACCTGGTGTCACCCCACCCCGCAGAGCCCACGTACCTGGGCAGGTGTCCTGTCCAGCAGTTTCTGCCGACGTTGACCGGTTGGCGCGGCTCCAATGCCCTTCACTTCCAAATCCATTCGCGAGCACCGGCGGGGCCATTAACGTGAGGCTTTATCCTTCCGTAGGCCTCACGCACCGCGTTGCTCTGGCAACCGGCCGCCGCCGCCGCCGCCGCGCACGCGCAGTATCGTGCAGCTGACCCACCACCTGTAGACACACCACCCACAGCTGTCCTGTCTGGTCCTGTCCTGTCTGTCCAGTGTCCACACCACGTCCACAGTGAAACTCAGCCCCCGGTCTGGGCTTTTATCTCTCTTGCAATCCCCCCCCCCCACCCCCCGAGTCGTACACGCACCCGAGCCCCATTTCTTCTTTGCGCGAGTCGTACTTTGGAAATCGTAAATAACAACAACAGCAATCCTTGCAATAATAATAATAGTAATCCTCATCACATCTTCGAGACGTCTCAAAAGCGCTTCACAGAATATGTTTTTCATTGCATAGTACTTCCAATAAAATGCTTTCAGCTTTTGAGTTAATTTTGCGGCATTGCTTTATGTGGCTAACAACAATCTCATTATTACCTTACCTTTGTGATAAGACGACGAGGAGAGGGCTCAATTGCCTCAGCTGTATGTAAGTGCATGGGTTGCTTAAACATCTACAGTCAACATTTTATACCATTAAATACTGGAAGAATCCACTCAGCAGGGTTCAGAAATGTCTTAATCGAAAAGCCTTGAATGATACCCATGGATTACACAAGTCTTGTTTGCATTGCAAACTGTCGTTTTCAAGACATGAAACATCTGACAGATGGAAAATGAAATGCATGTGTATTCGAAATTAAATTCAGATGTCTCAAAATGACACAGCTACATGTTTGTTGTTCTCAAAGGCAGTTTTTAATGTAGAAAGACCAACCTCATTAATACTGTACAATGAATAAATAGGGATACATTTCTATATGAATTTACACTGTAATTCTATCATTTCATTCAGATGTAAGTTACAATTATAATTGTGGCCGACCTGAGTGTATTTGAGGCAATTATGTAATGGTTTCTATTAATCCATCAATCACATGCAATAGGGACATTTCTTCAAAATGACTCACACCAAGCACAATAGGCAGACAAGTACATAAAGTATGAATATTAGGAGAGCATTCATTAGGGTCTTAAAACTCATTTTCCATACTCATTCATTTTGTTGCGTTTTCTCAATCTCATTGGTCCAAAGATTTCTGGCATATCCCCAACACAGGTTACGGCTTCTGAATTTATCTCACTGACATGTGCTGAGTTATTGTGACAAGTTTCAGTATTGCTGTGAAATGTTGGAGGAGTCACTTCTATAGTCAGTGTCTCATCCTCTTGTAGCTCTTCCTCACTCTCTGCAATGGCCTGATCTTTCATCCATTGCATTTTATCCCCTCTCGTTCCTGTACATTCTCAAACAAATGAATCCGTCCTTCCCGGGTGGAGGTAGAATCTTAAATGTAAAGTACAGACAAAATCCTTAATATAAATATCCATGAAACGAAAAACTAAAAAACTTAATTTGGTGAAAACATTTTGGATTGATTACAGGCTCGAAACTCAGACTTGGCATTTTGACACAGATCGAGAATTAAGGATCGAAATGCGATTCGTACATATCTACATAGCTGAGGCAAGAGCGACCAAATAGAGTATTCATCAAAAACTCTATTCTAGGTGAAAGGTACATTGCCTTTCAATGTTGTGAACTTTAACACATTTGTTCCTGTTTCACCAACAGGATATACAGACTTCACATATTTAGACTATAAGCAGTCTGTGGCACTTACGATAAATACCAGCATACGATACTGTACTATGGTTACAGCAGCATGTGTACAGGGTTCTCTTTTGAGGCTGTGAATAGACACATTACAGAGTCTTACTCTGTATCTACCTATGGTCCAAAGGTTTCTGGCATTTCCCCAACATAGTTCTCAACCTGAGTTTATCTCATTCACATTTGTTGAGATATTATGACAAGTTTCAGTATTACATGGAATTTATCCGTCTCACCCCCTTTTGCCTCCTTCAAGTCCCGTCTGAAGACCTTTCTTGTCCATCGTGTCTTCGGCCACTTTCCCACCCCATCTGCCTTCCTCCCCTTCTGATTCAACTCGGATCCAAAACCCGATTGTCCAGGGCCCTGGAACATCTTTCTGACGTGAAGGGCGCTATACAAGTGTAATTTGTTTGTTTGTAGCAGTCACTTCACCAGACATTGCCTCATCCTCTTGTAGCTCTAACTCACTCTGCAATGTAGTGAGCTTTAACACATGTGTTCCGTTCACAAACAGGATATGCTACAATAGCATGATCTGAATGTATTTCATGTGGAGTTCCCCAAATTATTAAATGTTCTATTTTCTAGCACTAATATCTGACTACCGAGAACAAATCTCACCTCCTTACAAAAAAAAACCAACAGTCTGTTAAGATGAAATTGAAAAAGGAAAGGCAATGTTTTATTTATGAATAGGCTGATTTCAATATAAAATAGATTACAAGAATCCACAAGAAGCTTTTTTTTGCTGCAATTCTGGAAGTCTTTTTCTTCCTTAAAAGATATTGCCAAAATTTACTTAAGGAAGTCTTTTTCTTCCTTAAAAGATATTGCCAAAATTTACTTAAACATAAGTAAACATTTTCAAAGTGTCCCTTCGTTTGCATGGAGAAATATGCTCACGCATTACAAACAATTAAAGTCAAACCATAACCTGTTTTGGTAATGGTGCATTGTGTCTGACATAAATATTTATAAAATGGCACTTGACCATAATCATACCTCGAGTTGGAGATGTGCTTTAATATAATTCAATGTTTTTCCAACTGAATACTTCATTCCACTCATAATAATCATTTTACCTTCAAATGTAGGTGTCTCTCTCTCTTTCATCAGGTGTCTGATTTGCTGAAGTTGTGTCATAATCTCACTTGTCTGCTCAGTGGCTACAGCATCAACACTATAGTGAAAACAAAGAAAAAAATCACAGAGGGGGTTGGAAAAAGTCAAATGCAATGCGACAATCATTTGATTCCTATTTTTATATGCCCATGCTAGCTAGTGCTCAATCCAAGATCTATTAAGAATTGAACAACTACAGTGAAACTCGCTAACTCATCACCCCAATAGAAATAGCTCAAATTACTACTTATCCAAAGAATAGTATCTCAAAAGTACAAAGTACTCGAATAGTCAGGATATTGAGTAAGTGACTAGTTATGTGGGGTTGACTATTTATCCTAGGGGCTAAATATCAGAGTTTTCCTGTATTTCAGGTATTACATTGTTTTTAAACAGGTACAAATATCAAATGCAAGGATTATTATTATTATTACAAATAAAGACCTTTCATTTCGATGTTTAATTTTGAACAAGCTGGACTCCAAATAGTATTTTGATTTTTTTTGTATGGAGCATTTTTTTAAATTAAAGCAATTTTATAACAGTGTTGCATTTTGTGAAAAAAATGCAATTTAATAAGTATTTTAGCAAAGTTAAACAAAAGAAAGCATGGACAGTGGATCATCATAGATAGATTGTGTAACGTAATAATAATAATAATCCTTGCATTTGATATAGCGCTTTTCACATCTTCTAGACTTACGATTGGCTCAGCATTTACAAAGGGTTGTCTCATCTCGTATTATTTAAAACACTCTTCCTAGCAGGTCAGTCAAGACTGCCATTCAATGAATTATGTAGATATTAAGAAGTGGACAAAACCATTCTTTCAACTAAGAATTCCTGCGGAAGGTAGGAAGAATGAGGGGAACAAACCCTCGCATATTTGCTAAATAAAATGTCACATCATAAACAAATACTTCAGTAGACTACAATATCACAGCATAAATTCCTTACCAACTGGCCAATGGATCCAATTCTTTCACCAATGAATCTAGCATCTTCTCAGTCTGGGCCAAACGGAGCTCTAGTTCAGAAAGCTGATACTCTAGGTCAAAACAAAGCCCAATCTATTAATAATAATAATCCTTGCATTTGGTATAGCGCTTTTCATGTCGGGAGGTCGTCCCAAAGCGCTTCACAGAACACACTGTAAAGTGAATTTGACTGTATATTTGTGGGTGAACGCGGCAGCCAATTGCGCACAGCAATGTCCCACAAATAGTCATAGATTGAAAATGACCAATTTATTATTGTTTTGGTTTTGGAGGGATTATTATTAGGCTCTGTGTGGAGTAAGGAAACTTGCCCAGGGTTTCAACCTCTGCCTGGAATTGAACTCAGGTCTCTCGTTTGCAAAGCGAGTGCTCTAACCACTGAGCTACAGGACTCCACTAATTAATTAAGCATTGTACATTCCATTTGAAATCCTGTGTGTACTTTGAAAGTAGCGCCATGTGAAAATAAAACAAAAAATCTTTTTTTAAAAAAACGAAATACCTGTATCAATCTTCTTTTTATCAATTTTATTTTTCTTTTGGGATAGTTTTTCATTTTCTTTGGATTTTACCTGAAAATACAGAATATACCTTATCAATAATAATCTGAGAAGTTTAGAAAGCTCCATCAAAACTACAGACTAACCCGGATGTTATTTCTCCTCTCTATGGAAGTCACACAATTATTCCAGTAAAGCTAAATTGTGGGCTAATGCTCTATGTAAAATATAGATTGTTTGGTTTAAGTGCAATAGTTTAATAACTGAATTCTCCAGAGGTAAGTCTCATTGAAAATATTTTTCTAGGAACATCTTCCTACTTTTGTAACTTCACTGGTACATGATTTTTGATTCTAATAGAATAATAATAGAAATATTGCATTTGATATAGCGCTTTATCACGTCTTTGAGACATCTCAAAGTGCTTCACAGAATATACTGTAATGTGAATTGACTGTACATCACAGAAACAGGCCACTCAACCCAACTAATCGATCCGTATTTATACTCCACACAAGCCTGCCTTCACCACTCTTCCCTCAAGTATGCATCACGTTTCACTGTTGAATGATGGACCAATTAAGTTTGGTTACATTGAAAAATAAATAGCCCCAAAACATTTAAAAACTGTAAATATGTTAATATAGCATAACACGTTTAGGTATTTGCCATGATCCCAACTACGTTTATGTGATTGTTAATACTTTGTTAAAATTTTTTAACATTTCAATTATAATATAATATTGTGCCACGATAAGTACAACAACAACAACAACAAGATTCCATTTATAAAGCGCCTTTCACGTCAGGAGGACGTCCCAAGGCGCTGTACAGTTGGGTCAGGACCCGAGCAGGGGGGGAAATGGTCAGGGTGAGGGGAGGGAAGGGAGGGAGCGAGGAGGGGGGAAATGGTCAGGGTGAGGGGAGGGAAGGGAGGGAGCGAGGAGGGGGAAGAGAGTCGAGAGGGGAGCTGAAGGCTCGGTCAAAGAGAAAGGTTTTGAGACCGGCCTTGAAGGAGGAAGCGGCGAAGGCACTGGGGGATAGAGTTCCAGAGCCTCGGGGCTGAGAGGCTGAAGGCCCGACCACCGATGGTAGGGCGATTGGGGCGGGGGACGTGGAGCAGACTGGAGCCAGAGGAACGGAGGGTACGGGCAGGTAGGTAGGGGGATAGTAGGTCAGAGAGGTAGGAGGGAGCGAGGCCGTGAATGGCCTTATAGGTGAGGATGAGGATCTTGAAATCAATCCTCTGGGGGATGGGGAGCCAGTGGAGGCGAGCGAGGGTGGGTGTGATGTGGTCCCGAAGCCTGGTGCGGGACAGTACACGAGCTGCAGAGTTCTGAATGACCTGCAGCTTGTGGAGGGAGGTGGCGGGAAGGCCGGCGAGGAGAGAGTTCCCATAGTCCAGCCTTGAGGTGACAAAGGCGTGGACCAGGGTTTCAGCAGCGTGAGGGGTGAGGTAGTGCCGTAGTCTGGCGATGTTCCGGAGGTGATGGAAGGCGGTGCCAGTTGTGGTGCGGATGTGAGGGAGAAAGGACAGCTCAGGGTCGAACAAAACGCCGAGGTTCCTGACTGGCTTTGAGAGGTGGAGAGTGCAGCCTTGGATGCTGATGGTGTCGGCGCCTGAGGTGCGGAGGCGCTGACGTGAGCCAATCAGGAGGGCCTCGGTTTTTCGCACGTTGAGCTGAAGAAAGTTGTCTCTCGTCCAAGATTCGATGTCAGACAGGCAGCTGTCAGGACATCGGTGGTCGTGGAGTTGAGAGTAGAGGAGGAAAGGTAGAGTTGGGTGTCATCCGCAAGTAAACTGCATGCTAAGTAATATTGCTTACCTGTACAAGTTTGTAAATGACATAAACACCTATTCCTATTGCATATAGTGGCATCATCTGAAAAACATATCCTTTGTTTCCTCCTCTAATCTTGTTTCTGTTCATCTCCTTTTCAATTGCACTTCTCATCTGCTGCATCCCATGATGAGGTGATGTTAAGGGGTTGTTCTGAAAATGTGTGCTCAATGGCTGGCCTCTTCCAGAACCTAAAAAATAAATTGTTTCAATGTGAAAAGGAACTGACCTAAGGTGCAACCAGAACTAGCAATCACTGAACACAAGTCTGTGTAAGCTAATGCAGTAAAGTCCTGATAACGCATCACTCCAAGGGAAAAGGACTCAGTACTGAATTATTCAGAGTGGCAGGTTAAGCATATGTATAAATACATAAATAAAAGCAGAGGAAATAATCATAGTCCCAGTGAAATTGACTTGATGCACAAGAAGTAGTCATGTAATTCATATATATTTTACGACAATGCAAATGGCCATCATTGACCCCCCCTCCCAGTGGTAAATGGTGTGCAATAAGACATTTTGGAAATTGTTAAAATGTAAAATCAATCAGGAATTGACCTATTATCAATGGTTAAAAGCTTTTTGAAAGTTACAACCAATGGTTACTTTTTTTTCACAAGCTTGTTTAACTTTTCACTCACCACCAAGACTGTTACTTGAGCTTTAGCCAGAGAAAATGAAGCCTAAAATAAAACAAAATGCAAGTTTGGTACAGAAAAGGAGAAGTAAGGAAAAGCAATTACAGACAATAGGTGTAGCAAGAAATCAGAGAAAGAAACAAAGAGTTGGAATTTACAGTACAGTACTTTGAATTATGTCGGTCCTCCACATTATTCTCAATTATTTAATTCCTATTTAAATGTAATGCAAAAATGGGCAATTAGTTTTGGAAATGTTTAAAGGCAAATTTTTTATGTCTAGGTTTGTGTATTAATATTTTAAAATATCACATGAAGTGACATAGCTCCATAAATGCTTGAATTAGCTCCAACTTCCTCAACAAACTGAAGCTGCAGTAAAACTTTACAAGAGAGATTTGCAACACAATTAGTACTTGCACATGTCATATTGAGTTTGTAACTTTTGCAAAGTTTATTTACATGAAAAGGAACTGTTTAAGTCAATTTCACAAGGGTCAGGATAACAATAGGTTAAGGAGACAGGTTGGAAAATACTGTACTTATACAGAAATCCATACATTCAATTACTACTGATTTTCCTCATTACTTCAGTAAATCTAGATTAAAAGTTTTTAAGTTAGAAAAAAAGTTGACAACATTTTGTTTACGCCCGATATAAAATATTGATTTGAGACAGCAGAATACACTGAAATGTAGGATGTGCAATGCACCAAAGGTGTACTGGAAAGGCTGGAAATGTATCATTCTGTATATAGTCGAATATAATAATGTTTTGAGACAAGGAAATTGGAACTAATAATTATCTGATGGAAATCGGACCCACAGCTTTGCGCACCCTGGGCAGCTCAAATGGTTACCAGACAATTTTGGGGGTCATTCGATGGGATATGCCGCCGCGAATGCTCGAGGGGGTTCCCCCAAACCAAACTGAAGTGCGCACCACATGTGTATGGGTTTCCATTTGTCTGGTGATGGGAGTGATCATTCTCTGGAGAAGAGCGCACCCTGGAAAACCTGATCCTGGAGAATTTGTAAGCGCATTTTGCCAATACCCAGGGGCGACATCGAGCCCAGACTGCGTATTGGGGAGAAGTATTTGTAGCTCAGTGGTTAGAGCACTCGCTTTGCAAGTGAGAGACCTGAGTTCAATTCCAGGCAGAGGGCGAAACTTTGAGCAAGTTTCCTTACTCCACACAGAGCCTAATAATAATCCCTCCAAAACCAAAAACAATAATAAATTGGTCATTTTCAATCTACGACTGTTTGTGGGACATTGTTGTGCGCAATTGGCTGCCGCGTTCGCCCACAAATATACAGTCGATTCACTTGACAGTGTGTTCTGTGAAGCGCTTTGGGACGTCCTCCTGACGTGAAAAGCGCTATATCAAATGCGAGGATTATTATTATTATTATTATTATTATTATTAAGTGGGGTGGGGGTGGGGGTGATGTAACCGCTGGCCTCACCCGCTAAACCCCAGTGTACTCATGAACAGCACTGGTCAGACTCCGGCTGACGAGACGTTACCCCACTCGAAGGGGGGGGCGGCCGCGACCCTCTCGCGGGCGAGAGCGCATCGCGGCGTTGTGTCCCGCGAAGCGCTTCGAGGCGTCGCGACGACGACAACGACGACGACAGCAACTACTTGTATTTATGGAGGGGCCCCTTCACGCCAACTTTACGGCCTTTCCTGTGAAGCGCTTTGGGGGACGTCTCCACGACGTGAGAAGGCGCTTAACACCTCACACGAGGATTATTATTATTATTATTGTTGTTATTATTATTAGTTCAGGGCCGAGCGGCCTAGTGTGGACAGGAGAGCCTCGGCCTCCGCGGGGGTGAAGGGCGGAGGCGGCTCTCTGTCCCCGGGGCTGTACCTGGCGGCCTCGGCCCGGGTCCCGCCGTCCTCGGCCTCGTCCCTGTCCCTCCTCCGCGCGGCCCCACAGCCATCCTGGGGATCAGCACCAACACCCCCACAAACACACAGGCCGCCAGCACCGTCTGCCCCAACAGCGCCATCGCCACCCTCACCCCCAACCGCTCCCGCGACAGCGACACCCCGCGGCCGCTCCAGCCTCAGCTCTGCCCACACACTCCCTCTGTCTCTCCCCCTCTCTCCCCCCCACACTCTCTCCCTCTCTCCCCCCCACACACTCCCTCTGTCTCTCCCTCTCTCCCCCACACACTCTCTCCCTCTCTCCCCCCCCCACACACTCCCTCTGTCTCTCCCTCTCTCCCCCCCACACACTCCCTCTGTCTCTCCCTCTCTCCCCCCCACACTCTCTCTGTCTCTCCCTCTCTCCCTCACACACTCTCTCTATCTCTCCCTCTCTCCCCCACACACTCTCTCCCTCTCTCCCCCCCACACTCTCTCTATCTCTCCCTCTCTCTCCCCCACACACTCTCTCTGTTCCCACGTATTCTCTCTCCCTCTCTCCCCCCCACACACTCCCTCTCTCCCCCTCACACTCTCTCTGTCTCTCCCTCTCACACTCTCTCTGTCTCTCCCTCTCTCCCCCCCACACACTCCCTCTGTCTCTCCCTCTCTCCCCCTCACACTCTCTCTGTCTCTCCCTCTCACACTCTCTCTGTCTCTCCCTCTCCCCCTCTCTCTGTCTCTCCCTCTCACCCTCTCTCTGTCTCTCCCCCTCTCCCCACCTCACTCTTTCTATCTCTCTCTCCCTCACACTCTCTCTATCTCTCCCTCTCTCCCCCCCCTCACACTCTCTCTCTCCCTCCCTGCTCTCCTCTCCTTTCCTCCTTCCCTCTCCCTCCTACCTCACCTTCACTCTCTTCCCTTCACCCTCTCTATTTCTGTCCCCTCCCTCTTTCTCTCCCTCTCTCAGAAAGCTTCGAGTTCGCCTCGAGCTCAATACATGTTTCCTCCTGTCCTCCCCTCAAGAATGAATGAATCTTTTTTGTGGGGTTGGGGGGGGGGTTGTGTTTTCCAGCAGTATTTTACGCACACAATGTGCCTCATTATCTGGCACTTCCAAGAGCAGAATTCCAAAGGATTGGGCAAAACAAAGTCCACACGTTCAGACCCTGAAAACAGCCTCAATAAGGGGTCATCTTAACCCACCAAAAAAGGAGTGGTTCAGGGTTGGGAAACATTCCCGCAGAAATGAGAGTCACTACTATGGAATGACTTGCATGCAGCAAAGCAGTCCGCACTGTTATGTTAACATAATAATACAATAATAATAATAATCCTCGCATTTGGCACAGCGTTTTCACGTCTTCGAGACGTCTCCAAAGTGATTCACAGAACGGACTGTAAAGTAAGTTGACTGTATATTTGTGGGCGAAACGTGTTGGATGAATGCAACGAACAAACAGCCTGTTTGAAAATCATTTCTGGTAGAGAGCTGGCAAACACACAGCGAAGCATCACTCACTCACTCACTCACTCACTCACAGCGCAATGATTTGCAGATGTCAACTGATATTTCCTTGACTGATTTTTTTTTTAGAAAAAGGGTTGGTTCCTGTAATCAAACTTCACAAGTTCCAAATGTGAACACCTCATAATTTCCTGTTGCAGAAAATGACTATGGGTGCCAGAGGGTCGAAACGACTGCTTTGCAACTTTCTACTTCAAATATTTTTTCACCTTCAATGTATTGGGTCAGCAGTGGACATTTATGATAAAGCTTTTATTAAGGAGTGCCTTGATGTTCATAATTTCTACCGTTCAAGAGTAAACCCTTCAGCCAGCAACATGCTGTACATGGTAAGGTCATTATTGCTTAGTATTGATTGCATTTTTAATGCTGAGAATTTTTAAAAATAAACAAACATAAATTTATGATGTTTTAGTATTTTATTAGAAATCCATAAGCTTGTTTGAAACATAGAGGTGTAATGTCATTAGTATTATTGCTATCTACTGCAGAAAGCAGTTAACATTTCCTGTGTTTTTCAACTGTGCTTTGTAGTTATTGCTGACACCGAATATGATTCTAACACCTTAGATAGCGGTTGTATTAATTTGGCTAATGGGCAAAGTTGTCCAACTATTCTTCCAAACATGCAACACGGGTTATTTCTGTTTCATTGTAGAACATTTGTGGATGTTTGCTTACAATGAAGAAACTCAAATGTAACATGAAAAAATGTTTTGCCTCCATTGTGCGGCGTGAGTAGCAATAAAAAGATTAGGGAAGTTGAAAATGTATGTTTCTGTTAGAGTGAACGTACAACAATCTCTTTAATAACAATAACATATTAAAATGTGATTTTTATATAATTTTAAAGGCTCTTTTGCAATCAATCCCAAAACAGAAAAAATTATACTGGAGGAAATTCCTAAGATTCCATTTGGATAATATGATACTCTTTAGCACTCCTGTTGCAGACTCAGTCGTGCTTTAAAGCAGACTGAGGTGAAATTCGGAAAACTCCATTGCAAGAAAAAATAATTCCTGCAGTCAAAGAATTACATAGAATTTCAGTAAATTTAACAGCACAGAAACAGGCCACTCAGCCCAAATAGTCCGTGTTGGCGTTCATACAGTACTGCAGGAGTTTCTGTCCTTTCTAGTTAACTGACCCCCAACCCTTTTCACTTCTGCCTTATGTAATAATAATAATAATCCTTGCATTTGATATACCACCTTATCATGTCATTGAGGCATCTCAAACACTTCACAGAATATACTGTAAAGTGAATTCACCGTATATTTTTGTGGGTGAAATGTGGCAGCCAATTGCACACAGCAGGGTCCCACAAACAGCCGTGGATTGAGTGACCAAATTATAATTTTTTTTTGAAGATTATTGTCCCTGGAAAACAATCGACTAACAACTGGGTTCCTAGTTACTACGCGTCAAGGTTCCTCTTAAATAAACTGATGCTCTGTGTGAAGAATTTACTCCTCCATTCTTGATCTGTTACTGGTTATCTTATAATGATGATGAAAGCTTAGTGTAAGACGGGCTGCTGCCTCATACACAAGACCCCTATTTTCAATGGATTCATAAGCTTAGATGTGTATTGCAAGTAGTAATAAGTTCTTGATCCTAAATCCTTGATTTGCATCATCCATGTTGCTACAATGTGCGTGTGCTGAAACCATAAAGCTGGTCAATAACTCGGACTTATATACAATAGGATGTTTCACGGAGATGAATGTCTTGAAACACTTAACAAAATATTTTTTCCCCCTTTCTTCCGTCCTAGAGTTGGGACAGGATTCTTTCAGAAGTGGCCCATGAATGGAGCAAGAAGTGCATTTTTGATCACAACACTGACCTGAAAGTGCCCCAAAAGCTCCATCCGGTATTCAAGACTTTAGGAGAAAACATTTATGTCACAACAGGCTCGAATTTAAATGTCACCAGTGCCACTAAAAGTTGGTATAATGAAGTGGCAGATTATAATTATGGTTCAAACCAATGCAGCAGAATTTGTGGCCATTATACCCAGGTAATTTATTTTTTGCTTTTAATTTTTGCAGTGAACAATGTTCAAACATTTATTTATCCAGGAATTTGTTCTCCTGAATCTGATCCTGTTTTTTTCTTTCCAATTTAAAGCTTGTCTGGGCAACAAGTTATAAAGTTGGCTGTGCTGTTCACACCTGCCCTTCTGGAATTTTTCATTTCAATTCCAGACTTTCAACCATTTTCGTTTGTGATTATGGGCCACCGTAAGTTTCTCTTAGTATTTAGAAAAATGTTCCTGTTATTTTCATTTTAATCGACTTACAATGTTGTTGATATCTACGCGCTGTTTTTTTTACTTGCAGTGGAAATTATCCACAACAACCTTATTTAACCGGAAAGGAATGCAGTAAATGCTACATGGATCGATGTGAGAACAAATTATGCCGTAAGTTTAACAATCACAAAATCTTTCTTATTGTACATTGTTTTGATGTTGTTTAGTCATAGTTGTGACTTAAAAGTGAACTTGTTATTTATGTGTTCAAAAAAGAACCTTAATTTTGACTACCACTAGATATACTTTGACATTTTGTTCTTTCTTTTACTAGGAAATAAGACACGTGAGATGAGTGAGTATGTTTTTATCATTAAAACTGAAATTAAATATTTTGAAAGTTAATGGTTAGTATTTTAACCATAAACTTTTTTTTTACAGCTGATTCGGATTCCTTGTGCAACGAGTTTTGTATTACAGTTTTACTACTAAGGCCACTATCCCTTGTTGCTATTTTCGTTGGGGTGTATATTCTACAACAAAGCTATCCAAACATGTTTGCTTATTTATAATTCCTAATCTTTGTTTAATTGTAATCAACTGTTCTGCAGATTAACATTGAAACAAATATTTTTATAGAAATCTTTATTAAATTTGGAGAATAGTGTGACACTTATGAAATGTCTTCTTTTTAGTGATAAGAAACAAGTAAAAAAAAACAGACCTAAACAGATAACATAGAAATCTAAAACCATTTTTCGTTACTGAATTTTGAAACAATGAGACCAACATTCATGTCTTCAATAATGTTTGCAAAATTGTAGAAATTGGGAAAGCAATACCTGGGGGGAAAAAAAACAAATGCTCTTAAACCTCAGTTAACAAAACTGCAGTAAAAATTGACTGGTGGAAAAAGGGCCAATTTGACTTTTTAAGTCCTTGTTAAAAGAAAATCACAAAGCACTCCTCGGTTGAGAGTTTGTTTACTGTATTCCAATCTAAGAAGCCGATGAACACTGAAGGTGATAGGCAAAGGCTTTGAGTGGAGTGAATAGTATTTATTTTTGGATTGAAAGCTTGTCTGTAGTGGCTTTGGTTATGCATTTCAAATGAAGGAGGAGCAAGAGAGTTCCAGGAATACAGTGTGCACTGGAGGCTCCAAAGCCAGAACTATCCCAGGCGAGAAGTCTGCTACAATATAAGGATAAGGATCATTTGACCACAAAGACTTGCAGGAACAATTCACCTTGAGGACTTTTGTATTAGTGGCTGTGAGAATCATCATCCATTTAATTCCACTGTGTCCAACTGGTGATTTATTTTTGTCCAAATTAAAGAAAAGCAGACTGCAAAGATGTATTAAAATGGATTTAATTTTGTTTGAACTGTGCCATGGTGGTGTACTTATTAATTAACTTTCGCCCACAAATATACAGTCAATTCACTTCACTTTACAGTCTATTCTTTGAAGTGCTTTGAGACGTCTATAAGACATGAAAAAGCACGATATCAAATGCAAGGATTATTATTATTATTATTTCTGCCTTCAGGGATTATGGCTTATCTCTATGGGGGGGGAGGGCAGGGCAGGCAAAATGAGGAACTGCTTGAAAGCATTGCAACATAACCTGTATTATGTATGTATGCAATTTAGTGGTGAGAGCACTTGCGAGCGAAAGGACCTGAGTTTGATTCCCGGCAGGGCAAAATGTTGGGCAAGTTTCCTTTCTCCACACGCCTCTGTTTACTTAGCAGTAAGTAGGAACCCGGTTGTTAATCGATTGGTGGATCGCTTTTCCGGGGGGTAATAATCCCTTCTTAAAAAAAATTTGGTCACTCCATCCACGACCGTTTGTGGGAACACTGCTGCGCGCAATTGGCTGCCGCGTTTCGCCCCCAGAATATACAGCCAGTTCACTTGACAGTGTATTCTGCGAAGCGCTTTGAGACGTGCCGAAGACGTGATAAGGCGCGACATCAAACGCAGCGACTGTTAAAGCACCTTTCCGTGCGAGGCAGGTAAGTGTATGTTTACATGTGTATCTATTTAAGAGCCGACCACTGAACTTAAACAGCCTTCCCTTTACTTTTCTTTCGCAAGACGTGCCAGACGTCCTCAATCGAAATGCTGATTGCCCTGTGCCACGACATGCCCCCGCCCCCCGGGCTGGGCTTGCTTTCTTCTGCTGTGCCGTTCCAATTGCTCGAGCTGACCGCCATGGGACAGCTTCTGCCGTCACCCAACGTCGCCGGCGTTTCCCCGGTGCTGAAGTCTTTTCACGTTCGCCCACGTTGCCCACTATTCTGGCCGGTAATACGGCGAACGACAGGCAGTCACCCCACGGCAAGGAGGCGAGTTAAAAACCAAAACGCACTTTCGCCCACAAAAAAAACACGTGCGGTCAATTCACTCCGCGCTCCGCCCCCCCACCCGCGGAGCTCTTCGATGAGACGTCTGCGAAGACGTGATACAGGCGCTGCATCGGACGCGAGGATTAGACGACGACTCCGACGACTCCGACGCTGCAGTGTTACGCGACGTCTTCATACGCAGTTACGATCATTATGACGGTGCGACCCCGGTTCCTCGCGCTTGACGGGCGTTCTTCGCAGACGTCTCGGAGCGCTGGGCAGGGCTTAGGGCAAGGTGTAGTGACTGTGTGGCGTGTTTGGTGCCGTACCACCGCGGCCCCGCACGCGGTCGTGGATCGAAGCCACGCAATTTATATCTTTGTCGGGGAGGGGGCGGGAATCAGTGAGTATTTAACCCCCTGTGAGCCCTGAGCTACAGGAGGACACTGTGCTATCATTGTCACTGTGTGTTACTGTGTTGGTGACCCACGCAGTCAGCCTCCACTGGGTGGTCCCCAGGCCGGGCGCCTCCTGCAGGTGGCCACCGGTACTGCACCGCGGGCAACTCTCATCGTGTTTAGAAGGTGGTGAGGGGGGAGAGAGAGGCAGAGGGAGGAGTGACGGTAGGGGAGCGACGAGGGGAGGAGTGACGGAGGGGGAGTGACGGGGGGGGAGTGACAAGGGGAGTGCCAAGGGGAGTGACGGAAGGGGAGTGACGGAGGGGGAGTGACTGGGGGGAGTGACGGAGGGGGAGTGACAGAGGGGGAGTGACTGAGCGGAGGGAGTGACGGAGGGGGAGTGACGGAGGGGAGTGACGGGGAGGAGTGACGGAGGGGAGTGACGGAGGGGAGTGACGGAGGGAGTGACGGGGGGAGTGACGGGGGGAGTGACGGGGGGAGTGACGGAGGGAGTGACGGGGGGAGTGACGGGGGGAGTGACGGGGGGAGTGACGGGGGGAGTGACGAGGAGGAGTGACGGGGGGAGTGACGGGGGGAGTGACGGGGGGAGTGACGGGGGAGTGACGAAGGGGAGTGACGGGGGAAGTGACGGGGGGAGTGACGGGGGGGAGTGACGGGGGAGTGACGGGGAGAGTGACAGGGGGAGTGACGGGGGGAGTGACGGGGGGAGTGACGGGGGAGTGACGGGGGGAGTGACGGGGGGAGTGACGGAAGGGGAGTGACGGGGGGAGTGACGGGGGAGTGACGGGGGAGTGACGGGGGAGTGACGGGGGGAGTGACGGGGGGAGTGACGGGAGGAGTGACTGGGGGAGTGACGGAGGGGAGTGACGGAGGGGGAGTGACGGAGGGGGAGTGACAAGGGGAGGAGTGACGGAGGGGGAGTGACGGTGGGGGGGGAGTGACTGACAGGGGGAGAGACTGACGGGGGGAGAGACTGACGGTGGGGTGGGGGGGCGAGTGACAGCACATGGCGATGGTCAGGTGGCTTTTCCTGGGTGTTTTGCTGGAGTTGCTGACGTTGTTTTCCTCTCCTGGTGACCTGAGTCGGATTTCCATCTACAACATGAAATTTATCAACGAGATACTTGACACTCACAACAGGTATCGCTCGGATGTCCAGCCCAGGGCCTCGGACATGTTGTTCCTGGTAAGAAAAAGGGGCACAAAGTTACGCACTGTATTTTAATTAATGCATCACCTTTTATACATACACATACACACACACTACATATACACACACGACATACACACACACACATACACACACACTACATATACACACACGACATACACACACACACATACACACACACTACATATACACACACGACATACACACACACACATACACACACACTACATATACACACACGACATACACACACACACATACACACACAACTACATATACACACACGACATACACACACACACACACATACACACACAACTACATATACACACACGACATACACACACACATACACACACAACTACATATACACACACTACATACACGCACACACAACCCCTACACACTACATACACAAACGCGACATACATACACTACATACGCACACGCTACATATACACACACACACACGCAGATATATACATACACATATGTATCTTTGCATTTTGCATTCAATGTGAACTATTTAACACATTACGTATCGAATATCAAAAACTGCAAATATGAGCGCAAAATGTAAGTGACATAATCTGAATGTGAAGTGTGAAGTCAGTGAGGATAAAGTCTGGGGGTGGGGGGGGGTTACAGGATGGAGGTGTGTGTGTGTGGGGGGGGGGTTACAAGGTGGAGGTGTGTGTGGGGGGGGTTACAGGGTGGAGGTGTGTGTGGTGGGGGGTTACAGGGTGGAGGCGTGTGTGTGGTGGGGGGTTACAGGGTGTAGGTGTGTGTGTGTGGGGGGGGTTACAGGGTGGAGGTGTGTGTGTGTGGGGGGGGGGGTTACAAGGTGGAGGTGTGTGTGTGGGGGGGTTACAGGGTGTAGGTGTGTGTGGTGGGGGGGTTACAGGGTGGAGGCGTGTGTGTGGTGGGGGGGTTACAGGATGGAGGTGTGTGTGTGTGGGGGGGGGGTTACAAGGTGGAGGTGTGTGTGTGGGGGGGTTACAGGGTGTAGGTGTGTGTGGGGGGGGGGTTACAGGGTGGAGGCGTGTGTGTGGTGGGGGGGTTACAGGGTGTAGGTGTGTGTGTGTGGGGGGGGTTACAGGGTGGAGGTGTGTGGGGGGGGGGTTACAGGGTGGAGGCGTGTGTGTGGTGGGGGGTTACAGGGTGGAGGTGTGTGTGTGTGTGGGGGTTACAGGGTGGAGGTGTGTGTGTGTGTGGGGGTTACAGGGTGGAGGTGTGTGTGTGTGGGGGTTACAGGGTGGAGGCGTGTGTGGGGGGGTTACAGGGTGTAGGTGTGTGTGTGGGGGAGTTACAGGGTGGAGGTGTGTGTAGTGGGGGGGGGTTACAGGGTGGAGGTGTGTGTGGGGGGGTTACAGGGTGGAGGTGTGTGTGTGTGGGGGTTACAGGGTGGAGGTGTGTGTGTGTGGGGGTTACAGGGTGGAGGCGTGTGTGGGGGGGGGTTACCGGGTGGAGGTGTGTGTGGGGGGGGTTACAGGGTGGAGGTGTGTGTGGGGGGGGGTTACAGGGTGGAGGTGTGTGCGGTGGGTTACCGGGTGGAGGTGTGTATTGGGGGGGTGGGGGGGGGTTACAAGGTGGAGGCGTGTGTGTGGGGGGGGTTACAGGGTGGAGGCGTGTGGGGGGGGTTACAAGGTGGAGGTGTGTGTGTGGGGGGGTTACAGGGTGGAGGTGTGTGCGGTGGGTTACAGGATGGAGGTGTGTATTGGGGGGGGGGTGGGGTTACAAGGTGGAGGTGTGTGTGTGGGGGGGGGTTACAGGATGGAGGTGTGTATTGGGGGGGTGGGGGTTACCAGATGGAGGTGTGTCGGCTCCTCTTTCCAGCTTGCGCCAGCGGTGATCTGAAATGGTGTTAGTTGTGGGCGGAGGGCTGCAGTTGGTGTGCACAAAAGAAAAATGTTCTTAACGTTGTAACTTTTGTCTCACGAAACCAGAGCTGGGATGACGGTCTCGCTAAAACCGCAAGAGCTTGGAGCAGGATCTGTAAATTTTCCCACAATCCAGACATGTCGAAGTTTGGAAAGGGCCATCCAGAGTTTGATTTTATTGGAGAAAACATGTACGTTTCTCCAGTAGACGCCTTCACTGTCAGAAACTCTCTGAATGTGTGGCACCAAGAAATGAATAATTTCAACTACCACACAAACAAATGCGACGGTTCGTGCGACAATTACACCCAGGTAGTCTTCAGGTTTCGTTTTAAACCGCACTTCCTTCTTTTTGTTCTTTAGAACATTTTCCAGCGTACCTTTTCCCTTCTCCAGTTGCACAATTCGAACGCGTGCAGTATTGTGATTTAAGTAGGGTGGTCGGTTGATAGTTTGCATTCCATTCCATACCTGTTGTGCCGTCTGTGAACGCTCACTTATTTTTTTTTTTTTTTACAAAATCTATTATTCTTAAATCTTACCTTGTTCTGTAAGTTCTACTTCTGATTTTCGAAGGCGCTCAGATTTCTTCTGTAAATGTGAAGGATATCTACCATCCCTTGCATCAAATAATCCTGTGATTTGCACGTCACTCTGTCCTCAGTGAAAAGCCTGAGAAGTTAAGCTGATGACATTGGACTTGCAGATAGTGCACTTCACGTTAATGGATTATCGGTACTCTAGTAAACAAACTCCAAAACTTGATATCCTACCAACCAACAGCTGAAAGCTGTAGAAATGGTAGAAGTTTAATACCACAAACTTGGCTTCTTGCATCTTGAAATAATTAAAAAATTCCCTTTACTGTATATCCTTGTAATACTCCTTGTGCTGCACCAACACTGGTTTGCAACACGTCATAACTGTATAAATTGTCATTAGACTGATCAATACACATGTCTATTCCTTACAAAAATGTTTCTTACCTCACTAATAAAAACTGATGGAAAAGGCACTGTTGGAACGGACGGTGGTCTTGAAGAAATAAGTCCTTCCTATGATTTACCTATTTGTTTGCTGATCTCAATGCCATGTAGACCATTCCTCAGTTAAATGAAGGAATACACCACCTAATGTTGAATATCACCACATTCTTTTCAGATGATTTGGGCATCAAGTTATAAGATTGGCTGCGCGCTTCATTTTTGTGGTCGAGGAATTCAAGACTTCAATCGGAACCCTGGAACTATCTTTATCTGTAACTATGGACCACCGTAAGTTTATTATGTTCCATCTAATTTCATTTGTTTTCAGCGTTTGTAATATTCTTAGTGTATTCATGTTTGAGAAAACAGTTTAAAACTTATTCAGATCATATCATTAATATAATGAGGGGTTTATAATCTAAACTCGCTGTGTTGATACTCTTTACTAGTCATCCTGGACCATACTTGCTATACAAGCATGAAGCAGCAATTCCTGTAGTTTAATTTATCACTGATATTAAATTAGGAATACTCAATCAATGACTAGCTAGTATTATTCAAATCTATCATCTCATGAAGCCCATTTATGTACTAACTATGTGTACTAACAAATGCAAAATTGGGTAGAAAAGAGAATCCATAAGGAAATAAAACTCACATATCTTCCAGTCTAATTTGTTTCATCTGGCTATACATTTCATCAAATATCAATGCATTTATCTTTGCTGGGATTAACCATAAAAGGCTTAACGATGTTGCCATCCCTGCTAAAAAAAAAAATTCTCCCCACAGTATATATACAAAAACAGATGAAAATGTTTTCACTTCTTATTCATTTGTTTTTATGGGTGGTGTTGTCTGTCAATACAAGACGCTGACTAATTTATGAATTTAACCATCTTGTGCTTTGAAACTAAAATAGTTACACTACTCTGGTTTATGTGATGTTTGATTTACTTCCAGTGGAAATGATAGGATATCAAAACCATATAATATAGGAGTACCATGTTTTGGATGCCCCGAAGAAACTTGTACAAACAGGCTGTGCAGTAAGTTGAATAGTGCAAATTCTTCATTTGTCGTTAATGGCAGTGAAATGGCATTTTTGAGCTGATTTTATGTAGTACTTAGTAGAAAATCCAATATAAACCAGTTTATATTCACTCACATGTTTATCTATTTATTCATCAGGTAAGGCGAAACGTGAGTTTATCAAAAGTACGCTTTTATATTATTACTAGAACATTTTAGTTCAATGTTAATAATTTATTGTAAATCAATCATTTAATGTTTTTGTTTCACTTTCTTACAGGGTACCACAAATGGAGCCCAAAGTATTCTTTGGCCTCCATTTTCTTTTGCAACCAACCACTGCTACTTACTTCTATTATTGCAGCCTATATTCTACAGTAAAACTACCCAAACACAATATGTAGGATAGATCTTTGAAACATTTCTCTTCCAGTTTATTTCTCTGTTACATTAAACATTCTTCTGTACTGTTTTGTGATCATAACGCAGCAATGCATTTGATGCTTTAGTTTCTCATCGTCAGTAGCTTGAACACCTTGCTTTTAAAAGGTAGCCTTCCTAACATTGTCCCAGCATTATTACAGCATTAAAATGGATAAATAGACACGGCTTCCAATCCTAGAATGGTGTAAAAAAACATCTGCTGTAAGCGTGAATACACTTTGTTCCCTCCATATTGCCCACAAAATTAACAGTCATTGACTTTACATTATATACTGGGAAGCGCTGTGAGATGTCTCGAAGACGTGATAAGGAACTATATCAAATGCAAGGATTATTATTTACCCCAAATTAAAAGTTACCTTTAATGGTGATTGCTTATTCTTGATATTCTTAAACATTTCATACATTCTACCATGATATCTTCTGGTTTGGAATTTTTACAGGTTGTGCATCATGGACCATGTTTGTTGTTTGAAATTAGATAGGATTCAAGTTATGATTCAGTATTCTGTTTATTATACACTGTTGATCTGGACCTCTGTAATTCAGTTATGTACTGTCATTGTACTGCAGAGCATTATATACCATTGTTAATAAAACCTTGTTAATAGAAATGGTTTATAGGAGAAATCAATATTCTGTGTTTAATGTTTAAAATAGCAACATGTATTTCACCCACAAAATAGTCAGTTCAGTTTACAATATATTCTGTGCAGCACTTTGATACGTCTCAACATGATGGGCGCTATATCAAATGCAAGGATTATTATTAGCTGTAAAACACATTTTGTTTGTTGCTCTGTAATACCCTGACCCATTAACCCTTCCCATCTAAGAGCACAACTATTCTCTTTTTGAAGAGTGCTACGGGGCGATCTTTAGTGTCCACCTGATCTAGCAGACAGGACTTCGGCTTATAATCAAACATGTTACAGCACAGAAAAGGCCATGTAAAACCTGTAGCTCACTCGCACTCACCTCGCATATGAGAGACCTGGGTTTGATTCCCAGCAGAGTAAATTGTTGGGCAAGTTTCCTTACTCCACACGCTTCTGTTTACCCAGCAGTAAGTAGGAACCCAGTTGTTAGTCAATTGGTAGATTGCTTTTCTGGGGGTAATAATTCCTTCAAAAAATACGAATAAATTGGTCACTTCAATCCACAACTATTTGTGGGACACTGCTGTGTGCAATTGGCTGCTGCATTTAGCCCACAAAATAGTCAATTCAGTTTACAATATATTCTGTGAAGTGATTTGAGATGTCCTGAAGACATGATACAGCACTATATCAAATGCAAGGATTATTAAATCCTCATTTAAAGGATGGCACCTCTGACAATGCAGCCCAGGCTATGCAAGTATGAAGTCCCAGTATGGGGACTGAATCCACAGCCTTCTGAAAGGCAAGAGCACAACCAACTGAGCTAAGCTGACACTTAACAAAATTATAGCTATTGCATAGTTAGGTAATGTATGAAAGCTTTGCAAGGAGATTTTCAAGGATGATATCGCAATTGCGAGGTTATACCTATCAGGAAAGGCTGAATAAGCTTGGACTCTCTTGAAAAGGGATGACCTAATGGAGGTCTTTAAAATTATGAAAGGTTTCCACTTGTGGGGGAGACCAAAACCAGGGGCCATTAACATAAAATAGGGAATAAATCAAATCGGGAAATCAGAAGAAACTTCTTTACCCAGAGAGCAGTGGGAATGTGGAATTCGAAACCACAAGGCTAGTTGAGGCAAATAGCATAGATGCACTTAAGGGAAAGCTAGATAAGCAAATGAGGGAGAAAGGAATAGAAGGTTATGCTGATAAGTTTAATTGAGGAAGGGCAGGAGGAGGCTCATGTGGAGCATAAACACTGGCATAGACCAATTGGGTTGAGTGGCCTGTTTCTATGCTCTATATTTTATGTAAAAGGTCTTCTGCTAGACTTCATGAGTCTCATAATTGACACAAACAGTTCACTTACTTCAATGTGTAATAACAGCACATTCCTCAATATGAAAAGCTTTTTTTATAAAAATTATTACACTACAGAAGTCACCTTCAGGTCAGAGAAGTACACGTTTCAGAACTGGCCAAAGGAAGTAGCTAGCACATCTCACACAAAATAAAGTAAATACTTTTATTAAACAGTATTTAATGAACACATTAATAATTTTAGGTTACACAATATATATATATCCAACAATAACCGCGATATAAAATATGTAGATGGAAATGTAAACATCCAGCTAGGTTCTGCATACAAAGGCTCAAGGTACCATTTGCAATTCTACTCCAGTGAACACTGATGCTGCTAACTAATTACTAGAAAATCAGAAACTGTAATCAAGAGTGCAAAAAGGAATTCTTTCACTAACAGCTGGGTTTATTAGTGGTAATATCAAACATCTATAACAGACTGAATTTAGCCTGTGAGCTGATATTTGATTGCTCAGCAGCTATTTAATTAGCTTTCAAAGGGCAAACATTGTTTTCCATTAAGTTGGGATGCAACTGTGAGCTATAAAGAATATTATTTTAATTGTTAAGTTTCGTTCTCCCACAGTGCATTTCCAGGATCTCCTTGGAGCTCAACTGACTCTAACATGACATGCTTGGCAACATAATGTCAGGGTCGAGTTAACCCTTCCCCCCCACCCACAAACCCATTATAACATGGCATCTAGTTTTCTGGATCCAAAGCACCATGCTATAATAGGGCTGACCTACGTTTGTGAAGCTGCATCATTTCTTCTTGCCCTTTGCATTTTTGGCAATTTTTTGAGCGACTTCCGCTGCTGATGGAGCTCCGAGCTTCTTTTGCTTGGCTTTCTTCACTTTCTCTTTAAGAGCTTGAATATCAATTTTAGTTTCTGTGGGAGCTAAAGGATGATAAATCAATGAGCTTTATATTGAAAACAGCTTATCAGTTTTTAAGTGCAACCTTTGTTGATCCTTTTACTTCTATATTTCAAGTATAAATGACTATTACTGGCCATTGCCAACACTGATGATGGCGATAAGAGATTTCTAGTACTTATGCAGTGTAGTCTGCGAAGCGTTTGAGGCTTGCGAAGACGTGATAAGGCACTACATCAAATTGCATGGGTTATCATTATTATTGTATTAGTAATTATTTTTGCATTTGGAGTAACATTGAGCATGTTTCCAAACTCTTCAAGGTTTCTGTAAAACTTAGTATATTTGTAGGGAACTCACAGAATGCAGCTGTCACATGACATTGCAAGATCACCTGTTCTATGATGAAGTATGAGAAGATTAAAAATGAGCTCAAATACTTTGATTGGAAAACAAAACATGTACTAACAGCAAGGGGGAGAATATCATCACTAATGAATCATAAAGGAGAATTAGTAACAATAATTTGAAAAGCACCCTTTGTGCAAAAAAGCATTTAATAGGATTTGATAAATGTAGAAGTATCAAATATATCTCTATTTTTCAGGGAAAATATATAGAGATATTGACTATCAGCTTGTAGAGAGAGAAAATGGACAAGGGAGAGCAAGTTACCTTTTTTTGGCTTAATAGTAGATTTCTCTTTAGGAGGAATAAAAGCCTTATTTCTTTCTTCTTGTCTTTTAACGGTTGCTTCTGCTTCTTTTACCTAGTGAAAAGGCAATAGCATCGGCAATTAGGTTACTGTGAACAACAATATAACATATTTTTACTTTTAACATCTTTCACATGAGGAGGACATCTCAAAGCGCTTGATATTGCTATCTAGGCACCCAAACTGAGAGTGGGAGCCAAAAGGTGGTGGTGGGGAAATCAAAGATAACCAAAATTGTGATCATAGACTAAATGTTTGAGACAATATTACACATTTATAAAAGTGAAGTACAAATAAACATTTTCTAGCATCTCTGAAGCTGTTAATTGAGTACAGTAACCACCACAGAAGAGATAGATAATTAGGATTCTGTGGTAGCTATTTATCCTCAAACCATCTGGAAATAAAAACTCACCCTTATGTCAGTCAATTTCTTTCTCCTTTTCTGTTGGGCTTTGAGGAAGTATTCACCAGAGGCCAGCTCCTGATCAATCTACAGAATAAATTCAATAATCCCAACAGTAAATAAAAAGCAGAAAATATCAGTTATACTTTTAGTGAAAAAGTGACATTTCCTTATGTATGCATGTGAATTTAACAGAATTTTTTATTTTTTTGAACATAATAAACAATTCTTAACAGATTCTCAGTAAAAGGTTGTTTGTTAAAATCACCATTAACATCACTCAAATGTCACCAAACTATGAATTTAATCAGCAGGGCAGATGTTCAGACTTCATGAATAACTGTATGTGCCAAACTTAAAATAATGAGGTGTCAAAAATTATCCAAACCAATAGATCTATATTTCACAAGTACACGTAGATTCACTATTTTCTCAAAGCTAGTTCTACAGTGCTAAAATTAAATGTTTCAATTTTGGTATAATTTTACATTAAAAGAGCAGCCAAAAATAATTTAAATCACCAAATAAATAATCTATTCAGTCCACTGGTATGTAATAGCCTTATTGAAAACAAGCTTTCAAGCAGAGTAAAGTAAAGAGCAGAGACCTTGCTCTCAAGCTGTGGAGGTGGGAAAGGCGTGTACTGCTTCTTCACCGTCTTCTTCAGAGGTTTCTTGCGTTTATTCAAGTTCTTGTGTTTATACGTGGGCAGGAATCGCTCCCAGTTCTGTGTTCTAAGATCCGGATCTTTTGCCAATTCTCGTTTGATCATCAATGCCTTTTGAAAGTAAATTTATTTATCTTCTTAAATTCAAATGTGTGAATACTGCCCACGAATGTGATCCTTAGAACACTTTGCAATACCCAACACCTGTTCTAGAATAAATACATATGAAAATGTACAGTGGAAATACTGTTTATCAGGCATCTCTAGGTATTAGGTTTCTGTGCTCCCAGTATCATTTCTTCTGCAGTCAGGAAAGTTTAAATTGCACTGTTGAGTAAATTTACTCATGGATCTGACCTTAATGATACAAGTCCAGATCAACGCTTGAAGAATGTACTTTCTCATGGTTACCATAACGTCTGATTTTTCTTCTCTTTCTACCCCCAATTCATACTCCAAATAAAAAATCCTAAAGGATTTTCCCTCATTTAAAACATTTCTTACATTTTCATACGTATCCCTGTATATTTTAACATGCTGCCATTTTACAGTGAACTAGTTTCAGCACACAGAAACAATGACATAATTTATACAATTAAAACGTTTCTATTATTCTATACAATTATAGATGTGCTTATTTGATTTTTGGCCTGTTTTCAAGTCAGTTATTCCAATGAAGAGGCCTTAATTTTGAGAAATATTTTATGATTGGAAAAACAATGATAGGTATTTTACTGGAGCTTGGAGCTGATTTATTTTACTTGGTTTATCCACATCATGTATTTCATACCCACTCAAAGAACAATCAATTACAAGCCCAGCACTACCAACATACAACTGAAAATGGGTTTCAAAAGTTCTTGAATTCTTAATATCAGATTTTTTGCAGATTTCTCCAGCTCTACAATGTTCACAGAATTTTTTTTTCTTTTTTTTTTCTTAAGTGATTGTAGCTTTCCAAAGCTGTCCTGGAAACAGATTGCGATATTCTAATTTCATTCAGCACAGGATTCGGGGAAGAACTAAATTGAAGGAATGATTCAACAAATAAATACCTTGATATTGTAGATCGGATGAATGTTTTTCATGGTATCGATTACTACTTTTCTGACCTAGAAACAGTTAAAATACAGGCAACTAAATAGGACAAAGAACAATTACAATAAAAATCAAGGTTGTATTCAAAACCAACAAAAGGCACCAATTTATTGTTAAGTAATTAGATTTTTCAAAATACTGGGCAGACGATGTCTATTAAAAGTATAAGAAAGTTTTGTACAAGATAACAAATAATTAAGAGATGTAGAACACAATCACGGTTATGAAATAGCATTAACAGGTGCTGTGGGACTTAGACCAAAAGTGGATTCTCAGCAGAACAAAATGCTAAAACATAGTTCTAAGAAAGTATAACAATGAAAGAATTGCTTTCTCAGTTTTTTCATGACATTTTGAAAGAAAGACTGAAAGGTAACAATCAGATTCTTAGGAATATTGAATACTAGATAATTAGAATACTGATTCTTGTTTGGCATAGTTTTTAATTATAATCATTTTACTATCCTATTTTACACACAAAGGTTTGTACTATAACCCAGCACCTTGGGACGTTCTCCCGACATGAAAAGCGCTATACAAATGTAATTTTATATTTGACTATAATATTTGGTCATTCAATCCATTCTCACCATATGCATTAAAACTACTGGTTTATTATTAATTTACCTCCTTCAGCCCATTGTGTGGTCCCAGAGCCGACACAGTATTTCCTTGCACCATAATATAACAGTTTGTCAATAGCTCCAAAGCCTGTGTATGGGAGAGATAACATAATTATTAATTTCTAATTGACTAATGTCCAAAAGAATATAATTTTACATATAAATTAATATGAAAATAATTTCCATTTTATGAAATGTGCAGCAACAGGACAGAGGGATTAAAGGTTAAAAAAAACTTCCAGATGTTCCTACAAGAGATAGACATTACCAGCTTTCCACATTTTCTAACAATTCAAGATTTGTTACCTTAAGTGTTGATCCTTTTGGTCCTAGAAGCCTCATTCTTCTTTTCACAAATCTGTCACGGTTTCCAACGAGTGAACCAATCTTGATGATATCACATGCTACATCATTCTGAAGTATACGAAGAGTCTAAAACAGAAAGCAAAAGCCCTAACAAAGTGAAAACTTTCTTCTTTGTGAGTATTATTGCAAGAATGCTCTTTCTTTGGTAATTGTACTACTCACCTGCTCAAAAGGAACGCTCCTTGCCAAAAGTTTTATCATGTCTCTAGCTTTGATGATGGAGTATGGGTCAAATGTCTTCCTGGTGGTGGTGACAGTCATACTACCTTCAATCAAATCCAATGTGGCTGTGAGAAACTAAACAAAATACAGTGGAGTCCTGTTATTATAAGGCTTGCCTTAAAAATCTTTTTAAATGTCTGTATTTATTGGGTTTTACAATTTTCTATAAATCGAGGAAAATTAATTGCTTAGGAAGTAGCGTCAGTGGCCACCTTATGACTATATGATTAGTCAAAAAAGTTACGATTAATAAAAACATAACAAGTTTTTTTTAAACTTTTAATTCCTCTGTCCCGTGTATTATTCACCAATTTGTTTTAAAAAGCAGCAACCTAGTTATAATACAATGGTTAGATCCATCCCAGTCAGCACTTCCTCATTCACTGCATATGAATGCTGAAAGATGGACAGCTCCATCAGCAGCTTGCAGGACATGATGTCAGCTGCAACCTGATGACCCAGAAGTCACCCATTTTTACTTTCCCATGCCTGGAAGCTGCAATGGAGCAGGTCAGGGATGTTTTGGGATGTCCTAACTACGTAAATGTCAAGTTTAATGACTGTGAGACACTACCTGCATGAACGACGCTATATAAATGTTGTTCTGACGAAAGGTCATCGACCTGAAACAGGAAACCCACTTTCCTCTCTCCGTAGATGCTGCCTGATCTGCTGAGTGTTCCCAGCGAGTTGTTTTTGTTTCAAACGTTGATGGGTGTTGTGTTCTAAATCTCAACCAGGCTACCAGTGAATCTGCATTCTTACGAAGCACTTTAGTCATACTGCATTCAGTTAATAAGTTAATAATAAAAGTATGCTCGTGAAATATTTGAAGACTTACATGTTCGCTCATTGCTTTCTGCACCAACGGCCAGCATTCTTTGAGATAGCTCTCTCTGTATTTGGGGAAAAGAGTTGCAAAACTACTCTCCTCCAAAAGACCTCTGGGGTTGTCTTCTCTTGTAAATGGTGCCTCCTTCCATCCTTCTGGTACCGTGAGCAGCTCCGATTCTTCGACTGTGTAACATAACCCAGAGATACACAAGATACATTTATCCAGTTAAGAGTTGTTGTTAAAACACTGGCCTTGTTAAACTATTTATTATATTACCTGTGTTCCCGCTCTTCACACACACCTCCCCCACCCCCCCCACACCCCCTCCCCCCACGCACACCCCCCCCCACACTCTCACACACACCCCACACTCTCACACACACACCCCCCCCACACACACCCCCCCCCCGCACGCACACCCCCCCCCGCACGCACACCCCCCCCCCACGCACGCACGCACACCCCCCCCCGCGGCGCCACCCCCCCCGCGCGCACACCCCCCCCGCGCACACACCCCCCCCCACGCACACACCCCCCCACGCACACACCCCCCCCACGCACACACCCCCCCCCACGCACACACCCCCCCACGCACACACCCCCCCACGCAGACACCCCCACGCACACACCCCCCCACGCACACACCCCCCCACGCACACACCCCCACGCACACACCCCCCCCCCACACTCTCACACCACCCCCCCCACACTCTCACACCCCCCCCCCACACTCTCACACACACCCTCCCCCACACTCTCACACACACCCCCCCACACTCTCACACACCCTCCCCCCCACCCCCCACACTCTCACACACCCTCCCCCCCACACTCACACACCCTCCCCCCACACTCTCACACACACCCTCCCCCCACACTCTCACACACACCCTCCCCCACACTCTCACACACACCCTCCCCCCACACTCTCACACACACCCTCCCCCCACACTCTCACACACACCCTCCCCCACACTCTCACACACACCCCCCACACTCTCACACACACACCTTCCCCCCCACCCCCCCACACACACACCCTCCCCCCCACCCCCCACACTCTCTCACACCCTCCCCCTCTCTCACACACTGAATAAACCACCGAGTTTCGAGGACGAGAGGAAGTCCTGACCTCTCCCCTCCTTCCTGCCGCGCTCCTTCCCCCCTGAACCTCCACGTGGAGCAGCAGCTCCGGTCTCCGGCTCTTCCTCCCGCACCGCCGCCATTCTGCCGCCGCCGCCGCCGCCAACACCTTCCGCCGTGACGAGTGCAGCGAACAAAACCGTCCGGGCGACGCTTTCATCCCCCACCGCGCGGTGAGTGCAGCCAATAAAACCTTCCGGGCACCGCGGTCGCCATGGTGACGACGACGTCAATCAGACCAGGGACATGTGCGTGTGTGGGGATCAGAGGCAGCAGCGGAGCCCGAGGCCCCTCAGCCCTCACTGTGCACACACACACACACACACACACACACCAGGGCCTCAGCAAACACCGCCCCTCCCCACACACACACACACACCCCCACCAGGGCCTCAGCAAACACCGCCCACACACACACACACACCCCCACCAGGGCCTCAGCAAACACCGCCCACACACACACACACACCCCCACCAACACACACCAGGGCCTCAGCAAACACCGCCCCCACACACACACACACCCACCCACCAGGGCCTCAGCAAACACCGCCCACACACACACACACACACACGGGCCTCAGCAAACACCGCTCACACACACACACACACACACACCAGGGCCTCAGCAAACACCGCCCCCCCACACACCCACACACACACACCCACACACCAGGGCCTCAGCAAACACTGCTCACACACACCCACACACACCAGGGCCTCAGCAAACACCGCCCCCCCACACACACACACCCACACACACCAGGGCCTCAGCAAACACCGCTCACACACACACACACACACACACCAGGGCCTCAGCAAACACTGCCCCCCCCACACACACACACACACACACCCACCAGGGCCTCAGCAAACACCGCTCACACACACACACACACACCAGGGCCTCAGCAAACACCGCTCACACACACACACACACACCAGGGCCTCAGCAAACACTGCTCACACACACACCCCACACACACACGGGCCTCAGCAAACACCGCCCCCCACACACACACACACCAGGGCCTCAGCAAACACCGCCCCCCCCCCCCCCACACACACACACACCAGGGCCTCAGCAAACACCGCTCACACACACACACACACACCAGGGCCTCAGCAAACACTGCTCACACACACACCCCACACACACACACGGGCCTCAGCAAACACCGCCCCCCACACACACACACACCAGGGCCTCAGCAAACACCGCCCCCCCCCCACACACACACACCCACCAGGGCCTCAGCAAACACCGCCCCCCCCCACACACACACACACCAGGGCCTCAGCAAACACCGCCCCCCCACACACACACACCCACACACACCAGGGCCTCAGCAAACACCGCCCCCCCACACACACACACCAGGGCCTCAGCAAACACCCCCCACACACACCAGGGCCTCAGCAAACACCGCCCCCCCCCCACACACACACACACCCACCAGGGCCTCAGCAAACACCCCCCACACACACCAGGGCCTCAGCAAACACCCCCCACACACACCAGGGCCTCAGCAAACACCGCCCACACACGCATACCAGGGCCTCAAATACTCATCAAAGTAATCACAGTAACACAGGCATTTGAATATAATAATACTATTTGATATAATAATAATGAATCATTTGATATAATTATTTTATAAAATAATTATAATAAAATTTGATATAATAATACTATTTTATAAGAATATTTGATAATATTTGATAATATTTGATATAATTATAATAGTATTTGATATAATAATACTATTTGTTAATAATATTTGATATAATAATACTATTTGTTAATGTTTGATATAATTATAATAATATTTGATATAATAATACTATTTGATAATATTTGATGTAATAATAAATCATTTGATATAATAATTATAATATAATAATAAATAATTTGATGATAATAATACTTGCATTAGATGTAACACCTGATCACCTCCTCCAGATATCAGCAGAGGTCCAAGGAATCAACCTCATCAGAATTGAGACAGTCAGACTTACAGCAAAGTACATTTATACAGCGCTTATGTAATAATAATGCTCCGGGTAACTGGCTGCCACATCTTGCCCACCAAATACAGTCAATTCACTTTACAGGATATCCTGTGAAGCGCTTTGAGATGTCTCAATGGTGTGGTAATGTGCTATATTAAATGAAAGGATTATTATAATGCTTGCATTCCTGGGGCAGAGTGCCAGCCTGTTGTAGTTGGGCCGCAACTACATAGTAATTGTGTAATTACTATTTGTAGTGACTTTCACGTTGGAAGGACGTCTCAACAATAACATTGGATATTGCACCTTATCATGCACTCCAGATGTCTCAAAGTGCTTCACAGAATATACTGTCAAGTGAATTGACTGTATATTTTGTTGGCAAAACGTGGTAGTCAATAGCGTACAGCAGTTTCCTACAAACAGTCTTGGATTGAGTGACCAATTTATTATTTTTTTTAAAAAGCAATTATTACCCTCGGAAAAGCAATGTCAATTGACTAATTGAGTTCCTATTTACCTCTAGTAAACAGAGACAAGTGGAGTAAGGAAACTTGCCCAATGTTTCGCCTTACCAGGAATTGAATCCTGGTCTCTCGCTTGCGAGGAAAGTCCTCACCATTGAGTTACAACACTCGACAGCTACAGGAGCTCAAGACATTTTGCGCAGCCGAATCCCCTTCACCAAGTTTATCATACATTACAATCTTGGAATCCCATTCATTACAATTAACAGTGAAACATTCCCCATGATGGTTAGAACTGAACTTTATTTTTTTGTGTGGTAACAGACTCTCAGTCCCAATCATCGTATTAGGCAACTTATTTAAAACACAACTTTAAAACAAAACTGATACAAAGGTTTAGATTACTTACATCTACTTCTATGCCTTTCAACATTTTAAGATCCATCTCCAATGAAAATATTGCTGCGTGTCTCATCAGAACTTGGAGCCCTAATTTGGCTAATTGTTGGGATAACATTACTAAATGTTGGGTTATGTAGATTTTCTTGCATTAATGTAATTAATAATGCATTCTTCCCATCATTGACAACAGCATGATTTTCAATGACAAAGGATCCAAAAAGAAATCAATTGGAGCATTTAACTCACTATTTATGACAGCTTCCTGCTACTTAACTTAGCCTGTTGATGCAGGCTCCTTTTATAACACTAATATGGGACCTAGCAGGCCAACACTTATAAATGAACACCAACATAAAATGTATTGTGTATATCCACACACATACACACGCACACTCATACACAGAGTTGTTTAAGTGGCTTATTTTACAAATTAGAGAAAGCTGTCTGTCCTTCATTCAACTGCTGACTTGTTTTAAGCTTGGTCTTGTTACTCATGACGTTCTTGAATACAACGGTAGCAAATATAATCAGTAGTCCTATTCCTACTACACCTCCAACTATGCAGAGAACAACTTCTAGGTGTTCCCCTGTGAACAAAAAATACATTTGTAAGAATTTGTTCATCTCATTTGTTTTGCAAAACAGCACATCAAGATTTTGATATTCAATCTTGTTTAATCCAAAGCAGAAAAATGGTTTTCAATAATTTACCAAGATTTAATGGCAAGATATGGTTTAGAATTAAACTAACTTTTTTTTTAAAAAAAATCAAAGGATGACTTGGGACATTCTGCCAGTATCCAAGTAATTTTCAGTCCAATTCTTTGGTGACATTCATCACATCCAAGTTCCTGCCAATGTTGTTCTGCAACAAAGCCACTAGATGGTGTGAAAGTATTCTGGGTTGAAGTTATTCAAACTTGCTGTTAAATCACTCACTATCTTGTAAATTCTGACTTAATCCCTAATCCAAGATCAAATAGTTTGAGTTTGCCCATTCCACTAATGATGATCTTCATATCAATATTATGCAGCTCTGCATACAGTACTTTGATTTGGTTCTGATTACATTGGAGAAGTTTTGACAGATCTAAAGTTGCTTTCACAGCCATCTCATTCATTGGTGAGAAACTAAGTTTCCCAGAAATCAGATGAGGCTCCTGAGTTCCACTATAGTTATTGTATTAAAGTAGCAGTTAAGCAATTGGGTGGAAAACCAATGTAAAAGGATCTTGGCATCAGATAGGATACAAACCATCTTGTATGGAAAGATGAAATAGCATTCTCCTAACCTTGCAGTGAGGCTGCTAATTTAATACAAAGTGAACATTTCAGTGCTGTGGACTCACTAAGAAACTAAGCTACTAATAACCAGGACTAACTATTTTCTACTGCCCTATCCATTGAGAAGTAAATTATTTATTTTGCCAACTATGTCTCTTGTTTTCTGGTAAATTAAACAGTGATGTTAAAAGGGGAATGACAGAGCCTGGGGAGCTTTTCACCTTACAAGCTTCAGCTACATACAAATAGAAAGAAGTGGCAAACAGTGATACATGTTATGATACTAAAGGTACTTATGTAAAGACACTTACATAGACATTTATTTTGTTAAGATATTATCAATGTATTTGAGAACGTGTGATGCACACATGGAGAAAGGAATAATTGGGAGGGGGAAAGAGAGGATTAGGGGCTTGTGTGGAGTATAAATACCAGTTTGAACTGAATGGCTTGTTTCTCTGCAATATCGCTAACTATATAAGGTCAGAGTATTTATGATCACGTCTCTTGGTTCTAAGAAATTAATAGAAATTACAGGACTATAGTATCAGCAATGATTCACAGCTAGTTCCTTTATACTTACAGTCTTCCAGTACATTTCCAGATTCCTTCATCTCACTTTTATCACCGATCCATACCTCAATAGGTCCAACAGAAACTACTACTTTTACTTGTTTGGAGTCCACTTTTAATGCATTCCGACCTGACCTGATGGAAACCTGTGTAGTTGGACATTCCTTAAAGGGAATCAAACACATGTCAAGTACTTTAAGAGCTCTTCCTTATCAAAGGAACAGATACTGTTAGGCTAAGTTTATCACTGTATAAAGCAGCAATACTGCGCTTCACAATTAATGCATTTTATATGCAGAGCAGTAGGTAGCTTACCGTTAAACAGCTGTCCGTGCTTTCCATATCACAGATCTTGGCCTGACAGTGAATGTATATGGGAGCATTTGCCATATTGCTGAAG